GTTGTAAAAGTGCTGAATTACAAAATAAATTCTATAACACAATACAACATCTACGTTATTTGTAACAGTAATAAATATATTGTGGCCGCCACAAAACAAAGCTATCGATTTTCGCTGAAGAACTCGCTTCATCGCTCTTTATGATTAAGGGATGGCGCGTACTGATAATTATTTTGGCTCGCCCCGTTTCAAAAGCAGATGTTTGATACACTAAAACCAACCCTCCTTTTTACAGTTCTATTGCAAAGGGGATCGTTATCAAGCACCAGTTACGATTTCCCCACAATTCCCTACTTTTCATAATGATTTGTACGCGCGTCATAACGAATTTTAAGAGATAATTAACTGTAATGGTCATTTACGCCGAAAAGTCCAAACTCCGAATTGAAATGCGAAGTTAATTTCATGAGTCATAATCGTAGGCTTTGTGTCACGCAAAGAAATTGTATTTTTCGACTCGTAAATTCATGTTATAATGTTGGTAATGAAGATAAAGGTAGAATTACGATCAACGATCTTATTTCACGTCACATTGAATACCTACTAATGACGGTTAGCTTTTGTACTATCGTTTATTTAATTTGACGTAAATGGCGTCGATTTTCTTTCTTTGTCCAACAGTGGGACACAAATTAGTCTTAAAAAATTCACTTACTATGTATAGTCTTTACGATATGAACTTTGAAAATGATTTTTAGACCATTTTCCATTTAAGTTGTCATACCTACAAATTCGATGATAATGCGACGATATAATGCCATACAGATTGTGTAATAATGGAGTCGAATGATCAGGAATTTTATTCTTACTCCATTCACTACGATATGGATAGTGTAAAGTAGTTTTCAAATAAATATTATATGATGTTTACCATCGTATTCTGTTCTATCGTGCTCGTTTAAAGATGGACACAGTTATCAGCGTGGAAAAAATCGCGCAAGAGAAACTTATGAATTCTTCTTGCGTTTTATAATACTTACTATTTTTTTCATATTTTCATTCAAATGATCTTTATTCAAATAGACTTCTTTACAAGCACTTTTAATTCGCCATTTTTTAAAAATGCATATTCATTCATATAACAAATTCAATTCGATTCTTTACCATTTTCAAAATATGTGATCTTAAAAATATCTACCCAAATACTTTCTCGACTGTATCGTTACAAAGGTTGTAATATTTCAAATTGAATTTACATATTTATGTAGCTATTATGAAAGTAAACATGACATTTGAAAATTCCCATAGGAATGGAAAATCATGGAGTTAAGAGTGAGCGAACCCGTTGTTCTTATAGATATCTAAGTTTTTTAATACATAATATAGCATCGTAACCCGAAATTGTGGCGATACTGGTTTACGTTGGTGAGATAGTGAGATACCAATGAGTGATATACGAATATGTAATATTTTATAGAAGAATCGCATGAAAATCTTCTAAGAAGAATCGCATGAAGATCTGTCTTGGTCTCAAATCGCCATATATCCTAGATATATTGTTAGCAACCGGGTCACTAACCTCTGTTACTAAAAATCCTGTTTAATACTTCTTCGGATATTCAATCTAAGAAATATTTTAACTCAATAAATAGAATATCTAGCTTTAAAACAGCTAAATAAGAATAAAAATTATATATATATATATATATATATATATATATATATATATATATATATATATATATATATATATATATATATATATATATATATATATATATATATATACGTATATACGTGATTACAAATATCCAACACATCCAAACAATTTTGCAAAATTTCACATACTACCTAATTAATATACTAAACCAATATCTCCAATTTTATGTCGTACCCTTAACATACCTAAATATTAAAAGTGATTAATAGTGTAGTTAAAATGTTGGTATAAAATTGCCGGAAGCCAATGTGCTGTTAAAGATAAATTCATTATTGAAGTTGAGCCATAAAATTAAATTATACACTCGATTCCTATAATTACTTAATTAGATATGTACATGCAAGGTGGATATTCCATAATAGGTTGTTCGGCTATACATGAATACGCTCCCCTAATATAAATTGAAATTGAGACTTTATACAATAGTTCCCAATCTTTTTTTACCAGGGCCCGCTAAAACGTTTTTATTCTGAACTAGAATATCAGACCCTTGATTGAAAACCACTACACTACATAATATTGCTTATTACGTAGAGGTTATACCATTTATATATTTGAAACTTAATAAACTATAAAATGAGATTAAAATAATTCAGTTGAACTTTAAAGAGCAGATTTTTAATTTAAACTTATAATACTTTTTTTACCAATTTTTTTGTCGGCTTCTTATAATAGGTTATGTTGGTTTAATGATTAATTAAAAAGATAATAATCAAATAACAAAAAATATTCTTAATTAATAACATAATATTTCCAATCACTTAGTTGTTCAATAAAAAGAAAAATAGGTAAAGAATTTTGCTGAGAATAAAAATATAATTCAGGGAATTCTACAATGAACCCTTAGGAATTTATTCGCAAAAAAAAACAAACTTCAATCTTAATAAAATTAATTTCTATGGAATCACTACGGGAGTAAATAATTCGGATAAAACATCATCAAAATTGGTTCAGCATTCAGGGAGATATTACATAACATTTTTACACATAACTACACACATTTTTTTTAAATCATTAAAATATCATCATCATCATCATATCAGCCATTATCCATCCACTGCTAAACAAAGGCCTCTCCTATAGACTGTCATAAAGAACGGTCCCAAGTCACCTACATGTACGTTAAAATATACAATAGAATATTTTCAATTTATACAACGAGAACGTACTATGTACGATGGGCCGAAATCAATCAGACCCAATTAATGTAGTTACATCATATAGTGGACAGCAGTTCGGATATCGATTTGCGTGAAATATCCGGGTGTTTGGCGCCCATCAGTAGCTGCGGGCGGAGGGCGTGCCGCGGTCACTGCGATAGGTGAACGAATAGGTATTAAGTACATGTTAGGTACGTGACGAACGTTCGTTAACGAGTTTATTGGCAATTCAAGCTAGGAGATAGATTAGAAAATGTGTACCAGTAACTACTCATAAGGACTATTACTCAATTGGTAGGTACCTACCTACTCGAGTTACTATTTCGATTTGTCATAGCTTAAAGATATGTACATATTTCACACACACGTTACATTGAAGTACGAATTATCTATGCCTATAATTACTACGTATTCTCTGAAGTATGAAGTAAATGACAAATATTTTTTAAATGATCCAAACACGAAATTGAAAGATTCAGTGATTCGGTTAATCTTGGAATCCCATCACCGTTGTATTTAATTATATAAAAAAAAAAACATATTTATTACGAGTATAATTCTAAATTAAGATCCGATAAATACCTAATGACAATTTTCTTTTATATTAATTTAAAATCAATTTATTGAACTCTAAATTGGCTGCCCAATAGGCATAAGCTACAATTGAAACAATTTAGGAAAGTTGATTGGTAAGGTCGAACTCGTCACATCTCTTTAAATAAGCAATGACGTCAAGATATTTCGAAGAAGTACTGGTATCAACACTTATTTAAAGAGTAGGTATATTACAGTCAAATGTCTCAACCGATCAAAACTATGTATAACTTCAAAAAGAAGTCAAAAGTATTTATCTACCTTGACTGTTAAAAACATAACAGTGACAAATAGTTACAATACTGTATTTTTGTATCAGTTCATTTCATTCTAATCCAATAAGTGGTTTAAGCGTGATTGTGTAACAAACATCTCTACAATCTTTCATATTTATTATATTAGTAGGATTAATGCATTCTCCTCTATGAGATTCAATATCGAACTTAGTTTGAGATTAATCCACTATTGCTTCCAATTCGTCATTGTCGACTTTAGTTTCCGGTCGTCTCGTGGCTCACCTATACCGGCTTTTCAGCTCGAATTTGGACGAACGATCAAACCAAACCAATAACTTCGTTTACGGTTATTTAGGTACAAGTTTTTGTTATTGTGTACTGTTTTCTGCTACATTATATATCGGTAATGTGGATGAAATTAAATGCGGTTTTTACTATTACGTTCCTAAAAGTTTAATTTGAAAACTGGTGTATGTTTTATCTTGTTATATCATGAAGAAACGGTCTATTTAATTGATTTTCCTACTTCAAAATCCAGGCGTACGAGGTAACGAGCACAAAGCTAATAATATTACACATAAATATTATATATAAGTGATCGTTTACCATCAGATGGACTGTGATCTTTGTTTGCTACCTTTGTGGTTTAAAAAATAAATAAATAAATATGCAGGTAAATCCTAACCCTCGATGATTTTCATCTGTTAATACATCACATATATAATAATAGATAAATTGTACAGTTCAATCAATAAATATCTTGTATCTTTATCCAAGACTTGCGTATAGGTACATAGAGCAGTAACTGATAAAAAATATCTAGGTAATGGCCTAAAAGATAAAACAGTAAATTTCATACGACTCAAAAGCAAGTGTCATAACATTTAGAGATACTTAATAGTTTTTATAGTTTGTTTTGATTTCCATTTACAGCTAATTTGATAACGTGATTATACCTAAATATTTATAAGTAAAATATGAACTTTGACGACGCTAAAATAAATATGACCGACTTAGTGCCAATAATCAACGAGTACGCTGTTATCTCACTGATAAGGGACGATGAAAGCCAATCTCGCTGTGAAAAATATTTTACTCTTTCTCAGTCGTGTCACAGCCCTCTGATATGATCTACATACAGCCGGTGCGAAAATATTTTTAAAACAATGAAGGGCATTCACTTTTATCAACGCATCGTCGCCCGAGGGGAAATTCTGAAAAGATACCGTGAATAGGATTCCGCAGGCAACGCCGGCAGGCTATCAGTTCAGTGAATGGCTATTAACCACCTCGGGGCGACGATAACGTTGAAAAGAGTCGTTGTACAGTTTGTTTGTCCTCACTAATTACCTCGTCCTCGAGTTGCTGCAGGTTCATCGGCGGGCTCACATCCCGTACTCCCTCCGCACCGGAATACGCACTCTCACTCACTACACTGACATTCACGCCGTGTCCAGCCCCGTCAATCTGGTTCCACGGCACATCGTCATCGTATACCTCCACATTCACCAATCCACTACCGGAGTGGAACCGCCACGGAAGGTCAGTGCCGCTCTCTCTTGGCCTTCTTCTCTTATGTCTCACTTTGTGTCTAATGAACTTCCCGAAACCGCTTCCGTATTCTTCCTCCAGCATCGCATTGTTCAGCGAATCCAAACTAACTTTCAATTTATGTTTTGGGGGTTGTGTGGTAGTAGAGGGAGGTCGGGTAGTTATGGGGTCTCTGCTCAGGCCCTCAGCATCCCACAATTGTATTCTGAGTATATTATCGTGGGAGGGAATGTAGCCGCGCGCGGTCGCGAACGCGATCGCCGCGAGTGCTAAGACAAACGAACGCACAGAACCGTCCATCTCTCACGGCAGGCGCGAGCCAACTGATCTGATCCACGGGCGGCCGCCGACGATTTTCCCGCGTTTTTCCGATAACGCTACATACAGCTACGAACTTGAGGAAGCAATAACATACAATATACATCTGACATCAACGCCTCCCACCTGCCCGTAGATAAACATCGCTTAGTACATTAAACTTATAAAAATATACAAATAACACCAATAAATAAACTATTGAAAAGGATCTAATGTATATCAATTGCATAAATAAAACAAAGTTTCCAACTAAATAAAATCTATTCATATAAATCAACACAACTGTCGTGACAACTACAAATTATCGTTTTGTACTACAAATCTGAACTTATCAGTGTTTATTTAATCATTAGCACAAATATCTAGCTACTGCAAAAGCTTACAATAATGCAAACATTAACAGGTATAACCGCGTATAACAATAGTGTAATACATATACAGGGTGGGAACAATAAGTAGATGTTACAGTACGAGCATTTAAGCAATATAATGATAAATTGTGCCTAAGTATAATTAAGAACTGAACTTTAATTGTGCCTCCCATATATTTACTAAATTGCAATTTATGAATACTGTAACATAATAGCTAGTAATAATCGATAAATAAGACAATAATACAAATATCATTAAATGTACATATGAAATAATAAAATACTTATCTTGAAATGCAATAATACGTGTAAAAAACTTTAATACATAATAATCACACTCGTACTACATACCTAGCACTGGTGATTACCGGTACTTATAACTCGGCATTTACAATTATAATAATCGTATGAAAGACACAAAACAATACAAATTATTTATATGCTTATGGTTTCTATGTAATTTTTATTATATTAAGTACATTTTCAGTTTTGAATTATACTATAACATTTTCTATTATAATACTTATAGTTACCACCCTGTATAATATACAATACATAATCCAATACCAATGATCCCTTATAAATAACGTCTTTGACCAAATTCACATGTCCATTCTATTGGTTTTTTTTTTTTCCCGTAATATACTATTTAAACAAAATGCAGTATTACATAACATGTTACAAACAATTGGCAAGTTTACAGATATGAATATTAACAATCCTAATGGTATAAATTAAATTGCACAAGTATTATATGGAAAGGATTAAAATATTTTACTTATACTCCGTGATAGTCAAATAAGAACCTTCAGACACGTGACAAAAGAATTTATTTTGTAGATATATTCATACCACACGCATGTGGAACCAAGATAAAGGATGTAACTGTAACTAAGGATACAAGGAAGGATGTAACTGACATTTCATCATCTCAGCGTATGGTAGTACAATCCGAATATACAAAGAAAATTCGATTACCAATTGTTTAAAAAGTAGGGAATCCGCTAACTTAGCATTGTCAATACAATTATTTAGTTTTTGTGTCAAAACTTTTACACCATAATAAACAAAAAATAAAAAAAATAATAATCTATAATTAAGTACCTACTGAAATTAATATACTAAAAATAAAAATATTAATTCATAAACAAAATTAAAAATAGAACAATTTTCTATTAAAATCAATTAAATAGAGAACGGCAAAATAAACATACAAAAATCGGTGGTTTTATTTGTATCTTTTGTAAAATGAACAATTTAGTAAATATAAGGACGGGCGACATTTGGCTTCATTGTATCAATATATTTGAGTCATATTAATGAGCATCTTATATAAGTTTCTTTATTTGCATTTTCTATCATTTGTTTTAAATAACTAATTTCGACGACAGGATATGCTACGATTATTTAATAAATGTAAGAAAAAGAAACAATTACACAAGATTTTATATTGTTTCGACTTTTAATCTAAATTGTGGGGAAATATTAGTATTCGTATTAAAACAAAGACGAATAGCATTCAAAATATTAATTATTATAAACTGTCGTGAAGCCACACACTACATCAATAATATACCATACACTACACTATACAAAATTATTGTCTCCTATGCCATTTTTGAGCCCAAAATAAATTCTTAACCTCTCATAACCTTCACCAAATTAATACTTCTATTGGACTTAATGACAAAATAATTATAATGTAGGTATAAAATTAAAAAGCGAAATAGAAAGAAGGTCATATGTTTGTTTGCCATTGTCGCTATATAAATAGATTAAAAAGATAACAAATCGTCGATATTATACGATCAATGCGAAATGATTCAGCCAGTTATTATTTTTACAAAGTTATTGCTGTACTATAAATACAGAAGATACATAATATTGACATAAGTAAGTATACCTATCACTTTATAAACGTATCACAGATTGTGTATACGCTAACGTTCAAATTACCTATTAAAATTGTTTCGCGCATACCTAATAACATCAATGAATAAAATAATTTATATTGTAGTTATATATTTGTGATAAATGATATTTCTGCAAAGAAAAAATAAGCACCTATCCTATATAATTACCTATAGTTATTGACATCATTTTAAATAGCTACTATGCATTATGATAATAATTATTACAAAGTTACGAAATAAAAAAAAATTATGACGTGATTTCATTAATAAAAATCTAATTCATACACCACATATTTTTTTTTGGTTTTAAATTTATAATATGAAAAAAAAATATATAATTCACCCTTGAATATACATAGTTGTTATATTGCACTTCAGAACGAAATCAAAACACTTCTCAAAGATTATTAATTTTAAACATTATTACTTCCCTAATAATTAGTTAATATTATTACAAACGGCAAATAAAAAGAATGCTACAGTTTTAATTTACATTAGACTGTGTCCAAAAAGACCTTTTTACCTCAACAAGCTATTAACAATGAAACATAACGATTAACTACTCTAATTATCCAAGCCAGGTACTAGACATTATGCATTAAAATCTAATAATTACAAATTAATATTACATGACATATATATCTACAAGCGACTATCGCTTACATTTTAGAAACACGCAGTAAATAATAAAAGCAACCGTGTCACCATCTGGTGAAATAATATATTAATCTCCGCATTACATTTGATCTGTACATTCAATGAATAGTTGATTTTGGAATCGAATCGAGATCAAATCGAAATCGCATAAAATAGGCATCAAATATAATGGTAATTTAAAATATCTTAGATGTAATTTCGATTTGGTCCTAATTCAATGTCGTCATGATTCCGCACAGGTTTATCACGTATGTAATTTCAATTGGTCTTTTGCTTAATTTTACTCCACTATCTTTAGTTATGGGGGTCAATTCCGAATTTATATAATTTTAGAAACAATTTTAGACATTAACACCATAATAATACAGTGTGTATTAAATCAAAAAAAGCGTAGTAATGACTACACCAACTCACCAAAAGTCCCTTAAAAGCAACGGCATAAAAATTAAGAAATATTTAATATTCTGAACTTTACCATACCATACTTGTACCACTGTCCTAAGCCGCCTGCTGGAAACTAGTTAAAACTTATTTGAAGTAATAAATAACGATATTCTATATGACTGATAAAGTTATAATGAGCATATAACATAAACATATTTTTTAATACTAGCAACCCCAAATCGCCAGTGTGGACTTTAGCAGTGGCTATAATAAACATGTAAATACTTATAATATATATATTTTTTTTTCTAAGTGGCAAGCTCTTCATTTACATTCTAGTAAGTTTGCTTCGTATATGTTTTTTTAAGGTGGGGCTTTTAATCAGTCCTCCAAAATTACACGTAACTTTTAACTGTAAACAACTAATTGCTCTATAAAAATATAAAATTAAACATTGTACTAATGTAATCACTCAAAGTTCTTAGTTTTATTTACATAGTAAATTATTACTTTTACATCTACTTGCAATGATTAATAGTGGTACAGTTCAATTGAACTTCAAGAATAAAACGGTACAAAACAGAATCATTAATCATAACTCAAAATATTTGGAATGTTTAACGATAATGTAATCCCTAATAAAGATAAGAAAATGGTTTCCCACTTCGTAGTTTTTTTTTTTCCTTAACTACAGATATTAAAGTTCATTTCAATGATGTATAACGCCAACCATTGCAAGTGTATTAATAAAAAAAAAAATATCGTACGTCGCTAACTACGTAAGCAAAAGTGATGTACTCGTATTGTTCGCAAATTGGTCCATTACCGTTTACAAGCCAAAATGTCATAGTCTATGGATAAATAATTTTAATGCAACTTATTTTACTGAATTGAGGATAATATTAATTTCTAAATTGTTAATACAAGTGAAACATTCCATATATTTAAATCTAACAAATTTGTACGCAATAACAGAGAGCCGGGAAAAATAATTCCGTACCTACCATGCAATTTAATTAATACATACAGGATCCGATCTAGCTATTTTGCTAAAAATTATATTTACTGTATTTTATATATGATACCCATGATAAATACCCAAGAACTAAATGTGAACTCCTTTTGGCTTTCTAAGCTTTTACCCGACTGGAGACTTCCTAGCTGGAGATCTGACGTCTGTGTTTGCAAATAAAGTTTTACTACCCCTAATAAAACATATATTTATATAATAAAATAATATATACATGTTCGAATATTAGAAAAAGAATTAGTAAAATTTCTATTCTGATTAATAGTATTTGTTTCAAAAATGGTCATAATATCGTCTTTATTAACAATAACATATACATACAGTTATCACATTATAAATAAATACAAGAAATGTTAAAATAAATATACAGTAAGTATGTAGTTGCAGCACATTTCGGAATACTTCGAATATGATAACTCGTTACGTAAATGTATCGAAGTATATTTAGGTAACAAATTTTCATAGTCTACGTAAAATGTTCCGATGTACGCAACACTTTTACACCTTGCCCTGTTCACTTTTACTTGACATTTAACGTATGAATGTCAAAGTTATTGCCGAGCAAAGTATACGTAAACGTGTTCACGAGTAATACGTATATGTATATAAATCCTATTGCTAACAATATACCTACTCTATCAGGTTAACCTCCACACGGTTACCCCAGCAAACCATCAAAGTAAATTCTTGTTGAATTCGTCACGATGGGTTAACTAACCTGCATTCATCCTCTCACTGGTACCTCGCCATGGTTACCATTCTATTTTAACTAATTAAAAAAAAGTCTGTAGATGTTTTAAATTGTTATTTGTTCAATATTATGTTCATTTCATTAATTTATTTTAAATTTGACAAAATCACTTCCATTTTGTAGACTTTATAAATCTACTTTAAATTAAATAAAATAATGATAACCGTCTAATTTATATTACTTATTAAAGACATAATACTATCATTTTATATACCCATAGACTAAGGGTCGTGGTATCAGCGGTCCTAATAGATATAACATGTAATGACAGCGATAGTTAAAACGAGACACCATTATATGTAAAACACGAAAGTGTGAGAAAGGTCGGAAATCTTTTTTTGTCTTGCTCTGCGTACGCTTTTATTTTTAGATGGCACCATTTATTTACTCATTAAAAGTCAAATAATAACTACATGCGCGAGTAAATATTTGATTAATGTCCATTTATATTGAGTAAAAATTATTTGTCTGTTACATTATATTATTGAAAGTATTTTATATATATATATATATATATATATATATATATATATATATATATATATATATATATATATATATATATATAAACTACATAGAATATAAAATAGAAAAGATCCTTGCATATGGAATTATGAGATAATGAACATAATAAAGCCGAATTGGGAACTTCTTCTTTTTAAATTCAGTTAACATATCGAGATACTGCTTGCTATGCTTACTGTACATAAAAGAATAGTTTTTACTATTGAATGCACGTATAAAACATACTGTCAAGATCAAACGCGACTGGAAAATATCTGCTAACCATAAATCCACTTTCTTGGTACTTTCATGGATATATCTAATTTATTCCCGTAATGTACGATAAAGAATTTAAGATTTAGACTATCTATGGTCTTGGGGCAAGATTGTTCCATCTCATCACTGAGTTACTGCATAGTATAGCCATTATGATAACCCTTTACACTGCAACGTTCTTAGCATCTCTCATGGTAGCGTTAATTTCTGTATGCAATGGTCCCCACTTTTTAGGTAGATCAGTGATTTGATTGCTATTATTTTGCAAAAACAAATTCTCGATTTTTATTATTTCTTTACCTATCCCTATAATGAAGTACCGCGTTCGTGATTCATTGTTCATCGCAAAGGTTGACTAGTAGAGAATGCTACTAGCATTAAGCCCGCCTTTTGTACCATACCTTATCTTGGTCAATATTTAGTTATTTAAATTAATTAATCAATTAGTTATTCCACGTCAATAACTTTTAGTTAGAATTTCAACATAAGTAATATGAATCCTACAATAGTTAATACTTTAGATATGTCATTAGAAAATTCGTTCCTGTATGTACATCCAACTTGCTTCCTTCACGTTAATGCAATATAATTATAAGCAGGTAAGGTACATATATATTACATAAGTAAATCTGTATTTTCATTATATAAATATGATATAAAAATAACATTATATATGAGCACTCAATTATGTTATGACCAGAATATTCATTTCTAAATAAATTTCTAATTTACTAAATGTTATAAGGTGTATTTAAATATAAACGGTATTCGCTGTCAACTTGGGTGTAACAACTATTTGGATATATATTTATTTTTTTATACAACTTAGAACGGCAAATAAACTGACAGCCCACCTGATTTAAAGTGGTAACCGTCGCACTATAGACATGAGCAGTACCATGGCCATTACAGAGTATACTGTTTCGCCCATGATAATGCGTTGCCATTCCTACGGACTCAGGCGTTATTCCTCTTCTTTTCTTTTCATTTAAGAGTTTCCTCTTATCGGTGAAACTAATTCATGCAATTTATTCCTCTATACCCCGTAAATTTACTGCCATATCCCACCCTTCAAACCGAAACACAAGCATGCAAACAAAACAGCTTCACGGTTGAAACACAAATCTGACAGAGGTGCCCAAGCAAACGACTTTTGTACAAAGTCTCCCTTTGGTGTATATGTGTAATTCATACGGTACATTGTTAGATGAATAAACGCGTTTGACGCTACATACTTGTTACTTGACAATATTTTAACAGCAAGTATGTTCTATAACACTAATAGCTTTGCTAATATTGTATATTTTTGTGACAGACTCATACTGTTAATTTTATACTTTCACGTTGTTTACACATATTTTAAATACACAATCAAGGCTTAACCTGATGTAAACGTCTACGTCGAAACAGCGGCAATAAAAAAGCAGATATGTGGGTATTATTCACCTGTAAAAGCTTTTACATCGCGTTAAGTCCCAATTGTGTATTTAAAACTCATACTGATTATAAAACTATAAAATACAACACGAACTGTTGCCATAATTATTGCATATTTATCGAATTAATAAAACTTAAATCTAATGATTGATTTGTATTTTAGGATCCCGTATCTGTACTCACATGCTTAAATCACAAAGATTAAATTTCTACTTTTGTACATTGTGTATCTGTAAAACCATAACCACGTCATAAAACCTCTTATTAACTTAATTTAACTATTGAAGTGTTTTGCCTTAACCTTTCGTGATAATTCCTCAATTTAAAAGAGTGACTAGACACTCTAAAATAGATTTGTAGGAAATTTATGTTTTTATTACAGTTCCCTAAAAAAAACGAAAAAAAAACTAAAAGAGGAACTACTATCCCAGGAATTTTGTTTTAAGTAACTAGGAATTAAGTAAACTATTTTACAAATATATGCAAATCAACAACTTTAAATACTTAATTTTTGTATACATATATATGTACGTACAAAGAGCTTTATCTTACAGTATTAGAGAATTTGGTTAATACACTGAATCTGTAAAAACACAATCTAAAAAAACAAATCACTGCGAAGACCAAGGTCTTCAACAAGGTCCACACTGATTGGTCCATGGTCCGATTGATTGGTTGTTTTAAATTTGGTTCATTACAGACTTATTTTACAATATAAATTAATGATATATACAAGTTAAACACCATTGTCCTTCCGTCTAGCATTAGACGGTGAGCCAGGCAAGTATGTCTTTAGTCAGTCGATACTCAAGTCGTTTGCGAAATGGCGCGACAGCTTGGCTACATCTAGACCGGTGAAGTCAGTAAATATATCTGCAGTACTCGTGTTGGCCGCGGGTCGACCGGGCGACGAACTACTCGACGATGGTTCGCAGGGATCTATCGTTACTAACCTGTCCTCCTTGGAACTAACCTCAAAAGGTTCTGAAACACCTGTTGAATAAATAAAAAAAAAAATAGAATTAAAGTTCATATGTTCAAAGAGTGATATGGCAATGAAATAAGTGGGCTAAAGTAAGTAATCTTCATAAAACAATGATTTATAACGAATCCGTGATAATTATTTAAATCCCATCCCGTACTAATGTTGGCACAATTTAAATCGGTTTTCTTTTATGACAAAAGAAAACCTTCAATTATGTTATAATAATAATTATGTAGGAATAAACAAATGGAAATGTATTAATTTGAATTATTATTATTGTGTTAATAAGAAATGTTTGAAGTGATCAGGATTTTTTAAAGAATAAAAATAGACTGGTTAACACGCCTATACTATTGGTTTATACTGACGAAGTACCAATTAAGAATTATAAGTGGAGATGAAGCCAGATCAGTCTACCTACTGTGAGGAATTCACCAGGCATTAACCACGATGGTTTTCAATGTCAAACCTCGTGGAGGTCGAGTCGATATAATATAATGCCAGCAATAGGGCGTTAATCCCCACTATAAACAATCCCTACGTCCTAGCAGGCGAAGTTTAAACCCGCACCTTCTACCCAATAATACAAATAATAATAAAACTTACCCAAAACACTTCTCACGTCATTGTTCGGCTGGCTAAAGTATATAAACCGGTAAAAACCAGGTGTCCGCACTCCGCTGCCTACCGGGAAGCTGAGTGTTATAGTCCGAGGTTGACCGGCAGTGATAGGTCCTTGAGGCAGGCTCACTTTAGCCAAATACTCGTACACTTTGTAATCGTCCAGACTTTGAAAATCGGCCTGTGAAAATGGAAATAACAGTAATGAATGATATATTTCAAACTTTGAACTTTCAGTATTGAAATAACAACACAATTATATATATGAATAATCTTATTTCAAATACATTTTCAAACAAATTAGAAAACTATTTTACATAACCATAGACATTGTAAGAACCAATGTCATTAAATAGTTATTATAATTTTAAATTGGTTATTATAATTATTTTTGAAAGAGAAAGAATAATATCGTTTTAGTTATACAGCTTATAGCAATCCAAATCTAGTAATGATATAAGACTGAACAACTTTCCCCAAGGAAAATGGCTCTGAATATGAAAACAATTTTTGCACATATATTAATCACTAAGTATCTAGGATCACTATCGAGAAATTTTCGCACTTTTTGATTGAAGACCAGTGACATTTTGCTTCCATTTATTATTATAATTAAAGCACCATAAATAACATTGAATTAATATCAAAATCGGAATATTCGGTACTCTCAATATGATGGTATGCATATTTATATAACTTGCTAATACGATCCTGTTCCCAATTTTAACCTAATTCCTAATTGTCACTTGCAATAGACTGGATTGATATAGATATTATAATTTATTCAAAAAAACCATGAGGTCAATTTATGTAATAAAAAATATTTTATTGTTATTATATCAGCCGTTAACTATTCGCTGTTGGGCTAAGGGCTTCCCCATAAGAAGGGTGTTGCAACAACCCCCTTGCCAAGCGTAGCAACTATTGGCAAGTGAGTTAGCAACTGGTGATATTTTAAGATTATGTCGCCCATCCCTTGAACATTAAATTCCTTTAATCGCCTCTTACGACACTCACGAAATATAAAGAGGTGGCCAACTATAGAGTTAACGAGACAACACGATAAAAAAAAAAAAGAAATACTAGTTACAATTTACATACATCATAAATGCCGATCCAGTCATTAGGATTGATCTCTACGTCGTGTGAGAGCGTACACTGAGTCCTGAAGTCAGCATCACCTATATACCAAATTCGACTGATAGGCGCGAATTCCACAGTCTTCTCTGTGTAATTTGAGAAAGCCTGTAACAATATTAATGCGATTATACAACTATTACAAAGTAAATTGGACTCGTTTACCGCACATAATAACACCATGAAAATGCTTATAATATATCGCACAATCACCGGAGGGAGACTTTTTACAAAAGTCGATTAATTGGGTACCTCTGTCCCATTCGTGTTTCAACCGTGAAGCAGCTGTGTTTGCATGGCTGTGTTTCGGTTTGAAGGATGGGATATGGCGTGAATTTACTGGGTACAGATGAATAACACCTGAGTCCTCAGGAATGGCAACGCATGGGGGGTATCATGGGCGAAACAGTATACTCTGTTATGTCCATGGTACTGCTCATGTCTATAGGCAACGGTTACCACTTTCCATCAAGTGGGCCGTCAACTTGTTTGCCATTCAAAGTTGTATAAAAAAATTTCATATTATAACTGAAAATAATATAATAAAATAAATCATTAGTGATAAAGAGTGATTTATTATACTATAAAAATAATATATAAATCTTTAAATGTATTTATACTTTGGGGTTAGCTGATGCTCTAACATGTATTTATAAAAAAACATACTAATATACCATCACCATACACGTTATAACCATGCCTTAATGGATGATGTAAAAAACCATGCAGCTGTAACAAACCTTGGAAGCCATTGCTCTGTCTTGAGCTGCAAAATCAGACTCATATATCGGCCCATCAGTTTCTATAACAGTGACGAAAGGTGCAGAGTTTGCTGTTAGGTCGGCCGCAGGCATAACGGCAGCTGAACGCATTCTGATTGCAGACCGGGCAGCTCTGGGCGACTCGGTTAGGGCTGAATAAGTGAAGCCTTGACGAATCTACCGTGCACGTGCAAAAAAAGTTAATGCATGCCCAAAATGTCAATTTACAAGTGCACTACATGCATGAAGCCTTTACAATAATGATACTACTTAAATGCCGAAGTACCTACATTATAATTTTTTGTATTTATTTTAATATGAGACGATATTAGAGATAAATCCTTTCATTAAAAAAATATATCTTTAAATTCTATTCACATTTACTGTCATTTAACTGGATTAAAAATTGCTGTCACTTATTGGCGGGAGCACCTAGATACCAGCTTGAACCCTTCGACTCAGTGCAACGACGAGCTATGAGAATTGTCGATGATCCCATGCTTGCAAGCGGTATCGAACCCTTAAGTCTTAGGAGAGATTTTGCCTCAATCTGCGTGTTCTACCGCTTATACAACGGATTGTGCTCAGAGGAATTATTCAATATGATGCCTACGGCCACTTTCTATCATCGTACGGCTCGCCATCGACAGGGAGTTCACCCTCATACCTTACAGCCTAAATGGTCACGTACAACGCGGTTTCAGAGATGCTTTCTCCCACGAACACTCAGGTTATGGAATGAGCTCCCTGCCGAGGTTTTCCCGAGAGACTACAGCATGGGGTTCTTCAAAAGGGGGGTAAAGAGGTTTCTTCAGGGTCGGCAACGCGCGCGTAATACCTCTGGTATTGCAGGCGTTCATAGGCTACGGTAACCGCTTACCATCAGGTGGGCCGTATGCTTGTTTGCCACCTCAGTAGTATAAAAAAAACAAAATTAAAAAATTATGTATATTGTGTTAGTCCCATTTTAATGAGCATCTCGCTAATTTTGTCAAATTTGATGTCAATGTCTCAGGAAAAAGAATTATTCCAACAACAACTACCATCGGGTTCACTCTGAAGGATTTTATAAAATATCTACTTCTCAGTTATAGAATTGTATTCTTTTTCTATACCACGAAGATGTCAAAGAAGGATACAGCCTATCTGATGGTATACGATCACTATAGCATGCTCTTAAGAGATATTTAGACAAAGAGAAATGTTTATAAATGACGACTCACATTGAGAATATTCTAAATACTGTAAATTATATATCAATATATTTTATAAAGGTTTTTAAAAGATATATAGCATATGAAACAACAATGTTGGGTTTGTGTTGCAATTCACAACATTAATATGTTTCCAAGATAAAGAAGAGATAATAATAATTGACCCATATACTTAAGATATTATATATCTATGTTTACACAATATGTTTATTGTTTAAAATCGAAACAGACCAATACAACGAAAATTATAGAGGAAAATGAAAACTTAATTTTATTATCACAAAGGAAATGCTATAAAAATTTATAAAAATGGTTTCGATAGTGGCCGACATTAAAAACTTCATGGAAAAAAATTGATCTTATATATATAGGCAGCTTTTAATAAAAAAAAAAATATCTCAATAGATAATGCTTCGCTGTAAATTGCTTTATATTATTATGTCGTGTTGTCTTTAACTTTTACCCAAGCTAGAGTAATTTAAAGTGACCGAGTAAGTACACAATGTATACAGTGATATTACTGATAACCTTAAGTATTGTCTGAACTACATAAAGTATAATGGTCATAATGACAGAGCACTAAAGTGATAACATGTTATTAATAAACGTATAAATAAACATGTTCAAATTTGTCCATTTTACAGGTATAGCCCTAGCTCGTTGTAGATATCGAAAACTAAGAAATGATAAGTATTTATAGAAACTCGTCTATATCTAATCTGAACATACAGTGTACACACGAACTCGTATTTGTATTTTAAATAATAAAGTACTTCAGAAAAGTTCTGTTACATATAATTAAATACTATATTTCTGTTTATTAAACCATGTAGTTTAATAATTTTAAATACGATATATCTATACCATCTAAAAATATATAAGGGTTGTTATAAAGTTAGCGACTGACCTAAAATTTCATTATAATATACAATACGTAGTTGTACATGGTTATATATTATACATAGTAATTCTAAACTGGTACGTTCTTCTATTGTTCCAAAGGGTCGAAAGCGACCGACCTTCTCGCTCCTAGTTTCCTAAGATTCCTCAAATAGATTGATCGACATTTAGGTACGTAATATTATAGGAGTTGAAACATTTATGGTACCTGTTTATAAATTTACTTATCTATTTTATATAATCTTTAAAAAGTTTTTTTAAGATATAGAAACATTTTTAGATACTATGTTTTTGTTCCCCAAAATTTAAAGTTAATATAAAAATCCTACAAGTTAAATAACCAAAACAAAAAACTTATTTAGTAACGGTGTAATAACATACGGTGCGCCCGATAAGACTGATAATAAGTCTATGAACAGACTCGCCCACGTGAAATATTCAATTACGTAATTTAGCCTACATCTATTATTATGATTTATACGTATTACTATTATTATATGTCTGCAAACTATTATACAAGGACAGAGGTGCAAAATATTGAACAAAGTCATTGTATATTTATGAGTAAATATTTTCGCATTTATAATATTAGTAACGTATTGACGAATTAGTTATTTAAGAAATCTTTTTATCAAATCATGACTACAAATTTTCACAATAGCTATTAAAAAGAACGGAACTAGTATTAATTTATAAAATTTGTGATAAAATTTAATAAGGGACCAAGGAGTTAGTAGAAGCAAACCGTAACGATTGCAAGTACAATCATTGTATAGAATCAGCGAAAATATAGCATATCAGATGGCGTTTAATTCCTTTTTGTATGTATATTAGACAAAACGAGAAAAATTATCGACGAATTTAGAACTCCTCCTTTTGGAATTTGGACTAAAAATAAAAAAGAAAGTTGTCAACGTACATTTTATGCTTGTACTCGAGAGAAAGTTTTTATCCGGATAAATGACTGAAATGGATCAAAACAACGTTTTCTGAATCTGCTAAAAGTACTATTAAAGTGTAATACAAAAATTATATAGTATTATCAATTTCACCATTTTCATGCAGAAAATCAACATTGCTCCTTTTTTAATTAATACCATTATTTCCTATTCAAATCATAATAATGATAGAAAGCAGGCTGTTAATCATACGGCAATTATTAATTTAATTACTATACTACAATAGATGTAATTATTAAAAGAAATGTATAGCTACAAGGTAAAGCATGCATTTAATCAACACTAGTTTTTACAATCAGTGTATAAGTAGAGTAGCCTTGATAAGACATACAGTGATACTGACCTTAATATTAAATTGCGCTACCACTGGTTTGTGGTCGCTTACAGTATAATGCGGTATATGGTTGTACGATATCAGGTCTGCCCTCAGTGTTATATTCTCATAGTTATTGGCTATCACTTTGTATAATATCCTATCCGTCCATGAAGGTTTCCTCCTAAAAATTAAAAATAAAATATCTATCTATATTCATAATATATTACGGTTAATATTTATATTAAAAACAAACATCGTCAGCACTTGTGGATAGAAAAAAAATTATCTACCTATTATACATCTAAAAAGGAATTTTTATGGTAATTAATAATTGCCAAGCAATTTGTTAGGGAATTATGAAAGTTACTATATATAGCTTCATTTAATATACTTATATTTATTTATCATAAATACAAAACAGGGACAATCAGACATCTATATCTGACACACATATACCTACTTTTCTTTGTGAATACGACAACAATATCGCCAAAATGTACTTTTCTTCATTATCATATCAGCCTTTAACTGTCCACTGCTGAACATAAGCCTTCCCCTTGGGTGGTTTTGCCAGTAGTTGCCACGCTTGGCAGGCGGGTTGGCAACCGCAGTTTTTTTTTTTATGGATGAAAATGGTATAGTAACCCCGCCTGCGCTATCGGGATACGCTGGCGGAGCACCAATGAAGGGTGATAGATGAGAATGAAAACAAGTCAGTTAGCCCATCATGATGAATTCATCAGGAATTAACCACGATAGTTTCCAGGGGGAACTGCAAGGAGGTCGATCTGGTTGGGTATATTACTAGCAATGGGATTCTTAGTCTTCATTACTAACAATCCCTTTCCCCCCGGCAACCGCAGTTACAATTTAGAGATGTTTTAAGAACGCCGCTGCTGCCCATCCCTCGCCCTCCCTTAGCCAATTCTAACGACACCCACTAGAAAGAAAGAGGTAGCCTATTCTATGCCGGGACCACACAGCAATTATACTGATATGGTTTACAAAAATTTATTTATATTTAACAGACATTTTAAAGGTGCTTTTAAGAGTTACTAGTCGCTTGCCAGTCTTAATAGGACGCGACTTAGTCGTAAGAACTCAGCGATCAAAAACAGTTATTGTTATTGAATTAAATTCTATCCAGGATATTTATTCTTATGCTATACGTACAAGATTGTAACACACTAATATTAAAATTGAATCGCATTTGAGAAATTGATTAAACATATTATAAATTAGCAATTCAACTGTTATATCTTAAATATTCAGAAATTTCATCAGGGAAAATTGATAGGACAATTACGATTTCCGTTAAGAAAAAAGGGACTCGATAGGTGGCATTAGAGGGCAAAACAACGATTGCTGAGTCAACTAAATATTCCTATACATAAAATATAGTAATAAAAACAACTTACTTCAAATCATATTCGTCACTGCCAATCGTAAATTTGTAAGTAGGTGGAAATTGGATTTCAGGTTCAGTGAATTCTGAAAACGCATCCCCTGCATCCTTAACAGCCAACAACTGGTCGTGTTTCAATAATGACGTATATTTGTCCTTTTCTACCTTCTTCAGTAACGCTACGATGTCTTCCGATGAAGGACTGTTTCCGGCAGGGTGGTCTGTACGGAAATTCAGATCCCCAATCCAAAATACGTAGCTGAAAATAATATGATTCGCGTTTTAATTACCGTTTATCAACCAATTTGACTTGAGTCAAAAATAAGGCAAAACTGAACTTTGTACTCTACAGTAAATTAAACAATCAAATCCTATACAGAACTGTGAAGTAAAATAATTTCTTTTTTCTATACTAAAAATGGAAAACAGTAATATAAAATGAAACATCAGTAGTTAGGTATCTATTGTATATACATAATCTATTAAAATTTAAAACAAAGACTCCTTTAAGTGGGTGTTGGACAAAATATACGTAGAAACCGAAAATTTATATATGCTGTCCTTTATGTCTATTGGTCGGACATTTATACAAAAACTTTATGTTTTATAATCAGCCGAAGGTACTCACTCATGATACAATATATTTGTAGTTTCGCTGACGTGATAAATGTGTTGTTTGATTATCGTATTATAGTCATTGATACGATCCGCTAGTAGGTGTTCATGGGCTGTAAGGTGGCAGTTCACCAGACATACTGAACATCCATATATATTGAATCTAACACTAACGGCGCCTTTATTTCCCTAAAAAAAATTAAAATATACAATTTTTGTTATTATAAGTCCAACAATAATTACATAAAATTGATACACAATTTGTGAAGATATTACATAACATATGAAAAATGCAGTTAAATTGAGAACTTCCTTGTTTTTAAATCAATTAAAAACAGGTGTCATTACCCCAAAAATTTGTTTTGAGAGGTACATGGACAATCTATGTGGTAAGGCTGAGGGTCAAAAATTAGAACCCTAGTACTGGTTTCAATCTCGCATAAATAGAAGATGATATTTTTTTGTAAAATTAATATGTTTGGATGTTTATTGCTTCATCACCTTTAAACATATTTTTATTTAATTTGATAAATGGATATGTTAAATCCTAACATAACATATATACTAATGCACAGCAGCAAAATCATGAGATACATATTTCTTACCCACATTCCTCCTAAACCAGTTTTGGTATACTGTGCTTCGATATCCCTGAGGTGTGTGACATGTTTCAATTGTGTGTAAACTAGCAGAAGCATGCCCTGTAGTCTTGTACTCTTTGCAATAACAAAGCCCTGACGACACAATATTCTATTGAATGTTGATGACCAGGGGTCACTAAACAAAGCGTCCATAACCATGTTCTGTGGTTGTGACTTTACTTCTTGTAAGCTGAAACAATTTTTTATAAACATTGGCGAGTTACTTTCTTGGTTTATTATACAATGTGCTTTATACAAAATAGCTTGGATTTCTTAAGATAATACGACTATTGTGAAAGTAAAAACCAAATTAAAAAACCCTGCAAGTCACCTCAACACAAGAACAATAAGAAACACCAAATAAGTGTTAAGTACAGGTAGAAAAGTTTGCAGACATTTATTTTTTGTATATCCAACTTCTGCTTAATATTTGAGACAAACATTAAAATATAATCTGGTTACAACTGCTATCTCTAATAGGGTAATCTGAAGCTTTTGTTAACATCTTTTATGTCAATAAAAAATATTTTTAACTATTATGCTTACCCAATTATATAGAAATCTGGTAATGGTTTACTCTTATTAAATTGTGATGGAAAATCCAAAAGTGCATTGAGATCTTGACCAGGGTTCCTCGTTGCCACATTCCAGGTCACAAAATAGAATCTGTATGGAAACATAGTGTGTACATATAAATTTATAACAATTAATGTAATATCTACAAATTGTAATTACTATTTTAAAACATTATTAAACATAATTGATTATGTTACCATATTTGTCAAAACATTTTATTAACTAGTAGTTTTTTTCTTGTTTTATTTATATGAAATAGAATAAAACATATTCTGTGTAATAATTCTAGATATTATGGTGTATTTATGTTCTAAATATGTTACCAAATTTTCACATTTGTAATATTAGTGGTATAATTTACACCATAAGTTATGTAACCTACCTAGTTTGTTGGAGCCTCACCTATCTAGCAAACATTAATTTTTGTTATACATCATACCTATCTCATAGAAACTTATTTATCAGTATTTAATAAATACTATGATAAGATAGTTATTGGAAACAACATAAAATGTGAGTGCTAAATTTATTTTTTATATAATTTAAAGTTTAATAATTACTAGTCAAGTTACAGCAATGTAAATGCCAGAAAACTTATAAATTTTAATAAGAGTATTATGTAATTATTATAGTATTCCTAACAGGGTAGTTATAGGCATTTTTTGACTGATGCATATGGTGAATATAACACTTGGCATTTCACTGATAAATCTTCATACTTGACATACAAACAGTACTTTATATAATACCTAATAATATATATATATAGTGGATTTCAGGTATAACGACGATTAAGGGACCACTCTATTTTCATCATTATAATAGATAAAGGTCTCCATAATTGCTAACCATCTGTGTAGATGTAAAAAAAGTTAGAAATGTTTGTGAAAGAAAGAAATCTTGGTGTCTTTTTGGCGGCCAACTTCAGTCGCAATATCTGCATGGGATTTTTAGAAATTTGTTACAAATGATTCATTAAAAACAATCGTTACACCCGAACACAGCGTTACATCCAAAGTCACTATAGCCACATGAATTTTATACTAAAGCATGCTTTAAATTCAAAGGACTTAGATTTAATGTCACTATAGGTAATAATAAATGAAATCCACTATATATATTATAAGTATTGCCTACTTGTATAATAATTTTCCTTAACTAATATATATAAATTTATATACTACAGACTGAAACATTTATTTAAATAATATTTCACAAGAGAATTATGAACATATTGTGCATTATTTCCAGTTTTTAGTAGCATTTGTATTTGCTATGCTTTGCTTGATCACTTAGGATAATAAAATTATAGTTCTTTATAATCAAAACACCTGTTCCATTTTGATAATATTGTCCAAACAATAGAGACTATAACTGAAGCTTGTTATGTTGAATATAAATAAATAAATATCACTGCACATACTACATAGTATCATGTAGTCCCAAACTAAGTAAATCTTGTTCTATGGATACTAGACAACTGATAAAAATATCTAGATATTTTTTAGTACATATATACACATTCTATACACAGAAAACATCCACATCAATACAAACAGACATACTTATCAACAAATATTTGTATTGTGTGAAGATCAAACCTACAACCATTGAAAAGTGAAGCAGTGTACATAACACCACTACACCACTAATGCTATGGATATATTTGCATAAATAATCTCAATTATGCCTACCTAGTATATTGCAATGGAGACCATGCATAAAACTTGATTTTATTAATAAGTACTTTACAGAACACAGTAGACCATAAAATCATGTCAACTAAACATGAATAAATAACCATCGATCGGAAGAAACTAAAATAACCTTGACATTGATAATACATACAACCAACTCGTAGTAGGTATCTAATTATTAAAAATCAGTAAATATAGATCAGGTACATTTAACAGGTAATTATTAAAAGGAAAAAAGCGTTTAAAACACAATTATTACCTTAAAGTATCCATTGTATTGTCTTTCAAAGTTTCTGATTTATTAAAGTACTAGATAAGTGTTTTCAGATAAGATAGGAAGGTAAATTTATAAACGAAATTAAGAAAGAGAAAGTGTTAGCAAAATGAATCTGTTTTAGATGAACCACTTTCACGTCATTATATCTTATTTACACAATTGGAGAACATAATTTTATTACAAAGTTGAGTAAAAACTAAAAAAAAAGTTAATTTTTAAGTTGCAGATATTTAATAAACGTATTGCAATCACCTAAAGTCCTACATTGAAATTAGTATACTGACATGAGATTACTTTTTTTTTTTTTTTTAGTACGTTTGTTCCGTTTGGAACAGGCTGATTAACACAAAAAAGATAATTTGTCTGGAATCATGTCATGATTAACACAATGTCATATGTCATTATTAAAACAATCTGACAGTAGTAGTAATAGCATAAACCTAGAAACAAGGAATTACATAGAAGGAATGATACAATAAATACTGTAAATTATATGGTTGTCTCGTTTCTTCTCATGCAAATATAATTAGTAAAAAGAGGATAAAATATATATATCAGTTGCTATTTTGTCAATTCATAGGAGGCTAGCTACTTACACGTTACTTACGGTTTTTAAATACAAATCAAAAACAGAACCATAGATTAAACAGTAATAATATATAAATTTATATAAATTTGTTATACAACTCTATGCGTGTAAGCTAAGCTTGAAAATCGTTATTTTATAATAATCCTCTTAAGGATAGTATCTCTTTCAGGGAACAAAAGAGAAAAAAGCAGTCACAACAATAATAAATAATTGCGGAAATATTTAAAATATTTTTTACTAATATATTATTACAAATATATATACAATTATTAAATTTTGCTTGTAAATAGATACCTATTGAATGAGAAAGGACCATTAAAACTTTTATATGACCTAAAAAGTTTGAAATAATAATAATTGAAACATAGTTGTTTGAACATAGGTTTGTTGACATGTTTATAAATTTGCTTATAAAAAAAATATATAAACCAAAAAGGCGGGAATATTTTATAGGTTATCCGTTGTCATCAACAATGTTGCCAACCTAAACGATATGAGCTAATTAAGCTTTTCTCCTCTTTAACCTTTCCATTTTTTTTAGATCTTCATTGGCGATCGGGTCGGAGGGGGGGGGATTGTTAATAATGCGTTATACCAGTTCCATTGCTATTTACCTTCACGTGGTCCTCCCTGCTCCCCGTGGTCATCTTACTGAATTCCAGATATTTTCATTATGATGGGCCAACTGATCTGCCTTTCCATTCTCACCTATCATCCTTCACTAGTACCTCGCCAACGTATATTGTTAGCGCAAGCATCATTTTATTATCATCCATTAGAAAAACTGGCAAAACTAAAGTTAGAGAATTATTTTAATAATGTTTTATATTAACGGCTTCATTGTCAAACGTATAATATGCTCCGTCAAGCCAAACTCCACCTTATACTACTACTTAAAAAGTGTGTTCCTGGTGTACGTAGATGATATTTTAAACATGTTCGTATTTTTTTTTCTAACAGAAATTTATTTATAATCTAATTTAGCCCGAAAAAGATTCTTTAAGTTAGCAACACTGTTAAATGCTTTATTGTCATTTGGTTTGTTGTGGTTTGTGTTATTAATTTACTTTATATATTTTTTATTCATAATCAATATAGTAATATAAAAAAAATATAATTTGTTTACAGGTTTTTATTATCTTAGACAGCCATTCATTGTATTCTTTCGTTTTCATCTGTATACAAAATAACAATGAGTACTCAAGATTTACAGGTTATAACATTGTTTTGTTTCAATATGGTGACTAATATTAATAGTTCTTATTTACATTAAATTAGTGTGTAATTATTTTCATTATATTTTAGGAATCATCGAAGAGTGCAAGGAAGTCTCTTAAAACCTTGCAACAAACGGCTATCGACAGTGAGAATCTAGTGGGTAGACCAACAAAAAATCTTAAGCATCAACTTAGCCAAGAATCTGTCGTGTAAGGCCTTTTCTGATCGGTAATTCGGCATTTCAATATGTTACATACCCAATAATTTATTTTTAACTTTACAGGGATATAGAAGCGAAAAGAAAGAACTTGTCTTCAAAGGAAACTCAGGCTAATCTTGAGAATAAAATATCTATTGAAGATCTTACAAACCCTGAAGCATCAGAAAAATATTGGAAAATCTTGGCTGAGAAACGACGGTTAGTATATAGTAATAAAGTGACTTAATAATAATGTCTTTCACATGAAGTAGCTAGCAACTTAAAATTGATAAAAAAGATTCTGAGAATAACATGAAAGTAAAGTTACTAAGTATATGTACATTGGGTTAAAATGAGAGGCTCAGTGTAGAAATAAGAGCCCAATTTATGTTATATAAAAATCCAATTGAATGCAAAAAAAACCTATAAATTGGTTTAGGGTATGAAATTTTTTTTTGTACATTTCGTATAGCTAACCAAGTTGCTAAAAATCTGTATAAGAAATCAATCATTTATTCATCATAACTATGATATCAACTGTTATCAGTCTGCTGTTATCAAAATAGTTCATTAGTTCCATAAAAATATTTTGTTTTTATGTTTTAGAGTTGCTTTAGAAGAAGCCTTGGAGGAAAATGAAAAGCTTCATAAAATAATTGCAGAATTAAAGAAAGAGAACCAACAAATCAAACAAATGTTAGAAGAAGCCAATTCCTTTATAGAAGTAGTCAAGGTATATATAATTCTGCTAGATAATATTATAATTAGGAAAGCTTATAAGGATGTTTGTTATTCAGACACAACTAAATGGCTGCAAGCAGTTGTATAAAATTTAACAGAGATCCATCATATTCTGTATTAACTCATAAGATACTTTTTAATAAGATTACAAGTAAATCTATTTACTTTTAATCAACCCAGTCAGATTTATATGAAAAATATTGTTAGGACTATTTATCAAAACGATACACAAATGAATGCCCTATGCTCAGGTGTTAATGAACTCCTAGTGTTATTTATAAGTTTTTTTTTTCTAATGTTGATATTTAAAAATCTGTTTTTTTTTTTTTTTCAGGAGGAGCTTTCTAACACTAATGATGATACTGGTATTGATGTTAATGATGTCAGCACTCTGGATGTATCCACCGAAGAGGAAACTAAAACCAATGAATAATAATTAGACTTAATATTAGACATTTGGCAATTTCATAATTGCAGATTTGTAATATAGATATTATTAAAATATGGGAATTATATTCCAAAAATAAAATATAATTTTTAAGTAGGTGGCATTTAAACCCAAACCTTCTATGTTAATATAACTTTAATCAATAAATTAGTAGAATATGATTTTTGTATTTTAATAATACTTCTATACTTAATATTTTTTTATTTAGTTTAAAAATGTGACAATTTTCTAGACTGATTAATATGTTTTAAATGCAATCTTAAACTTACCATATTTTTTATTATTATTACAATGAGTTGCTTTAGTGTGTTAAGGGTAAAATAATAAGACAATTATTATCCTTCACTTTTCTCGATTTTATTTATTTAATACTAAAATTAACTATAATTTTTACTAGTAATAGTTCACAGTATAAATCCATACTCCACCTCTTTGTTTGCTTTTGTTTGTTTAACAGTAATATAATTTAATTTAAAAACAAAAACAAGTTTTTATTTTTAACTGCTACCAGATATCAGGTACAATTCACATTAAACATTTATATTTGCTAGAAAAATTAGGTTCTATTATGATACTATTAAATAATATTTTAGTATATGTCATAAAAAAATAATTGCATGTATAATCTTTAATTTCTAACCAAACAAATATAAAACAGATAAGTTGGGAAAAAGGCACTATTTACATAATTATGTAGGAAAATTATTAAATAATATGATCTGCTTTTAAGAAAGCCTTGAATTGTTCATCAAATTTAGTCTCAAATGTCCATGGCATCAATTCTGGGTACATACTAATATTTGTGAACACTTCCCTATCCACATTTTGAGGGAGTACAGTTCTGACTTTTTATTGAGGCAACCACTTGCATGAATATAATGATTTACAATAAGTTTATAAATAAAATTTGCATATTTCAAGTCCAGATTGTCAGTGGTGTTGAGTGCACCAGGTCTATTGGACTTTATTTCATTCAGATAACCAGATGTTATGATTGGCACCACAAAATTAGCCTGAAAATAAATTATAAATTCAATGCCACTTCAAATTACAAATATGTATATATAAAAAGAAAATCAAATTTGTATCTCTTACTTAAATCTTACCTTTTCAAAATATTCTCTGATAAACTTCTCGGGATTTTGGTATACTTCATCCTTTCTATCATTTAATGTTATGACAGTAACTCCTGTAATATCTGTCCAATTATAAACATACTCTTGAATATTTATGGCTGTTGGTAAACCATCTTCTGTAAATGTTAAAAATAGGATAGGTTTCTCATTTTTAACTTCATTGTCTGTCATCAAAAGTGGTGTTGGTTTTGGTATATTGGGTCTATTTCTTTCATTTTTTGTGGCAATATAATTTTTGTTTAGTGCAGGTGGTAAATCATTAGGAAGATTCTTAAAGCTTATTATCTCTTTCTGTCCAGTTTTACTGTTACTAACATAGCCACTATCATCTTTATTAAAACATTGAGCCAAATTTGAAAGTGGTCCTTCTAAAGCCTTTAAAATATCATACCTGTTCATTTTCACTAATGCATCTAAAATCTTATCTAATGTAGCTTTCTCATTTAACCTGTACAATTTTAGCACAATATCAATAGGATCATCTTGAATAGAATTCATAATATACTGAAAATAAATATATGCTTGTTTAGTATGGAGGTAATATAAATACAATTATGCACTCTGCATCGCAATATTTATATACATATTTAAAAGAAATCTAATAATGTTGTGTATATTGATTTTTCTGTACTAGTAATAGGTAATTAATATTATTATTATAAATTAGGAACCCATTTCAGCTTAACACAGGTGCAAGTTATATACAAAGTGTGGTTTAGAAGCAGAGATACAGATAAAGACAATTACTTTGATTTATATTATATATATGATGACCACAAATAACACAAAATATGCATGCTACTTATAGGATCCTCATTCATTGTTGCTACTAGGAACCTACTTAATATTTAAGAATAAAATATAAACATGCACTGCTGCTTCATAAAAAAATTATATAGTGTCTATATGTGTAACAAAGAGGGTTGACATCAGGCAGGCGGCCGGTTGTAAAACTAAAAGCCAAATCTTTTTGTAATATGGATAAAAACATTATGCTGACCCCATATAATAATTGGGATAAGAGTAGGAAGATGATGATGATGTGTAACAACACTTTACTGATCATACACATAATTTGTAAGAGAAAATAATTAATTCTATTCCATAGTAATATGATTATTGATATAATTATTTAGATGTCTCTGAATGTTGTTTGAAACACCACTGAATAAATATTATTAGACAAATGCAATTTAAAAGAGAAACAAACTTACGTCCAAATCATCTTGTTTTATCCCCAACAAAAAGCCAAGATCTCGCCAACCATTTGGTGTTCCTCCAACTTTCTTTACAAGAATCCTCCATGCATCATAGCAAAGAGACCCCATCTTAGTCTTGGAATTTCGATAGTAAAGAACACTAGTATGCAAATTGTAAACTTTTTTACTTAATAAATTGAGTTCTGTTATTTCTTTGTCTCTTTCTTCCTGGACTAATTGTTCCAAAATGAATGTGTCAATGCTAACAGTTTCTGCATTATCAAATTCCTTTGTAAGTTCCCTGTAAAATAGAGTAAGCAATACTGAAGTATGTGTCAACTTTAATTAACTTGGTAAAACAATGGTAAACCGCCTCTAAATGTACCCACACCCCGTATAAAGTTTTAGTAATATGATGGTGTATTCTGTGACGATACTATTCTTGTATGTAGGCGATTCTACCACTTTAGGCAGTCAGCTGGTTTGCCATTTTAGAGTTCATAAAAAAGGCAATAATGAATTATTATCCCACTAGGAATAGTGTCAGTTCCTTAAAATAACAAATTAATAACTTACATTATAGTTTTTATAGTTAACTACAACGACAATCCCGGCATAACAAATTAACCATTAAATTGTTCAGGAAGATAATAATCTAAAATAAATATACACAAAATATTAATTTAAATACGTGAATGGATAAGCAAAGAATATAAGAGCAAAGGAATGCATGAGGAAAATAACAAGAAATAACATCACAGTTGCCAAATATTAATTTTGTTTTTTACCTAAAAATTAAATATTTTTCTTTTATTTATCAATACAACTTGTATCGTTTTTCACTACATTTTACCATGTGCAATAAAGAGAGTGATAAAAAAAGGTAATTTCTTCTGTTTCTACTTTTCAAGTACTAAAACTATTTCCCAAAAATAAAAAAATAATCTCTATTTCTCCATGCCTATTTTACTTTTACCTAAGATTGTGAAAAAAATAACCAATTTGGCAACACTGAACGGCACAATAAAGGGTACAGATTGTCAATGTCAAATTGGGGCAGCCCAAAGCGTAAGTTATCATAGATGAAGGATTTCAGAAAGTACGTATAGTACCTGCAGTCTGGATTGTTAGCATTCTCTTTCTACGACTTGTATAATAACAGTACAACAGTGCATAGTTTTCTTTAATGGGTGAAAATGAAATGTAATAGTACGCTACACTACGTCTTGTATAGATTTAGAATAGTAGTAGTACTACTTTAATTAAAAAAAATATAGTACTTACTTACTTACTTAGTACTATAAAAAAAAAATAAAAATTGGCGGTAAAGAATGGAAATTTTGGATTTTTGTTGGTTGCAAACATATAGACATAAGAACAGTATTTTAATTTGTATTGAGTTTTGAGTGCATATTATATAGTTTCTACCTACGTACCTCCTGAGTACCTACAAAAACAAATATTATTTGCATATAAAATTATGTAATTTCATAATAAATAGTCAATGTAATATCAGTATAGTGATTCAATTTTAATAAATTGTTCACTGACGAATATGGAGTCTATGCTGTAAGTAAATAAATTCGTAGGTATAATTTTATTTATAGCAATTTAAAATTTAATTGGTAGTAATAAAAATATCTTATTTATTTAAATTATAGTTGCGTATTCCACTTCGGCTACTTTTATCCTGTTCGACTTATTTATTCGGTCACATATACTTAGATAAATAATTGTGTCTAATGTTCCGTTGTAGTAAGATAATTGATAAAATGAAAATATTATATTATATTTACATATAATCATTAAAGATTTATAGGTACATAATCATATATTGTAGTATAAATTTTAATAAAAAACTATTAAATACATGTTTATACAATTGAATTATTGTAATTAAAATTTAGAAGTAGAAGATTATGGTGCAGAAAGAATATTATAATTCTGCCTTAGAATTCTTCGTATAAACGCGTAGAGTGGCACGGCGTGGAAGAGAGATACTTAAATTCATTAGAATTCGAATTAGACTTGCAACAAATAATATAATTGGTCATGTATAGAATATCGCCACTCTTTTATAGGCTTTTTGACTAATTGCCAAATATTAAAGAAAAATATTTGACTGGCGCGAGCGGAAAAAAGTTATACCTATCGAAGTGATGATTTTTTTTTTTGTTTGTTAAAATGTATATACCGCCCACACCAGATATTATCTATGTACCTATTAGTTACTTGGGAAGGGACCAACCAATTAGGCATTATGTATTTAAAATAGTTTTCATATAACTCCCGGTGATAGAAAACAATGTCAACAAACTTAAATAATCCTAGTTTTGGCAAACAAGTTGACGGCCCACCTGATGGAAAGTGATTGTTAGTATTGGAGGTCTAAAAGCTCCATTGCTAGCAATATACATTAGTGTACCCCATGACTGTATATTTTTATGCGTAATAAATCTTTATTGTTATTATTATTATACACTATCAAGCCAACATCTTTGCGGTTCCTGCTGTAAGCTACAATGGTTAATACTTGTTTAATTCATCACGAGATAACTGACCTGCTATCATCCTCACCTATCCTACCTATCATTTGTCACTGGTGGCCCACCAGCGTATACCGATAGTGCAAGCGGTGTTACCATTTAATATTCATCCATTAAAAAACCCTCAAAGGTTAAAAAAATTCCTGTGGACTAATGTGGTTTAATGGGTGATAATGAAATTGTAACCCTTTGAAGTGTTTTAAAACCTTTACTTCATATTAGCTTTTATTCGCGAATTCGTCTACATGATCAAGATACATATTAGGGAGTATGATGGATTTCTCAGTTTTTATGGTGAATACTCGTATTAAATAAGTAATTATCTTATAACAAAGAATAGCTTCCGTATATTTGAAAGTAAAATTTACAATGAAAAACCAAAAAAAGATCAGTGTCAGGCAAAATAAAAATTAAAGATTGTTAAAAAAAAAGTAGTTTAGTTTTTTCTCCATTCCATAATGCTTCAAATTTATTGACTGGTTTGGCTATTAAACCGCTAATAGATAACAAAAAAACTCACTTTATACATTTATAATATTCTTTATTGCACTAAAACATACAGTGATAATAACAATTAGAATTAATGTAAATATTTATAAGGATATAATTTTAAATCCAGATCGTGAAAATTTTAAGTCTACAGAAATAAAAGTAAATAAATAGTCAGTGATATACATATTATTATTGTCTACTTTTACTATTTTATACTGCATACTTATTTTTTTTCCAACATTGAGTTGCAGTTTTACGGACATCTTGAGTGATGAAGTACATGACTCGCAACCTATTTCGCTTTCGTCTTCGAGTAATATTAATAATTCTCAAACACAAGTAACAGATGATATAAAAAGTATTGTTAAAAAAGTCCGACCTTCTAAACGTACAGGACAATACGGCGACTTTAGAAGTATAGATGAAATTGGTAACTACATTTTATAATAAAATGTAATAGTAGTGTAGTGTATAATATAAATAAATTAAAATTTTTTTATTAAATAAAAATTTATACTATTGGGTATGCTGTTGATATATTTGTTTTATAGATATTAATTTTATTTACCTAACTGACTTCTTTCAGATCCGAAATATAGAGATGTATTTTCTTATCCATTTTTCAATTTAGTACAATCGAAGGTAATAGAAGATGCTTTATATTCAGGTACATTTTAAATATTTTTTTGTAAGTGAAACCATTATAAGAATATTCCTATAATTTAAGCGTTGAACAATTATTAAGCGGCTTTGATAGGTTAGGTAGGTAGGATAGTGGTCACGGTGTTTGTTGCGTTAATATCTGAAACCACTCAACCGATTTTAATGCAATACCTTTTATTTTCTCCAACTTGAGAGATAGGACAGTTGTTTTTAAGTGTAATATCTTTGCCAATTTGAAATCCATTTGGAGTATTAATTTTATAAACGAAAAGATTACTACCATGATTATCATTATCGTTTTATTTTAGCAGGACTTTTTTTAATTTTTAGCAGAAAACTTAAAATGTTGCAAAAAATACAAAATGGGGCCGATTCTGAGGCGCCGTTTCCCTAAACCTATCTCTAAAAATAAATATAGCTTTGATATCATAGCAAAATCTTTATTATATGAACTAATATGTATATAAAAAATAATATATATAAATATGAACTAATTTTCTAATAGTGAATCAAGTGTAAAAATTATAATATTTATTACGGCCTATTAAACAGTAACTTCGTGCAACTATCAAAATAAAATATTATATTAAGAGTTTAGAAAAATGGCGTATCAGAATCGGCCCCAATATAAAATATAATAAACACTCTTTGCGTTTACGTTCTCAGTTATATGCATATGCTATTTTAAATTTATTAAAATTACAGACAAGTCTATAGTGGTAAGCGCCCCTACAGGTTCTGGGAAAACTGTTGTTTTTGAAATGGCTATAGTACAGTTGTTAATGGACATGGATGATAAAAATTATACTGGCGATTTCAAAATTATTTATAGTACGTATTATTGTTAATTATTATCATCATCATATTAGACTTTAACTGTCCACTGCTAAACATAAGCTTCCCCTTGGGGGTATTGTCAGTAATTGCCACGCTTGGCAGGCAAATTAGCAACTGCAATCAGGTTTTAGAAATGTTTTAAGAGGAACTCGCCCTCCCTTAGTCGGCTCTTATGATACCCACAAGATAGGAAGGGCTATTTAATGTCGAGACCACGCGGCCAACATTACGTTACTATTATTATTAGTTAATTACACATTATTATTAATAAAATAATAATAATGACATATCTATTCAGGTGACATTAATCTTACTGAGATAAGTTACCAATTATGCAATCTACCTTGTCGTATCCAACAATGACGACTCCTGATTATTTATATGGATGCCTATCGTGATAAACGAAATTAATTTTTGATTACATTTCATTGTAACTATTGAATATCAAGTGCTAAACGGAATCCATTGCTACTGATCATTTCAGAATGTAAATTAATATCATTACCGGATATTTATTGAAGTGTGACTGCATAGCAATTGTCAATATTAAGGAGGTTTTCGGTTTCCTCTATAAAGGACTTGGCTTGACTTTACTAAAGAAAACATGTAGTGAAATTACAGGCTTCTTGTGTATTTTTTTTTGAGAACAATAATCATGCATATTGGTAGAAAGAGATAGAAAATCTTCTATTATTAACATTATTTATTAATTTCCGATACGTATTTTTTAGCGGCTTCAAAAAAGAGGTTCTTAAATCGGTTGTATTTTTTTTTAATTGTTACCTCATAATTCCGTTAGTTGTAAACGAATTTGGAAAATTCTTTTTTATCTGTAAGAATATAAGGATAAAGGATAATATAAAAAAATTATCAAAATCGGTTATGTAGTTTTATTTGTGGAATGAGTTAATTTTTTTTATTTTTTAGTAAGTGTCAATTTACAATCAAGATTTCGCTGTGATATCGAATTAAAATTTCAATTTATTAGATTCCCTAAAAATCCTATAGTTGCTTTTGTTCAATTTCTGTAAAGAACGTTTTTTATATTTTATATAAACTTTCGTTTGCAGTGGCTCCTGTAAAAGCTTTATGCACTGAAAGATTAACAGAATGGTATCCAAAATTTACGCAACTTGGTTTGCTCTGTATTGAAGTTACTGGAGATACAGATGTTGATTTTAATCAGTTAAAACCGTACCGGTTAGTACTTAACAAAGTTTTTATATTTAAGTTATTAAAGACACATTTACGTATGGTAGGTATTGTATAATAAAAATTATAGCTGTAGCTAATGTAGCATGATAAGGGAACATATTTTAAAAATATAAAAAATAGAAGAATTCTGATGCAGACATGTGGGGTGATCTATCCTTTATAATAATAATAAAATAATAAACATCACAGGATATATTAAAATACAAAGCGCTATCTAATTTCAAACTAAACAGAACTTGTACTATGGATAATAAAAAATGGATAAGTGACACTTAAATATATTTTTGTAATATACATAATTGTAAATATATATATAATTATAAAATATACATGTGTATATAACCCTCGGATCATTACAAATAGGCATATTCGTGTATACAAATGTTTGTGTTGTACCAAATTTGTGGGATAAATCCCACGAAAACTATGGAAATCGATTCATGAGAGAAAAACGTTTTAGGCTTTTGTTAGAGACATGTAAGCAAAAGGATTTGGTAATTTAACAATTCGAATATTGAAAAAAAAAACTTAAAAAAAAGAGAACAACAGAGAAATAAAAAAAATAAGTTCAAATAATATAATAATCTGTATTTATTTATTGTGAAAATATAAAAACTGAGAAGTATTGAACAGTGTTTTTTTTATAAGTAAGTACTTGTACAAATTATAGATAATTATATATATAATATTTTTATTAGCTATAAAATTGGGTATGAAATATTAAATCTTGTAATTTAAAATATATATATATATATATATATATATATATATATATATATATATATATATATATATATATATATATATATATATATATATATATATATATATATATATATATATATATAACAATTACATAAATATGAAAGAACTAGGTAATTTATGATGATTAATAAGATGAATGTTTATTATAGTTTTCATAACTGTTTCATACTGACGACATACGTAGTATAGGTTTTTTTTAGAATAGCATCAATTAAAACACCTATAATTTATAGGTGTTAAATAAATAAAGAAGAAAACTACGTATTAATATTTTAACGAAACAAAACGGATTTTACAGAACAAATGAAGATGAGAGATAAAGATTTGAAAATATTAGGAACATTCATAGCTAAATTATGATCTAGATACAGAACCAGTTGTTCTGATCGTTAATAAAATTATATCGGATGTTATTTTTTATACTAAAACTGGTCAATTGACAATTGAATTATCAATGAATTTGTAAAATAAAACCTAGGATTACATACAGGTTTTATGTGTTCCACATAAGGCGAAAAGCTTCATGAACAATTGGAACAATCTAATAGAAGACCCAAAAGGAAGGAATACTTTCACTTAAAATTATGACGATCGTGATGTAAATATGTAACAGTTCTTATTCAACTCGAATAAGAACATATTTTTTTTATTCATATTTGATTTAAAATGTGTATTTATAAATATTATTTTTGTTTTGAATAGCATAAAGTATTTCATTGTGTTAATTTTCTAACATTATTGCCTGCCAATTTTACAGAAATATTTGTCCAAAAGACATTCTTTTGCGAGCCCACTTTCTGATAAACGTTGCAAAGAATATATATACGTACACCAAGGGTCTTCAACCTTTTTGAAGTGAAGAGCTTAGGATACTCTGATTTTGGTTCACATGATGTTGGCACACAACAAAACATTCCATTATAAACTAAAAGTAATTAAAAAGCACAATAATCATTGAAGTTAATTATAATAAAATTTTACAAATAAAAATTTATTTTAATAAAATTCAATCAATGAGACAATTGACGTTGTTTATTCTTAACAAATTTATCAATATCTGTGTAAATGTAAATTTAATGTAGTTAACCTAATTGGGCCGCCAAAGACGCCATCTAGTTTTCTTGAAATTATTGTTTACAATGAAAATTAAGCATATTTTTCAAATAATATGATAATATGGTATTAATCAAGTATACAAGGTTATAGTTCTAATACTGGATTTAATAAAAGGGTTGGGTTTTAATGTGGGCGCGTAGACAATCGTGCGGAAGAGTAGTGAAAACTTGATCAACAGGACATATCAACAATTAAATTATGACACAGAAATACCTACCTATTTTATTAATTATGTGCTATGTTAAAGAGCATAATGATAGGTTAGTCAAACAATGATAAAGCACAGACCAGGGACACCAAGATCAAACTTCAGACTAAATCTTAGTGATAATTATTTGATTTGTGCTTCGGGGGGCTTGTAAATGTAAATAAATAACGTCAGAGGCAATAAACAATATTGTACAACTACTTTAATACTATTGTTTGGAACAATGAAGGCGGCCTAGAATTTCTTAATATTAGAGGACGCAACACTCACACATTGTACCTATATTACTGTTTCAAAAAAAAAAAAAAGGATCCAAATTAAAGTGCACTAATTATTTTCTTGTTGATTATGGGATTAATAAGAGTTCTTACTAAAATATATAGATATTGATGTATTTTTTCAAGTTTGAAATTGGTTTGTCTTATTGAAAAAAAATATACGTCTTTTTTTATTCCACGTTCCATGTGGGGTAGTTATAGTATTAATTAATTAATTTAAGTATAAATTGCTCAATCTCTCGTAACAAGTCGCACAAATACGTAGGTTTTTTGAATACTTCCTCACATAACACATGGTTTACATATTATAAAATGATAGATTGGTGTAGACCTCTGGGTACCTGCATTCTTCTATTTTCTTCTTTTCATTTGAAATTATTACTGTAAACGGATCTTGTTTATATAAGATTATGTTGAAGTATGCCTAATCATTTTCTACAAGGTGAAATCGAAATTTAATGATTTGCATACGTAAGGTTCGTGCATTGATACTGAATGTTTTTGCCCATAGAAACGTGAGTTTAAAAATGATAAATTTTACTTCTTCTCCCATTACTAACTTGATAATGAAACATGTTAATTTGTAAGGCTTCAATATTACGAACGTAGTATAGCGGTTTAACACACTGTCGTCATCTTATTATATTTGTGGATTCAATCCCTACACAGTACAAGAATTATGTTGATATTTATGATGTTAGTTAGTATTTGTATTAATCTATATTCTAATATCCATAGTACAATCTCTTCTTAGTGTCAGAATAAACAGTTGTATAATTTTCACTAGTATTTCTTTACCTTAGATTATATAGATAAAGCCTCGTGCCTCAAAAAGGGTCAACTTTTTGTTAGCTAATAGTCAAATTAGCTGAATCGTTTTTCTTTTATTTTCTATATACACATAGTGTACCTTGACGTATCTATATTTAGTTATTTAATAAATAAAATTAGTTTTACTCATTTAAAAGATACAAAAATTATAAAACAAAACAAATATAGAAATTATAAAACATTCATAACCATTTATCACGCAAAATTGTAAAACGCAACTTTTTCAAAGTTGACACTCTTTTTTCAGAGCAATTAAAGTAAACACTCTATCTATATAATTTAAGTTCTTTATTTATATTAATAATCATTGTCGCATATTTCTAACTTTGTCGTTGCATATAATCTTTTAAATAGAATCATAATAACGACGCCAGAGAAATGGGATATGCTCACTCGGAGGTGGAGAGACCATAGAGGGCTAGTGGAAGTGATAAAATTGTTTCTCATCGATGAAGTCCACATACTGAATGACGAAGTACGCGGACCGGTGTTGGAAGCGGTCGTCAGTAGAATGAAAACTATAGAGGTAGAACTAATTACTTCATTATCATCATCATATTAGCCGTTAACAGTTCATTTTTAAACATAGGCTTCTTTCTAGCAAACTACTTACTTGTATTATAAATATTTTGTAGAAATAACAAATATAGTACATGCCCATTATCCATAGAAAAACAACAATGTGTCAGCCAATGGCATGATGTTTAAAATCAATGCTTACTGCGGTCTAGCGTTTAAAATTTATTATATTTTTTGAAATTTACATTTCGTTCGATATGATTTTCACTAGTTTTATATCTTCGTGTAAACAAAAACTGTATAGAATCGTGACGCTAAAGGACGCCTTCACGAGTCATATTCTACGTATTGTCTTTTAGTTTTCATCTCGCTTATATCTAGTTACGTATATAAATCCACTTCAATGATGTTTATGTATCACTTTAATTTTGTCCTCGATAAATAATTTTAACCATATGTCTTATTTATTCCTTTAGTCTTCAGCACTGTCGGCTTATCGAATTGAACAACTTAAAAAACAATATAGTACAGATCAAAATATAACTAATGTGGCTATAGATGAGTCACCACCGCCTAGGATTAGATTCATAGCTGTGTCTGCTACTGTTAGCAATCCTGAAGATGTTGCGACATGGTTGGGAACTAGTGATAAGCCGGCAGTATATTTTAGGTAAGTTTTGTGATTGTCATAGTAAAATGTTTTAAGAAAAAATATTTTATATAAAATATTTTTTACTACTTATCTTAATAACAAATTAGAAAGTGAGTTTATATGTTTTTTGTGAAGGTATTTGGTTGTTAGATTCTTGAGTGGCGACTTTATACGGGTCAACGCAGTGTAGGAAGTCTAATGAGGACTAGATGGAGTGAGGATCTTAAACGTATCGCAGGGAGTCAGTGGATGGATGCAGGTGGCTCTGGACCGTTCCGTATGGCCGTCTATAGAAGAGGTCTATATCCAGCAGTGAATAGATAATGGTTGCAATGATGATGATGATACAGTTGTTACTACTTGGCGTCTTAACGGTTTACCTCATGAAATTTACTGGAACATATTATTTCTCTTTATCCTAAGCAATACAAATACTTAGTATTTGTAATGGACAAAAATTTGAATAGAATAAGTATGTGGTATAAAAAATATGACATTAGAAAAACCATATAATTATATAACGATAATGTATCGTAAAATACCTCTAAGTGTGCTTAAATTATAGGTGTTTGTGTAAGCGCAATTTGTATAAATAATATAGTAGGTACTGATGAAAATGACTATGACTATGACTTCATTATAATAAAAGGTACCAACGCTACCCTACTCTACCAACCTTTTTAAAAATGTAAAATAGAAGATTTTTTTATATTTATTTATAACCAGTTTTTTGCTTGCTACTTCGTTTGCATGGATTTCAGAAGGAAAATTGGATCATTTATAGATGACGTATCAAGATAAAACATACGCGAAATCGAAAATGAGACCTTCAAAAACACACTTGTAAAAACGTCGTTCAATTTGGTGCAGTAGTTCTTGTATGATGCTGGAACAAGAATATAGACAGACAGACAAAATATTTAAAAATTATCGTTTTGACATATACTCGTATTGGTCTCTTACTAAGACTGCACATATTAACTATATTATCTTTTGTTATCTCTTATGTGCAGACGTCGTCTAATTACATTTTTATTATATTATTAAGATGCAAAATAAGACTTAATAAAAATAATACAGATTCGGCGACGAGTGTCGTCCAGTTAAATTGAAGCGTGTGGTAGAAGGATACCCATGTTCTGAGGGCACCAGTATATTCAAGTTCGACATTACGCTCAATTACAAACTATGGCCGATTATTCAGAAATATCATAACGGCAAGCCAACACTTGTAAATATACCATCATTTTTATTATACGTATTTTTTTTTATGTATGAAAATTAAACGGTAATCCCGCCTGCGTTTTGAATTTATGTTGTCAGTCTTATCCCAGTTGGCCTATCATGATGGATTAATCACATTGGTTCCCAAATCGGACCATGTGTAGGTCGACCTAACAGGGTATATTAGGGGTGTTAATAATGCGGACTACCAGCCCAAAGAGGTCGACATCCACGTGGTCCCCTCAGGAAACCATCATGCTGAATTCCAAGTGAATTCATCATGATGGGCTAATTGACCTGATTTTTCATTCTCACCTATATAACTCTCACTGGTGCCCCACCAGTGTATACTGATAACGCAGGCGAGGTTACCATTCCATTATCATTCATTAAAAAAAAAAAACAGGGTATAATTATTTTCACTTAACGAGGAAAGAGATAAAAGAGGATTTTAAATTTTTCTAGGTTTTTTTACCATTTTTTTTTTCACAATAATCTTCTTTATATTTAAAAAAAATAGCGGAATTTTACTAGCAGTTTTTGAGTTTTGTACGTAGTGACACATTTTGCATTTCATTTTTATTTATATACACGTAATATTTTTATTAGATATTCTGCAATACAAGAAAGAGCGTTATACTCACAGCAGAAACGTTATCTCGAGAGATTACGATCAATTTCAATTCCGAGCAGAAAGCTAAATTGATGGCATTAGCTTCCACAATTAAGAACAAGAAATTACAGGTAAAGTTATTTAATGTGAGATTTTTATTATACTAAGCAAAGTTATAGGTACAAGACAGCTATGAGATACGATATACTAAAATATTAAAATATTTTTAAAAATTTTGAAAACAATAACTTTCTGAATTATACATTATTATAATACCTATTTAACAATTAATCCGTTGCCTTAAGTATCTCTTGAAAACATTGCTCTCAGCAATAATACCGCTTTATTGTACTTATACAATTATATCGTTACATTTATTACTTGTGTTTTGTCCCTATATTGTATAATGGAAATAAAGTATACTCATTCATTCATTACATATATTTTTTTAATTATTATATAATAAAATAATTTTGTATATTATATATTGAAAATGCCCAGATCAATACATACAAAAAAAAATACAGTGTTCATATTGTGCTAAGATCAAACCTGTATCTACTGCCAGGAAGTATCTATCTTTAACCTTTCTCTAATATTTGGAATCGATATTGGTAAATCCGTGTATCCGTATGGTCGTGGAACAGAAATATATTATGTATGCTATTTTCTGTCATCCATAGAATGTCGTAAGAGACATCCAAGGGATTAAGGTTAAATATATCAGTGCAAAAAAAGGAAATTTATTCGAAATAGAATTTTGTCTCAAGTTGCCTAGCAATCATCATCATGTGATCATCATCATTATATCAGCCGTTAACTATTTACCATTAAGCATAGGGCTCTCTTTATTGTAAAATTTTGCCAGTAGTTACCACGCTTGGCAGGCGGATTAGAAACCGCAGTTAGGCTTTGGTGATGTTTTAAGAGAGAAGCTGTTGCCCATTCCTCGACCATTAACTACCCTCAGTCGCCTCTTACGACACCCACGGGAAAGGAAGGGGTAGTGATAGTAGGCTATTATCCCCATTTTATGGGGAGAGTTATGTGCTCAACAGCGCCTCATTATAGAGTCTATATTCGTAGAAGTTGTAATAAATGTTATGTTGATTACAGTCACTGATTCTGGCTGGAGTTGCATGCCATCATGCTGGTTTGTTGTTTGAAGAGAGAAATAATATAGAAAAAGCTTTTAGAAATAGAGATCTGCCAATACTTATTACTACTACAACATTAGGTACTTTGTTTTGCTTACATTAAATATGTTTCGTTAGATATTAAAGTAATACTAGCAATGGCAGTAGGCTCACCCTTTGCGACGTTTGAATCTAATATACCGGAGAAATATATGCATATTATGTTCACAACAATGACATTTAATAATACCTCTGAATTAGGGATTACAGTCGTAAACATACTTATATTATTTTTAAATATATTTTATTGACTTTTTTATCGGTAGTCCTCCTCAAATCATTCCATTTTCCAGATTTAAAGAAAAAACTAATAATAAAACTTCCCATACATGTAATTTTTGTAATACAACGACTTATTGTCATAAATTAAGTTATATAGTGCTTGTACATACTACTGATTAGCATATCTATTAGACACCTAATATTTTTAATATATCTACACATAATTCTTTCTTTATTAACAAGGCAGCTAAATGCGCTTTTTATTTAAGACTCAAAATTGTTGCCTTTCGACCCATTTATTTTGGTAAAATATTCAGTTTTATTTGATAGGTTTTTTTTTTATAATGGTGCTTATAATTTCTATTTCGCCCAATTTAATAAGATTATAAGTAGTATGCTAGGTATGTACCTATCTATACTATAGTGTGTAGACCAGAGTTGACAAACTGGCCCATCCCGCCTCCAATCGATCACAGTTAATCATTAAAGATATAAGTTTAATGTAAATAATAGTTTATATACAGTATATTAAATATTTAAAACAGACTGTTCCCCCCTGGTATAGACTATTATAGAATTATATGTTAGAATAGTAGAGCTAATTCTGATGAAACAACCCTATATTTATAAATGAATATGCACAACCTGTCTTATTACGTATATCAAATTTTCTATGTAAAATATATAATCTCTAACATACATAATATAATCATAAATAAAATATAAACATACATAATAAACTCATATAATCATCATTTCGGCCAAAATCTGTCCAAATGATATAATATTATACTAAAAGAATGTCACGAGCAAATGCTCTTTCTACCTACATAGGAACAAGGATACTAAACTTTCTATTACTGTACAACTAAGCCTTATCTGTTTTCTAGCAATGGGTGTAAACCTCCCAGCGCATCTTGTGATCATCAAAAACACGCAGCAATATGTCAACGGAGCTTATCAGGTAAGTGGATAACGTATTATGATACTAAAAGCGCATTGTCAGTGTTGCCAGATGCAATTTGTGATTTTTACCCAAATGTCTAATATTTTTTTCTACCTCCAAATTGATATGATTTCTTTCAGTTTTACCCAGTCGTCAAATCGTGTCAGTTTTCATTATATTTTGCTATATAACTAGTAAGTGAACGAAAATATAAAAGCTCTTTAATAATTAAGCCTTACCTTATGTTGCTATCTTCATTACAAGTACTAAAGGTATTAAAAAAACTATCCAAATTTCTTTATGCCCTTTTTATTTTTCTCCAAACAATTTTACACAAAATTCGTGTTGGCAATTTAAATAATATAAATTGATTTAAAAAAAAATTCACTAGTTTTTTTTTAAGTTGTATAAATGAAAATACAAATAGGTACCGGCAGACTTATACTGGCACATCATGATAAGATAGATCTTGTATATGAAATATAAGATATGAAATGCCTTTGATACTCCGTTGTATCTGCCTGCTGCACGAGGAGCTTGGTACAGTTAGAAAGTTACCTAGATATACTGGATGAAATTGAAATCATTAGTAGGACGTAAAAATGTATTAAACAACTTAAATTATAATTTGAATGCTTACAATTAGCTGATTTACTGTTTACTTATTCAAAGGAGTTGTCTCCCGCAAACGCTTAGTTTGTGGAATGCCGAGGTTTTCCTTAAAAACTACTAGACTACAGTATGAGGTTTTTTAAAAGGATTATACTAAGGTTTCTTCAGGGTCGGCAATGCGCACGTGATACCTTTAGTCTTGCAAGCCACAATAGGTTACAGTAACCGTTTACCATTAGACGTTCTGTATGCTTGTTTGCCACTTTCGTAGTTTAAAAAAAAACTTTGTTATCACATACTCAAAGCAAATAAAGTATTCTATTCTAACTAAAAATCTACCCATGCTTGTAGGACATATTAGGACAGAAATTTCCTGAATCAAAAATTCATAAACTATAAATAATTTTGAGTCTCCCATAATAACCTAATAGCAGAATGCGCCGTGTTAGTATAGGCTTCATATTTTATATCAAATATTAACCCGTTTTTTTTTTTGGTGAAATAATCAATTCCGTTAGTACAGGATTAGCCAACCGGTCGATGGTGGCAAGACAAAAAATATAATATTTGGCTAATCTAGTAGAACATGTTCAGACGCAATGCTCACTAAGAATAATTTTCAGTTTTATGTTTTCCTTCTTAATTAAATAAAAAATACTACAATGCTATACAATTGTGTAGTGAACTATGTTGTTTCATTTGAGATTGCATTATTTGAGGCTATGTATTTGGTAGATCACACAGGGTATCGTCAGTAAACAGTAGATCTTGGTGCTAGTGAAATCAGGCACCTCTGCCCTAGTAGAACACTCACTTAAATGAACACCAACGAATTTAATTCCCTTTATAAATAATGATATTTTCCTATAGGAGTATAGTATCAGCACGGTACTGCAGATGGTCGGCCGCGCTGGTCGGCCGCAGTACGACACGGAGGCCACCGCTGTCATTATGACCCGATTGAATGATAAGGTAACTATAGTACCTACTTGTAGTTTAAAGTCACTAACTGTACTTTGAACTTGAGAATTGTTCACATCATTTAAGATAACGAGAATCACACTATTTATAATAATATTGTGTTATACTCATTAATATTTATTTAGAGTTGTGTTATCTTAATTTAGGACTTTTTCCTTAAAAAAAAATTATAATGGTATCCATATTTTTTTGTTTTTATTAGTCTGGACGTATACTATGTATTACAATTTGGTATCTTGCTAATAAATTTATTTATTTATTCTTCATTGCACAATAAAACTTTGTACAAATGGCGAGCTTAATGCCATATGGCATTAATTGTAACTAGATGATGTTTATACACGAGAGATATTTAAGAAAAAATAATGTGATTATTACAACCAATAGATACCAAAACAATAAAATTGAAAAAAAAATGTTGTATTTCTGGAGATCTAACTTCAATACTGGTATTTGTTTTATCTTTATACGCCATCTAAAAGTGGTTTATTTAATTAGTTTTTTCTACTTCGAACCAACAATAATGTTAAATTCTATCTGATAGGGAACATTCATTACCCCTGAGACCTCTAGATTTTGAGCTGTCTGTTATATATTTTATACTCTAATGTTTTTGAATAATTTGTATTTTTATCTTTGTTTTATATTTATCAAAATGTATCAGACACAACGATATCATTGCGTGTGCCGTTGGGAACTTTTTTTAGCCGGTAACTGAAAGTCAGTGTTTTGCTTTATAAACATAAGAATATTATTTACCCTGGATTAATATTTTCTTGAAACACTCATAAGTAATACGAATTAAATTACACCTTAATATATTCCATCATGCTGATTATTCAGTTCGCCAGCTAAAGCTCTTGGATGGTGCTAAATATTTAAACTCAAAAACATTATCCTCCTTAACTTGATAGATGGTTAATTTAACTAAAATGAAAAAAAAAAGACAATTTGTGATTTTTTTATTTAATACAAAATTTATTTTGAGTAATTATATCTTACTAATGTAATGATATATCTATATTAAAGTATAAAATTATATTTCTTTACATGGCAATAGGGGCCTATTCTTATTAACTATAACTATGTTTCCATCACAGTAATGGTAACGTCACGTGTTCACAGTATTATCAATTAATTGATAAAATATGCAAATAATACTTTTATTATTCCTATTCATAGCTATGAAATCTAGTAAAACAATTAAAGGACTATTGAGTGTTTTTATAATTTATAATTAACCAGCACGCAATTAGATGCTTTTGATTTTCCATGCATATTCCCTATGAGTGCTTTTATAATTAGTATCGTATCACACGATACAATATTTTATATTTTTATCATCACCATAACAGGAGACCGATATCTATGGATAAGCAAAAGTATGAATACTCTTTTATTTATTCGCCACGATATCGTGGACATGTGCGGAAATTTCAAAGTGTCTTCATACAATCGGATTCATCTTGCTCCTTTATAACATCATGAGGATAAAATCATGCGATATCGTACTGTGCTGTGATAAATTATAAAATTTCCCACTATCATCATACAATGTACGTCTACGTTGTTATTATGTAAAATTTAAACAGTCTCGATTTTTTAATATAATAATAATATCGAAACAATATAAATGTTGCTTACTAAGACAAATTGTAACAGTCCATAATAATTGGCTATTTAATTGTTTTGTTAGACTTTTGTAGCTCTCCATACGACATACACAAATTGATCTCAATATCTCTTTAAACCAATTTAATACTTACTTATAATGTTACAATTCGGGTAAAAATAGAAACTGATGAAAGCAACAAAAAACATGTTAGGTATGTTTGTGTTTAGTTTAAAACAACAAATAAATTGAATAAAATTAAACCTTTATGCGTTCCCCAATAGGTACGTAATTGTCTAACTTCAACAAATTATCAGAATATAATAGTTTGAAAATACAACAATACTTTTTTAGACAAGTATTGTAGCTGTAATTTTAATGTCCTAATTTCCTATTCATTACTAAATTTCTATGTACATTAATCAATCTATACAATATATTCAATGTACAATAGAATCAATCAATCAAAAATCATTTATTTTTTTGTCGTCGTGATAAAATAGCTATTATAACAATTTTGAGATGCTGTGTAAATTATTATGTTCTTAGTTAAAAGTATTTAAACTGATTCATAGAGAGACTTTGATCAAATCGTATATTCATTCCACAAGACTTGTTACATTTCTTTATTCTTCTACTTTCTTTTTCCGAAGGGATTAGCATTTTCCTCAAAACTGATCTTAGGAACAAATCCACTTTCCCCTTCTACGGTGTATTCCACTGTCATCAGTCTTCCATCAGGCAGCAACACTTTGTACCCTCCGATTACTTTCCCTTGTGCATCTCCAGATTCGTTTGCACCGAAGTAGAGAGACTTCTCTTGATCTTCCACATCATACTTATATTCATACTGTAAAACAAAGAAGTAAAAATAAATTTATTTTAAAAATAGTATGTAGTTTAGAATCAGTTAATTTATATACATTAAACAAATTCTCTTGAGAATAATACTCAAGGCAAGCGGTATGTCAGATCTTGCTTAATAAATTCATATCTTTTTGTTTGTATTTAAGAATGGTCACATTTTTGTCGCAATGTTTATTTTCTATAGTTCACAGGCTCATAATATAACATTGAACAATTTTATAATGAAATTATTATGAACAATTTATTGAAAAAATTTACAAGTTGAAATATGGAAGCTACGAGTATATGAAGCTAATTATACTACAATTTGTTTACTTATCTATGCCATATTACATTATTTAAATATGAAAAAAAAACTACAGGATCAATTTGCATTCCGTATTAACCTTATCTTAATAACTTAAACGGTATGAATGAAATTTGTTACATAAAGAAATCATGACCTAGTTTAATACACATATAATATAAAACTTATTTATATTATATATGAATGATGATAATGATTTAATGATGAAGAAAGATTTAGAAGCCTAGAATTGACTGCTAATATGATTTGGGCTATTAACCACAAAAATTTGAAGAAACATATAATTATTCAAGTTTAGGCAGGTGTATTATGAACACGGAATTTTATAATTTCAATGTAAATTTAATACAAGGAAGCATTTTATTACAATTGCACAAAACTATGACCGAGCGTGACATTAATTTTGCAACTTTACTTAATTGTTATGCAAAATAAAATGTCTAACGAAATGTAAAATAAAATTATTAGACAACCTTTTTACTAATCTCTTTACTCATTACACATTAATTACATTTTCGGAATTAAAATCGAGTTTGTACTTAGTCCTAGTAACAATTTAATTTCATTTACTCTTTTTACTTGCCTATAGTGTTTGCAATTAATCGTGATAAGATGAAAGATAAGACGAGATAAGTTGAAGCACACAAAGACGGGTAAACATTATTGCGTTCAACGTCCAATTAGTGGGTTCGTTGATTATATATTCACATCGTTAACATTAAACTGAGATAAAACAGATTAAGGGACTAGTGGCCTATTGTCCCTAGTGCACTATGACTGGTTCATTTAGTCATGAGATTTTTTATTTTATGATTCACATTAGGGATATACGTACATATTATGGATTTAATACTATTAACATTGACTGATGCTACATATTCACTGAACACACTTCGTACTTTACTTATAGAGTAAACACTCTATAATATAAACATATTAAAACTAGTCTTTACCCGTGGCTTCGTTTGCGTGACTGGGACAAATTGGTTAACTCATTTAAAAGTTGCTCTTGTCCTTTTTTTATCCCAAATACATATTTGATTCCAAATTACATGAGGATTGGTTGAACCAAGAAAAAAAAAACAAACTCTCACATTTACAATATAACTAATTTAAGAAAAAAATGCAAATTCTAACCTACTAATTTAATAATGATGTAAGTAGCTGTAATTGGCAGACATATATATGCATGTATGCATAAGAAGTATAATTCATTTATCATACTATCATAATTCTGAGTATCATAAATATTATTATACGTGCAATTATAATGTGTTTTATAGTCAGTTAAGCTCTAACTATAGGACGGTAAATAAAAGTTGTCTACCTTAACATTATCGAGGAGCGACAAGGATGCGCCGGCGCACATCGGCAATAATTTAAACAAAACGTGAATACCTTTGACCTACAGTGTTACGACTTCTGATTTAGTAATAAGAACTTGGAATTGCGACAGTGTACATAAGACAGCAATGAGGTGAAAAAACTTTATTTAAAGTTATGATTAACATAACTTTAAATAAATAATAATTAAAAACATAAAAGCAGTAATATCAATGTTTGTAATAAATGTTTAATAAACAGTTTACTGTAAAGTATAAAAATAAAAATAAAATTAAAAATAGAATACTTTTATATTAAGTCCTTTTCTCCTATTTATTTAACATCAATCGAGTCATGAATATTGTTGATATAAATTATTACATAACATACATGTTATTTTGTGCCAACAATTGATAATGCATAAATTTAATTTCATAAATTTCCTTTAAATTAAAATTATTGTGTTATTACGTGTTCAGTTACTTACTTCGTTATTTGCTTCTTCAGCAGCAATGCGTGCGTTGATGTCTTTTCATCTAAAGGGTAATATAGCTAATGCAATAATGAAACATGTCTAGGTTTCTGATCTAAATGGCAATAATTGAGTATTATAATTATCTACTATGTGACGGCGACCTTTTTCTTGTCAATACCAATAGAAAACAAAAACTTATTGCTTCGCAAAAAACAACGAATTCAATTGTGATAAAACACATCGATTATAGATGTTTAGGAAGCACATTATTATCTCTAAACAAAAACGATTGCTATATTTTCTATGGGACTAAGATGGCATAGAATCGCCCACTCCTTTCCTTTCTATGTATATCGTAAGAGGCGACTAAGGAAACTGAATGATGGAGAGATGAGCAGCAGCATCCCGTTTAAAGCATCATTAAAGCCTAACTGCGATTAGTACCCCGCCATAAACCGGCGTACTAGCAAAATTAGGAGAGCCCTGTATTCAGCAGTGAACAATTAATGGCTGATATGATGATGATGAAGACTGGATGATGATTGTTTTGTCGCCAAAACATAAGTGACGGGTACATAATATTACACATACTCACTGGCATAGGCGGTGACGCATCTTCTTGGGGCGCAGGTGCGGCTCGAGTATGTCGCACGCTTAAGCTTGCGATGACGAGCGCGCAAACTATCCATTTTGTTGACGACATCTGAAAGAAATTGTATACTTGTACTTGTACTGATTTTACTCGCGATTTTGTCTGCGTACTAAGATGTACTGATGGACTGGGGTAAAAAGTACCCTGTGTCCATCTTTATCCCAAATTATAAAATATTAGCAGTTACCCGAAATTTTTCACATATTACATATTTTAATTCATTGAGTCTACGAGAAATTTTGTAGTACAAAATGTACAGACTTCTATTTCAGTTACAAAACCAAAATTTAAACTATCCATACCGTTTTGTATTTTTAAAAGGTTTAAATATTGAATACTGTAGACATCTGTGTAACTAGTTAGATTAAATGATTACATTGTTTAGTCAAGCAAGTTACAAAGGTGTGGATAATTATAACCATTTTAGAATTAATTCATCTAGGATTAAAAACAGGTTTAGATATCAGCCGTGATCCATCTTAAGCAATAAACACCTTTAATTGACCGAAGATGGCACTAGACAATTAATTGCGGTATTAGCTTTTTTGTCCATGCAATCTGCCCTTCAGTTAATTATGTTAATCACTGTACTTCGTCTCGATATCAATAAATCGTTTAAGGTAAAAAATACACATGCGCTACATAAGTAATTTAGTTTTGAGTTTGAATAATACATATACATATAACAGTATAAAAATCATTAAACCTATTAAAGTCTCACTGTTAGAAATGGGTCTCTCTCTATATAGGAAGGATACAGGCCTACGTTTATGGTGGCCAGGTGATTCGGTATTGAATTTTATTTACAATTTTCTTCTGTCGTCGTATTGTGTTTTATTATCTTAGTTTTTTTTCTAGAACATTCTTAAGACGAAAACAAGTGGTGACGTATTCTTACTCCGTTATCACATAGAATAGGTATATTCTGTGTGATAAAGGTGATGGATGTTTGTTACTTTTGCACACAAAAACTGCTGAATGAATTGAAATGAGATTTGGTGCACAGATATCTATATATCGAGTCCGTACCCGACAGATGTCGTTCAAACATAAATTATGAACAATTTGTATGGGGTTTTTACGTTTGTCTAAGTAATAAATTTTCCTCTTTATAAGAACATTCCGCGAACTTCAATAAATGTTTGAAAAAAAGTGGATTTTGTTCGGCCGTTCTCGAGTTCTGCGTTCAGCAACACATTTAGCATTTAAATGAATATGATAGATTATATCCAGTAAGTACTTGTGACTCTCAACTTTTCAGGTCAGCATGGACGCAATTATCTACTTATATAAAAGTTTCATTAAGATGTAGATGTACATACAAACTTGATATTTTATGAAATTGTCACGTCTACTTTTTACTTATATATTTAGATATAGGTCATTATAATAAAATTAATTCATTTTTAAATTTAAACATTTTTAAATACCATCCATTCAAAAAATTATACATATTTTAAAGATCAATAATATGTAAAAAAAAGTACATAAATTTAACTAATTAAATAAAAACATATGTTTCATAAAAAATTTTGATTAGCGTTATAATTTAACCACTTCAAAATACATACAAAACATAGCAGATATGTATGTCAATAATTTAGATTAGGTTGGCCTTGCGAGATCGGTTCCTATGGGTCCTAACGATTGCTTTGTCTCAACCTCAACGCAATCTCTATATGACACGTGATTGCGTATAACCACTTTTTCCTTTTTTTGCTCATGTAATTTGTAGTGTCACAAGTTGATACAATAATTGATATTCGCTGCAGATAATATAGTCAATTGTAAATATAGTATGACTAGTTTTTAACCAGGACTTTGTCCACGTGACCAGGATATATTAATTGATAAAGAAAGCAAAAAGTAACCTGTGTGGTTCTTCATATTAAAGATTACATGTATATTAAATTTCATAACTATTGTTCGTCGTGATGTATCATGAGTAACTAACTTATTCTCATATTTCTAACATTAGTAAAGCATGATAGCTACTAAATTAATAATTACAACTTTAAGAATTTCTAAATTAAGTTATTTTATCTGCCATTTAATCACGCACGAACGGTATCCACATCGAATGAAGTTAGCATACAAAACCAACATATAATAAAATTACCACATAGAAACTACCTTGATAAATTTAATTTTCACACAAAAATTATCATTATTTCCTTAGAGCAGTAGTGCAGCAGCAACAAAATTAATTGTCGTCGACTTCGAAACGAAAGGAAGGTGGTTTTCAATTTGACTACCAGTACTTTATATATGTATATAAATGTAATATAATTGACGCCGATTGAGCATTGAACTTTGTTTCTTTTTTTTCATTAGGTTATTATTGCTCACTTTATTATTTACATATATATTATTTTTTGACAAAATTGAAATCAGATATAAATTTATTTAGTATAACCATAGTCTATAGTATAGTATAAATATATTCTAAAAAGAAGTCCAAAAATGTTACCTTCCCTATAGAGATCACATCTTGACTTTAAAATTGTATTGTGTTGTCGATATCTTGGTTTGCAAAAAAGTATTATTTAAACGTAATGAAATTAATATGTCATCAATATAGCAGCCGACTTTATCGATCGCAAATATTAATGGATTAAGGATTTGTGTTTGTGAAGATATACAATACTCTACCCATGCAAAGTCGGTGTAAATTAATTGTCTAAATTAGCTATCTATATAAGAAAAAGTCCCGCTCCCCCTAAAAATTAGCGCTGTAGCTTCTCGGCTGCAGCATAACGCTGAACGGTGACTATTTCGACAAACATTGCATAACACCTTTACCTCCTATACATATTATTTTACTGTGTATAAACTTTTTTTTTAAATAACAATATTGCCATTGATTCTCGCTGAAAATGTAGCTTACTATAGGTGGAAGAATTGAAGTTTATCTATTAAAACAAACAATCGAATATTTTCTCTTTATAATATTAGTATAGATATAGACAATATATAGCTAAATTTTAAACTTGCACTTTTTTACACCCACTTAAATATTAATATTACAATGCACACGTTCATATGCAATTTTTTAAATATGTTTGTAGGTTTACGAGATGTAGTACTCATAGTTGCATATTAGCCACAAGTGTGCGTGCAAACCGATAGTTTTCTTCACTTTACCTCTAACGTAATTATTGTTAACAAGTTGACGATGCGTTAAACAGCCATTAGAGGTGAACATCGCATCATATCATGTGACGCATGTAATATAAGATGATTTTAAACAATAAATATAATATAGCATTTATTAAACTTAACATTGTTAGTTTTTGTGTTATGTCGATTGAACTGTGACATGTTCACGAATGTTATCTCTAATTGGGTAGTCAGAAGCGTTTTTCGAATCTCGCTATAGTAGTGAAGGTAACACTGGATAAGTAGGTCACATTTCGCAGAGCCTGTTAGAATCCATTGTTGCAGAAAGCGATCCCACTTTCGTCTTTCCTTTTAAAGTAGTTTGTCAGTGTTTTTTATCACAGAAGATGAGATCAAATTAAATCAATAGATCTATGAATATGAGATTGATATAATGATAATATAATTTATTTCCCTTATCTATACTAAATTGCAAAGAAGGCAGGTTTGATTATTTGTTTGTTAAACTTAAAAACTATTCAATCTATTTTAAAAATTCTTTCGCCTATAGAAAGCTAAATTGTTTTTAATAAGTGATAATGGAATGGTAACCCCGCCCGTGCTATCGGTATACACTGGCAGGCGCCAGTGGAAGATGATAGGTGAGAATGAATGCAGGTCAGTTGGCCCACCATAATGAATTTGACAAAAATTAATCATGATTGTTTCCAGGGGGAACCGCGTGGAGGTCGACCTAAGAGGGTATATTGCTAGTATATTACTATTAGACCTCAATACTAACAATCACTTTCTCCCTAGAAAACTATATTATCAGCGAGTAACATGGGCTATATATCATTATAAAAAAAAACTACAAATCCCGACTAAATTTACAATAACACAATATCAAAAATTTTGCTATTAAAGCTAATGTTACATCTGCTATTAAATAATCCACTGCTACTGATAGTCTACTGCTAAATATAGTATCCTTCATAAGGAGAGTTTTGCCAGTAGTTGCCACGCCTACCAAAGGCGGGTTGGCAACCGCTTATTGTGATATATTAAGAGAAACACTGCTGCCCATTTCACCACCATAAGTACCCTTTATTTAAGCTAATAAAAATACTAATTTATAATAATAATGTTAATATAGTATAAAGATAGATACGCATAACTGTTAAGGTATAATCAAGATCATTGCTTTGCTGTGTTAATTTTGTTTGCAATAAATCAATATTGTAATACAGTTATCACTTCACACGTTTTTCGTTGTGCAGCCATAGTACTTAAACAATTGGTTTCACATCTACGCTTCTGATAACATTCATCGTAAATTATAATAGGCAATCTACGGATTACTGGGAAATAAGTCGTATTATAATGAAACAAGCTCGGTGTTTAAAGCTTTTGTTTGCCTAATTCTTTTTTGACTAGATACCTAAGATTTTTCCTGTTAAAGATTTCAGTGTGCATTATTATAACTTCTGGGTTTCTCACCTTGATTTTAAAGTAAATTTATTAGTTTGAATAACTAAGTTTGATTAAAAAAGGAATAGTTAGCCGGTTGTGATTTTTAATCGGCAATCTTCGTACAATCTTTTATTTTCTATATTTTCAATTATTCTTCTTAGTACACATTTACGTTATATAAAAACTATCATACTTCTCAATGTAATATCCTAAATATTGTTCGTTGGTAGTCAAAATTTTATTTACATTTCATTGATATGAATGCCACCTTGCTTTGCTTTGCTTAAAATAATTATCACATTGTTTGTTAGACTTCATGCTTCTCTTTGCAAAATTTCATCAAAATCTATTATAACCATTATGGTTTAGCTGTAAATGTAGTTCACAACTATCACAATATACTCCAATACTAGTAATTATAAAGTAGTAGCAAATTTTATACTGCTATGCTCACATGAATTTGAATAAAAATACCGAAGTGTTAATCTGTGATACTCTTCATTTTTGTACCAAAATTAATTTCAATCATAACAGTCTTTTAAGCATAATAATGTTTTTAACATATGTGCAAACACTTAAACATCTTTACAAATTTTACATTTATAATAATAGTAAGATTAATCTTGCTAGCGCGCGATGTCCCTTTATACATTTATTGAAATTAATACCTAATTTATTGTTGAGCATAGAACCCATAACAGGACACTTTTTATTATAAGCATGTGTATTATTAATGCTTAAATATATTTTCATATATATATATATATATAATATAATCCGTCCATCCGAACATCCATAGGGATAAGTACGGTTGTTTAAGTTCAAAATATAAAATTCCTATAAGTTAGTAACTATATATTATACTCGTAGTTATAGTTAATGGAGTACCGATGTCGGTGAAGCGAAGCTCATTACACTCACCTTTACAGAAGGCACGAAACACAAACACGACACTGCACAACCTGTAAAACCGTTGACAATGGCCGTATGGCGTGTGAAGCTGACTGGTGGAGCGCCCCGGCCTCGTCCTCACCTTATATACGCACCCCACGACTCCCCAGCGGCGCGAAGATGCCGCAATAAGTACATCCATCGTGATGGATATACTTCCACATACTCAGATTTTAGTTCCATATAAGCATGACTAGATGTCAACATATATAGCGCCAAGTATAAGTCAAATCGTATCAAACCGTGTTAGTTTAACAAATGGCAGATACCTAGATATAAAATAAGCTTATAAAGTACAAATGAAAAATGAAACTTAGTACCAGTAATGAGAGTACTAAATGCAACATTTTACGAATTGCCGTTACCTACCTCGTCTGGAATTTTTTTAAGCAACTTAAAATGGCACAAAAGCTGACGGCCCACCTGATGGAGAGTGGACAAAGTATACTAAGTGGCCCATGATACCCCTCATGTGTTACCATTTCTGAAGACAGGTGTGGATTACAGTAACGAGCACATTTTTTGTTATTAAATACAAAAGTGTGCTAGATTATTTTATCAATGCCAATAATTATAATTACTCTTTATTTTTCTAAATCCTTAAGTGTTACTAAAAAATCAATTTAACTATTCCAAACCAACCAACCAAGAGGAATTTTGCTCAAATAGTTTTATATTTTTAAGACATTAAGGTATCATCTTAAAGATTTCGCCTGTATTTTTTAATATGCTTGTATTTTTTTTTTATGTTTCTGTTCTTCAATATATTTCCTAATATATAATATTGTCAGTTTATTTACAATTGATAGGATTTATTCTCGCGTTGAACCATATTAATTTATTACCGAACGCAACAGTAATTGCTTCTTTGGAAAGATAAAATCTTAAAATAAATTGAAAAAATACTTATTATACTTAAATACTTATCTTTTGAAGATAAAAATGGCATCAATGGATTGCTTACCTAGATATTGTTCAATTTTGTTTCATCACGTGATCATCTCTGCAAACATTGTTTTTTCTAACAATGTTTAGTATTTTAGATAACTACATATGTAGATAATTATTTTATAACGTAACTTTGTATTTGCCTTCGCGGTTATCATCCAATTATAATAACAAAATAAGTGACCATGAACCTTTGTTGTAAATTATTGGGAGGCTCTCATATAAGCGTGGATAACGCATCCTCGATTAACGTTATTAAAAACAATTATAAAGTATTTAAAAGTTCATTACTAGAGACTTTTTTAACTCAAAACGCTTAATAGTTCAAAGGATTATTTAGAGATTTGCATGTGGACATTTCGTGACGACCTGGTAACGATTATGTAGGTTTTGTATATATATTAAGACAATTTGAAATTAGTGAAGTCAGATTGTGCAAAGGACTGGCGGCGTTACAAGAGAGTTAATTATGAGAGCGGCCCTTCTTCCTTGATAACTATCCTTACAATATCAACGGTGAAAGCGAATATACGTATTCATCATCCTTAGCTCATGATGAGGAAGTGACTCACATAATTTACAATACCTTTATCATATTATGGCTTACTCAATATAAGTACTTTATACTCGTATCTAGAAATGTTTTGACGATAGACAGCTTATTTTATGCATTACAGTTGTAGAAATTTAATCATTAAAAATTTATGATAATCAAAAGTTCAAAGGCAAATTGTTCCTTATTGTAACAAATATAGAGATTTTGAATATAGGTATATTCTTATAATTCTTATATTTTTAGTAGTACAATCTTTATTTAGTAAATCTTAAATTTCTTTTTTACTTTGATAAATTAACAGGTTCTGTACTGTTCCTGTCCATTCCCCGTACTCGTATAACAACTCATTCACGTCACACTGCCGGGTCCTTATGGGGATGATATTATCCCTCAATTACGACATTGACGCGTGGTCAGAAGTCTGTTTTTTTATTTAGTTATTTTTTTATTTTTCATTCAGTTATTTTTCTTTTCTCTTACTCTCATTTTTGGAATTAAATGGAATGATAACTTATTTTCCACCGTGTGATCCCGGCATAGAATAAGCCACCCGTTCCTTTCCTGTGGGTGTCGTAAGAGACAACTAAGGGAACTTAACGGACGAGGAATAAGCAGCAGCGTCCCTCTTAATACATCACCAAAGCCTAATAGCGATTGCCAACCCGCCTGCCAAGCGTGGCAACTACTGACAAAACTCCCCAACAGGGGGAGGCCTTTGTTCACCTGTCGACAATTAAGTTATTCTATTTCATTCATCGGTATAAAATATCAGTGAATTAAATTAAACCAGAGGGAGACTTTGTACAAAAGTCATTTGCTTGGGTACCTCTGTCCCATTTCAGGAGTTCATCATCTCAGGAGTATTTCGATTTGAAGGCAGGAATATGGCACTGAAATTACAGGAAACAAAGATATACCTAACAACTTAGTCCTCAGGAATGGCAATGCATGATGGTATCATGTGCGGCACAGTATACTGTTATATCCATGATACAGTTTATGTTTATAAGCGATGGTTACCATTATCCAACACGTAGGTCTTCAGCTTGTTTGCCGTTCTAAGTTGCACAGAAAAAAATAAATTTATTAACTGGTACAAAAAGTTGTGTAATCTAAAACTAAAAATTGGTAGTGAAAATAGAGCAGATTCAACTAAATTACAATTTGTCAAACGTGCAGAAATGATGTAATAAGTAAAAATATAATATACCTACTAGGCACGAAGTTTCATATTTACAGTAAGTATTCAACTCTACTGTTATTTTGTCTTATTAATGCAATAATCTATTAAAATTATAATTCGGGATAATTTTAAATGTACCTTTTGAAAATGTGAAATATGTTTTAAAACGCGTAACCCTTTCGGAAGTCGTAAATTTTTACGTAGGACATGTTTTTAATGAGTGTATTAAATTAAAAATAGAAATTGAAGTCGTCTCATTATTTATCCTTCAATGTGGTGTATAAATTGGATAATAGTTATACTTGATCTCTGAAATACAAATTAAATGAAGGTTCTCGGCTTCTTCTTCTTATATATGACATTATATGTTCTATATATTATACTACACACGGATACAAATGACTTTATCAGACAGACTATAAATGTTCTTCTGTTCACAAATATGATATTTTTTCATAAAAATATTAAATACCTACGTATATATGTATTATACACCTAATAAAGGTCGACTTTAGAATTGTTAAACCAACCAACTGAAAATTATTTACTCTATTCCTTAACATATTTAATTACATAGATTAAGAAACTTAGTCATTCTACGTTTCATTATGAACTTGACTTTGGAGTCATAGCAACGTACAAGAACAAAGTAAAGCAATAAAGATAATTTTGAAATAGACAAATTATTTTATTCACATTCTAAGTTTGTCGGAGACCATTGCCCAAGCTTTGGTTGATGATTATCTTGAAGTCATAGTTTAAAATAATTTAATGTTTATGTATTCGCGTCTTGCATTATATCCATACGAATAATGTCGACAACGATATTCTACCTGTGGTATGTATTGTAATCAGAGATCAATAGTAATTTCATTGTTTCAATCCCTATACAATTATATTATTCCCTATACAATTACTGTGTGTAATGAAGTTCATGACCTATGATTTATTATGACTTATATTTTATTATTATATATACATATATTTGAAGATTGTTATAATTAAAATATATGAATTTATATTATTTTTATAAGTATGTTATAATAGGTATACGAGTTGTATCCCACGGCTATGCTTTTCAGAAACATTCTCAAGGTCGCTACTAAGGCTAGGGCCGGTCTTAAATATACTACATATACCTATTATTTAAACTTTTTCAATAATAGTTCATTCGTCTAAACATTAAAATAATTTTATTTCTTTTTTGTACTCATTAGGGCTCCTTACAGTAAAATGTACAAAAGAAAATTTTATTCTAAAGTAACGCTTCGGCACTTATAAATTATTTATTATAAATATAGGCAACTTCTGTCTTCGGTAAGAAACTGCAAGTATACCTTTTCTAAAATCTCTTCAATTTCTAGTACTGTCAATTTAAAATCATCTATTTTGTAAATCATATATGTTGATTAATGTTGATTATAGTTTAATGTGATTAGATTTAGTACAATAAAAATGATGTATTTATTAGTTGGTAAAATCAAGTAAACAGTAAACATAGTTTTCTTAACAGTTAAAATAAATTCTAGATACTAGTAAAATCATTACATGAATCTATTTGTATGACTTTTCTAATAAAAATATCTGAAATAACAAAACAGTATCTGTGTCGTGAAGACGGTCTGTAGGTTACATCTTTTATTTTATTTATTTATTTATTTATTAAATACAAAAAAAAAATTACAACAGCGAGTACATTGGACCCCGCACTAGGAGAACCTGTATCGCGGGAGTCCATATGAGATTACCAAGACACGGTGGTTTACAAATATAAATTAAATTAAAATACTAAGCCAGTTTTACGAAAGCAACAAGTTAAAATGAAGTGCTTCGTGAAGACATGCGCATAAAACAGAAAATTATGTAAATACTCTAATATTACATAAATAAATACATACAATTAAATATACTAAAGACATACACTACTATATACGAATATCAATAAATGGTATATAATATTAATTCTGTGGCATCGTAATCAAGATTTTGTAAATATCCTTGTATCCTATGTTTAGCTTCCGCATTGTTAAGACCATCCAGTTTGCAGAGATTATTAAGTTTTTTATATATAAATGGGCACGAATAATAATTAAAGCGCTTTGCAAATGCAGTATTAATGCGAGGGATGATTATTTTGCGCCTTCTCTGGTCCGAAGGTTTTTGCGGGAGGAGAGGAGATTTGTGGTGCATCATTACTACTTTAAGTATATAAAGTTGACGCACTGTCAGAACAGCAGCCTCCTGATACAAAAGATAGGTGGGAAAACGAATTGGTTTCCTAAACATTACTTTTAAGACAGATCTTTGTGCCCTTTCAAGTGCAATCATATATGATTTTGATTTTGATGATGACGCCCCACACTGTGATGCAGTACATCAACAGTGATTGAGCTATGCTTAAATTCTCATTTTGTTAATTTGATAGTTGGTTCTGTTCTTTGTTTTATTGGGTCGTATAAAAATTATAAACTCGCCATCATGTACAATACAATAAAATATATAATTTTTCTCATGACCAAACATAAACTTTATCAAAATTCTGATCTCCTTAGGGTTCTCTGCGTAAGATTTAAAACAACTAAAAATAAAATAACTAACATCTTTCATTTTATTAAGAGTACTCATGCTGTAATTTGTCATCGAACGATAAAATCTACAACAGTTTTTATATATTGTAATATCCTTAATATTCATTACATTTTCACCGCGTTTGTCTGCCCACTATACAATAAACTGGATGTGACAATGTCACATATAATATTTCAAAAAGTTAAGAATAAATTAGTAAACTCTATATATTATATTAAATTATGTATTTTTAAGTGAGTAATATTACAGCAATTGTGTGAACTTCGATCTAACCAGAGGACGCCTTACGAACAGCGTTGATTTAATTATTGGAATACAATGTCCAATTTCTTACTTCAGCTTTTTTCAAATCTGTAAATTTGTTTATTTATTATTTATTTAATACTTTATTTACACACTAATTATTCATATAAATATAAAAGAGGTAATCAAATGTACAAAGGCGAGCTTAATTCTAAAAGAGTTCTCTTCCAGCAAATTAATTATTATGTATGTTCTGTGTAATTTTTAATCTAACCACTTTTTGTACAAATCATGAATGACACGATTAACTGAAGTGAAAAGTGTTTCATATATCTACCTACGTGTTAAGTAATTACCACATCTAAATATGTTCATGACTGGAATTAAGAAAAAAATTCTATATTTATATTGAAATAACTTTTTTCTTAATTCCATATTTGTTTTATATTTTTTAAATAAAAAAAAAAAAACTAATATAATATTTTTTAAAAATATACCATGTACATATTGGTTCCATAACAGTTTTTGACATGTATAGATAATATACGATGGGATTATGTGCGGAACGTTGTAACTGAATAGAAATTACACTTGTCGAATTTTTTTATAATTTAAGATATTAACCTTACGACGAATATTTCTACTCTGTAACCAAATACACCGCGCATTTGCTTTTTTATGAAAAAGACGTCTTGTTACCCGTCTTTCCCATAAAAGTAAGTCGTTACTTAGCGATTATCTTTTGCCATCAGCTGAGCCAAAAGATCACCGCAGCATGAGCTGCGGAATCGGAAACTTTAAGACATCTTAGTGCTAGCATCCGTTTCGAAGGATTGAAAATGTATATGCAAGTTTTACTGAGTATTAATTATAGATTAGGTGTTATTGATGGAGGCAATTTTTTTATCACTATTTTGTATTTTATAGAAATCCAAAAAAATTATGAAATATTACTTACTACTTTTCATCCGCAACTTCATTCGCGTGACCGGGATATGTTCACTGACCGGGATAAAAATTAATCGGGAACCTTCGCCATCCTATATAGTACGTGTATACCAAATTTCATAGTAGTTGGTACCGCCGTTAAGGTACTAGACAAAACAAACAGGTAACAGACAAACTCATTCTTACATTTATAATATTAGTAACGATTATACGTACGCAGACAGAAAAAGGGCATGAGTTAGTATAAATGATGTGGACCAATATTAAACATATAAAGATACTTTACTATGTATTTTTGCAAGAGTGTTTAATACCTTATTTGCTTCTTATCCTCTTGTTTCCATAACAAATTTGTTCAGTAATATATGTTGTTTTTTAATTTATGATAATGGAATAGTAACTCTGCCTGCATTAACGGTATACAATGGCGGGGAATATGAGAAATAACCGGTGAGAATGAAATGGCAAGTCAGTTAGCCCATCGTGATGAATACACCTGGAACTCAGTGCGATGGTTTCCATGGGGAATCACGTGGAAGTCGACCTGACAGAATATATTGCTAGCAATGGGACTAATAGTCCACATTACTAACAGTTCCAATAATATATGTTAGTTTTATTTTTGTTGTTTTTTTTATGCAAACAAGCTCAAATGACAAACAAGCTGACGGCCCACCTGATGGAAAGTGGTAACCGTCGCCTATAGACATGAGCAGTACCATGGACATAACAGTACACACACATACTGTTTCGCCCATGATACCCCCCATGCGTTGCCATACCTGAGGACTCAGGTGTTATTCCTCTGTACCCTGTAAATTCACGCCATATCCCACCCTTCAAACCAAAACACAACCATGCAAACATAACTGCTACGATACGATCACGATAGAAACACGAATGGGTAAGAGTAGGTTCAAAGGTAGAGGAGGTTTTGTACAAAGTCCGACTCTGGTAGATTTATAATTTTAATTTGAAAATAGCAGTGAAGCTTGCATATATATATATATATATATATATATATATATATATATATATATATATATATATATATATATATATATATATATATATATATATATATATATATATTATATATATATATATATTAAAAATGCTCATTGAACATATAATATTTTATTAAGACAATAGTAGATTAATGACATAAAATAATAAAATTAAAATATGTTACTACCAATAAACAGAACAAATCGCTGTCCGCAGGTGATATGGGGCAAAATATAAAAAGTAGGTAATGCCAAAGTAGAATCGCTAGTGTCTCACGAGGATCTCATCTCAGGTCATTGCGACATGCAATGTCTGCGCTTTTCTGCCGTGATTCAATGAGCCCAATTCTCGTTTATAAATCCTGTTATATCACAATATACCTAAAGCGGAAGCAGTCGGTCTTCATAATTGAGTATCGTGATATTTGTACACGAAAACATCCGATATTGTTATTTATGTGGTCGTTACAATATATTAACTTTTGATGTATTTATTAACTTCTAAAACACCTTCAATAGCAGTAGGCCGTACTATCGATTTTGCTGGCCCTGCATTACTACAGCTACACACATGTGTTACAGGACCTATTTTTCTCTCTTTAAAATCTTGTATTTTTTTCATTATAAGTGCATTTTCATGTTGAAGAAATATTTTTTCACGAATTAGAGCCCTTTTAGTTAATTCCGCTTTTGCGATACGTTGCCAAAGACGGGTCAAGCCACAAGTTGTTGATATAGCATTAACAACTAATGAATCATCTGACTGTTGTCTACGTACGTTACTTTTCGCTTGTGTTGATGAATATGGCATTGCTGACCCAAATGGAAGTACTTTTTCACGTCTCGTCTCAAATTTTCTGCAAAGTGCGGCCATTCTAAGTATTTTTTCACCCTTCTTAACCGCTAGTTCAAGCCACTCGACAGCACTATCGGAAGCTTTAACTAAAGTCGCTAATTGTTTTAAATCTGTAGTACATCCATTAATAAGACATTGCTTTAATCGAAAACAAGCAGCTCTGTGTCTGTTACGGCGGTCTCTGAATACTGCCTGCTTTGTTCCCGATTCATATGCAGCCAATTCTGTCCGCAATCGTTTTAATATTCCATCGCTACTGGCTATTTTCTTACTTTGCGATGCTATAATGTCAGCCATCAAATTCTCTTTGCGACGCAATTTACGCACCTGTTTTTGGTTATCAGCTGTATTAACGACATATGCTTTAAGCACTCCTTTATATTCATCCCATAGACCACTATAATTATTTTCAAGAAATGAGCGTAAATTTTCTCTATCATTTACATATTTCATACGTTCTTCATCTTCTTTAACTAGATTCTCACCACGTGTTGTCCACGCTAAGGAGTCAGCCGTAGTGTGTCCATGATATAGTAATAGTTGTAAATGTGTTTCCGCCGTATTATGATCAGACATAATTTGTGCTGCATCATCTGCGCCATGTTTTAATAACTCAGAAGTTCTACGATTATTGTCTTTAGACATTTCTTCTAAATCAAATAAGAATTTATTGATCATAGTATCGATAGTATCGCAAAAACTTGCTACAGTACGTTGAAATTGATCATCGGCAACGTCCATTAATTTCATCGTATGATTTATTAAATGGTCTTTCTTATCATATACTCTTTCAAACGTATGCCACATAACTTCTATATCCTGTCTAAAAACAGGTTCTTTGATCTTTAGCATTAATTCGCGCCAGGTTTTGTCCAATTCACCTCTCTTTAAGGCTTGAGCAGCCATTTCACGTTCAAGTTCTTCGCGTTTTAATTTTTTCCGTTGCTCCTCTTCTGCTTTAAGTTTTTCTAGCCGTTTGGCTTCTTTCTTTGCCTTTTTCTCTTCTTTAGTTAATGCCATAATGAATAATATAAAATAAAAACGTTAGTAATAAACTAGAAAATAATATGTTAGGAGTAAATATTATTGTGTCAGAATCCTACTTTCTAATTTTGATTTTGTTTTGTTGACATTTATATGACGTCTATGTAGGTACTATTCTTTATCTATGTTACTTTAAGATCACTAATTAAATTTTTCCTGATCTGAAATGTATTTCCCTTTTTAATGAATGAGTGCTTTTATAATTTATCGTAATATGTAAAACATTATTTTATTATAAGTTTTATTGTATTACATTTTATAAGTTTTATTTAAGTTGAATATATGATATATTTGTTCACTGACCGGGATAAAAAGCATTTTAAATTGTTTCCCCTTATATATAATATCTGTATACCAAATTTCAAATTAAAACGTCAAGAGATAAACAAAATAACTTATTTTCATATTTATAACATTAGTAAGGATTTTTTTGTCTATCTGTATAAATGGGAAATGAGTACGGCATGCCTTTAATGTGTAATTAAAGTAATTAAAGATTTCGTAAATTAATATTTTCTGTCCACAGCCCCGATATCAGGCTCTAGTATGTGGCAGCGAGCCGCTACAAAGCTATCTTCACAAACGATTGGCTGAAAACCTAAACAGTGAGGCAGCACTAGGCACAGTGAGTGATGTCGCACAGTGCGTACAATGGCTGCGTTCTACATTCCTTTACGTTAGAGCAGCACGTGACCCCAGGAGGTACCTTGGGTTGCCTACTAATGCTCCAAATCATATGATCTCGAAGAAAATTGAGGGTAAGAATGGTTATAGTTATTTATATTTTTTTATACAGCTTATAATGTTAAACACGCTGACGGCCATTTCATGGAAAGTTGTAATCATAACTTATAAATATTAATAATACCATAGCCATCAAAGAATATACTATGACGCCCACGGTATCCTCCTTACATCACACATTCTGGAGGACTAACATATTATACCTCCACATTATGTAATTTCACTTCAGTTATATATATGTATCTCACTCTTCGAACCGAAACACAGTCGTGGTAACACATCTATTTAGCAGTAAAACCACACTACTGACAACGGTACCCATGCTTCTTTAACTAAACATTTTACTTATAATGAAGGGTATCATGGGGAAACAGTATACTCTGTTATGTTCATGGTATTGCTCATGTCTATAGGCAACGGTTACTATTTTTCATCAGGTAGGCCGTCAGCTTGTTTGCCATTCTAAGTTGCATAAAAATTTTTTTTTTACTTATAAACATAATACTTTAATATTTTACAGTATTTCTAAATCTTGCTGAATCCTATAAGTACATATTTTCAATCGACTTCGACTACAAAAAGATGAAGCGTCTCTTCAAAAAACTCAAACAAGCTGACGGCCCACCTGATGGAAAGTGGTAACCGTCGCCTATAGACATGAGCAGTACCATGGACATAACAGAGTATACATGATTTTCCACTCCTGAGGACTCAGATTCCTCTGTACCCAGTAAATTCACGCCATATCCCACCCTTCAAACCGAAACACAGCTATGCAAACACAACTGTTTCACGGTTGAAACACGAATGGGACAGAGGTACCCAAGCAATCGACTTTTGTACAAAGTCTCCCTCCCTCAGTTGTACTCATTTTTTTGTTTGTTACCAACTATTATATGTGTTTGTTATACTAATCGACTAGCCAGTACGTATTACGTTAAAACAAGCAGAAACCATGAACTTTTGCCATATTCCCGTGATTGATGCGTATATCTTCATTATGACAAGATAATAACGGACGTTTTCTTATATCTTTGATGGTTAAGTTTAGATTATTAGGTTGATTTAATTACCCAGAATTTAATCGAGCATTGTTTGTTTACAAGGAAGTTGACGTATGTTTTGACGATGACGACAACATTAAATAAATATTGCCGCCATAACAAACAAGTTTTTTTTATGCCTAGTTTCTCACTGAACTTCAAAATAATGATAATAGTAATAATAAGTGTTTGTATGATACAAATTACATGGTTCCTTAGTTATGAGGAAACAGGCAACGAATGCCTAAGGGCACAACTTAAAACATCCAGACCCGATCCAAGTTTGTAGGAGGGGAAGAGTGATTGTTAATAATGGGAACTAATATATATATATATATATATATATATATATATATATATATATATATATATATATATATACCAATTTATTATTGTAGGTATATGCATTCAATTACACTTAAGACCACATGCTACGGCATAGGCAAATTCCATTACATTTTTTAACTCTGATATCATTGATCATACATAATTGGCAATAAAAAATACTATTAATTAGCGCATTGATTTACTAGCACAATCTCAATATCCTGTCATGTATTTATCATCTAAAAAACATAAAGGTTACATCAACTCCTGTCCAGTGTTGCATTTTATATTACGAAGCGTTTTTTTTTTTCTATATATTATTATCGTTATTTTGTTAATTGTGTTGTATTTTAGTGATTTTTTAAGGTACATAACATAATACACAAAGTGTAAATTTCGTAATATAAGCCAATGAGTTACTCTTACATAGATGCTACTATTACAGCTCTCTATTCGTACGTTGAAACACTTTTTTTTTACATTTACCTTGTAAAAGATTTGATTTGGATATGTATTTTGAATTTCAATACAATTTAATAATTTAAATAAACATTTTTACCTTGTAAAAGATTTGATTTGGATATGTATTTTGAATTTCAATACAATTCAATAATAATTTAAATAAACGAATAGTTAACCTGGCTATAAGATAATGCATTGATGTCTAATAATTCTACAAATAAAAAAAAAAGAAAGGAAAGGAAGGCATTGTGCAATACTCGTATGTCTAATGCTACTAATTTTTAATTAGATAGGTCTAATTTTTAAGTTATACGCATATCTAAATAGTTATATAACATTTAATATAAGTAGGTACTTATTGTATAAATGTATTAGTAATGCAATTATTTTATCTGCAATTATATAATGGACCAGAAGACAGACCTGTATAAACTATTTTGAATATACATATATATACTTACCTACTGGAGTTAATACGCTGGACGTCTGACACAGGAACGGACACGGAACAGGTCCTGCTCATATACAATATTTAGAAAATTAGGATATGGAGACGATATGTCTCCATAGCACGACCTCGTTTGTTCCTGATCGTGATTGATAGATGAGCATTGCCTGCATACTATTACTATTGTGTGATTCATCTTACACGCGATTCTTGACATAATTTAAGCGCGATCTCTACGTATTATGTTAATTATTTTAAACTAGCGATCCACCCCGGCTTCACATGGTTGAAGATGTTACATACAACTTTTCCTAAAAAATAACTAAATTACAGTAAAATTCATATCAAAATCCATTACGTGATTTTTAGAAGTAAGCGGAGAAACAAATGGACGCGGACAGCTACTTTGCTTTATATAATTTAGAAACATAATAAGTGCCGTTAAAAACCCCAGAGTGTTAATGTAATAAAAAATTAGAAAGAAAATGGTACTTGAAATATTAAAGAAAATTGATTTCAATAATTGAAAATAGTTATGAAGAAAAAAAAAGTTTTGTGCATCATTAGCTTCAATATTTATTCTTGATCATACGAAAATAATTTTTATACTTTACTTATTATTAAACTCTAAATGTTTTGAATATATTGTGGTCACATGCTAAGTACTTTCTATCATAACTAGTATGATAGATATAAATACAAAAAATATTTTAACTTTAAATTCTGAATTAATAAAAAAAATTAAGTCGTTATATAATATAGTATTATTAAATTACTAATAAATAGACGTGGAAATTAACCTGTGTGTTAAACTGTATGTATATAAAAGAGGATGCTAAGTGACTAACTAACTAACCCATTATCGCACAGTTAAAGCCGTTGAATCTAGAATCTTGAAATTTAGCACATAGCGTAGGTAAACAATAAGAAAAGGGTTTTGAAAATTCAACCCAAGGGAGTAAAACTTCCACAATCCATGCGTATGAAGTCGCGGGCGATATCTATTTTTAAATTATTGTAGTCTTCATGAGTCCTAAATTATAAAATTTAGGACGAATCCATTTAGCTCTTTAAGCGTTATTGTGTAACAAACATCTAAACAACCATTTTTTTTCTTTTGGTATCTCTTAATCAAAAACATCTTATATTGAATTTTTTTTTTCTATAATCATATTATGAAACAAGCAAATCGCTGCGCTTATATTTTGAAGCAATCCCCGATTGCCCTTTACCTAAAGGTATTTATTATGCAGTTGAGGCACTTAATGAGTTTGTATTTGTGTTAAACTGTAATAAACGTTTGTAAATGTCTCTTGGAATGTTATAATGATATTACTCATCTTTTACGTCCCTTTAATGGTGTTCTAGGTAGCTGTTCCGTTTTTAATTGTTAATTGTCTACGTTACACCTGTTTTTCATCACGCCATCTCTTTATTTGATGTAGTAGCTAGAGTGTGTATGTAGTACGTATTTTATATGTAAAAAAGAATGTAATTCAGTAAGATAGATATAAAAATAAATTGTTTTCAATTCTACTTTTCATTTCAATTACGAATCTAAAGGAGTTCACTCCTCTGAATCGTCTGAAACTTGATTTCTCCATGATTTGATTCTAGATTTTTGTCTAAGATCGGAAAACCTATCATCAAATCGAAACACAGCCATAGACAAATATATATGTGGTGATGTTAAAATATAAATAGAAAGTGGTACATCTATATGCAGACGACGACTATAAAAGTTTTCCTCGTACCTAAATAATTAGATTCGTTGTAAACGAGTTATGATATAATTAAGAAATATGTTATCTAAAATAATTTTATGTACTAATATTCCCTATTTGTTTTCTTTGCATTCTGGAACAATTGTGTAGATGAGTACACAATTGTATGAAGATGGATTTACCCACGAAGGTAAATCCATCTTCATACAATTATTTTTTAGAACTGTGCGTTAGAGCAATGAACGGATTAGCGACCGCGGGGCTTATCACAATGGACGAAGCCAGTTGTATTGAGTCTACCGAAGCTGGTCGTCTTATGTCAGTCTTCTATTTGGATCTAGAAACTATGAAACATATAATGAAGGTATTATGTCACACCTATTATTGTTTATATGTTCTTATTATTATATTGATATTATTTCATTAACAACACAGACTATCAATGTTTATGTATGTAGTATAGATAGTTAATTTTTTACAAATTTTCTGATACTGTCAGGAGTATTCTCCTCTAGTGATCTGACAGATTCTAGAGTAAAGGTACACAAATATACAACCCTGATCTTCTGAGCCAATGCAGTTTCTGACCAGTATCCCTCCGCAACTGTAGTGTCCCCCTTTCTCTTTCCCTTATAAATCCTCTATTACTTTTTTACCAACTTCATTTATTCCCTCAGCTTCCCTCAATATTTACCGTAGATGGTGAATATCACCAATAAATGCATTCCCGAGTTGACATCGAACAGGTGGTAGGTTTCAAAACCAAAAGTAGAATAATATTAATAAAATTATATTACGCTGATCCCAAATAATTGGGATAAGGGCAGAATAATGATGATCGATATATTCAAATATCAAGAATCAGTTTAATAAATTGGTCTGATCGAGAATCGGTCCGATAGAGAATCTACCGTGAAATTATTCTCGAAATTTCGGAGCCGAATGAAACATAAATTTGATGTTAAACTGACATAATAAAAAAAATTTTAAAATGTTAAAATATCTTTCCTTTGGATTTTTATGGCACGAACAAAATGTTAAGTTCCATTTACTGGGCCGATTTCGGTGTGAACGAAAACACGAAATTGAGTCCGAAATTCGGAATTTCATTTCATGATAGAACACTAGGTTTCTACACAAGGCAACGTGCCTATCACAGAGGTGAATAGTTTCCTATTCTTCAAATATAGCATATTATTCTTACCATAATAACACGTTAACGTCCCCGTGTATACAGGTCTCTGTTTATAAGAAGCAATTTTTTGACGACCTTGATTTCTGCTCAGTACTAATATTTGTAGTCATGAGTGCAGACGTAACATTTCTTTTATGCATCTCAAAATGGCAAACAAGCTGATGTCCCGCCTGATGGAAAGTGGTAGTCTTCGCCATAGACAAGTACCATGTGTTCTTTCTTCTTCGTATCCTCATGGCTAAGGGACGTAATTATGATATGTAGCCTGTGCCACCACCCCTTTGCAAGCTGCACGATTTTGTGCTTTGTCGATGGACTCTTGCAAGGCAGCTCAGGTTGCCTGAATGTATTATAAGTATGTATTTAAAAAGAATGTATTATGTATATTATGTTTCCACCAGTTGTTTATAATACTCATAGTACAAGTTCTGCTTAGTTTGTATTTAGTCAACAATAGTTTTAGTATTACCGCACTAACCACGGTTCTTATTATAATAGTTTGTTTTTTTTTTTCTTTATTCTCTTAGTTGATTCTTATAATCTCATTTAAAGATCTTTAATAATCTTCTATAAATAAAAAATTACCTATATACCTACATGAAAGTACCTACAAGCGGGTTATTGAATTATTGTTTAATAAGCCTATTTCCATAATCAGGTAGAAGGCACAGAGAGCCTCGACCGACTATTATGGTTGGTTTGCGAAAGTCACGAGTTAGCGGACATGCACCTCCGAGTCGACGAGCGGAGGTGCCTCAATGCGCTCAACAGGAATAACGCCGCGGCCACCATAAGGTTCCCTATGAAAGGCAAAATTAGCACGCGACAGATGAAGCTCAACTGGTTCGTCTCCTTATTTAAACTTGGATAGTCTTATTTTTTATACTAACAATCCGGCCTGACTTCACACAGGTAGATATATTTTCGAAAATAATATATAGCCTATATTACTCGTTAATAATGTAGCTTTCTACAGGTGGAAGAATTTTTTAAAATCGGTTGAGTTGTTTTTTAATTTCCTCCGTTACAATCGAACAATCAAATCTTTTTTCTTTATAATATTAGTATAGATAATACTTAGAATAACAAATAATATAAAGTGATAAACAGAATTTGTCTTAGATAGCATCATGGACATTACAGAGTACATTTCAATGCCCGTAGTACTCCTCATAGACTATAATGTTATGCCTCCGTACCCTGTTATTGAACGCATATCCCACCCTTCAAACCGAAACACAGCCATACTAGTGCAGCTTCTTCATGACGGAAACACGAGTAAGAAAGAGCTACTTAAGCAGACGATAGTGTAGTCTCTCTGTAGTACAGTATACTGGACAGGCCCTATAGGGTTTTCAGATCATAGCTACGTCACTGTGTTTACCTGACCTGGTACACGTATTGCTAGCACTGAAGCTACTAATTCCCATACGAACAGTCTTCTACTCCAGTCTGATGGTTGTATTAGCAACATTAGTCATTATAACCGTAAATCAGATGAAACGTTTTACAGTATTGTAAAATGTAATGTAAATAGGACTCTATTTCCCGCGCTTAGCCTCTCATTTGGGCTGTTGTGCATATGTTTTACAGTATTATACAAGCGGTCCTTGGCTGCCTGCCCATACCAGACCCATCCCTAAATCAAGAGGCCATGAAGATTATGAGAATTGCTGAGAGAGTATGCAAGTGTAAGTTCATATTCTAATTTAGTATAGCACTGCCTGTTAAAGGAAAGCGCATTCAGACCATTTTAACGATTAGGAAGCAATCGAGCTACGTAATCGTTCACTAAGCAATCACTTACAAATTTTTCGTAAATAATTTTACTTTTCAGTTTCATTTTTTTTTTTTATTAAAATTATTATTATTATTTATATCATAATATCTTCTAACTGTTCACTGCTGAACATAAACCTCCCCCTTGGGAGTTTTGCCAATATTTACCACGCTTGGCAAATATTAGCAAAATGCCCAAACTTGGCTAAAGCCTGACTGCGGTTACCATTCCGCCTGAATAGCAACCGCAGTCAGACTTTAGAGATATTTTAAGAGGGACGCTGCGGCCCATCCCTTGCCTTCCCATAGCCGGCTCTTACGACACCCGCGTGAAAGGAACAGGTGACCTATCCTATGCCATGGCCACACTATATTTCTATATATATATATATATATAGAAATAAATAAGTAAATAATATACATAGTTTATAAACTTACAGGTTTAGTCGCATACGTAACACGACCAGATTTAATGTCGCAAAAACCGAAATACTATACGGCAATAGTGAATTCTATAGTGCTCGCGAAATGTATAGCCGCACATTTGTGGGAAAACTCGCCCTACGTGAGCAGACAGATGAAGGGAATAGGGCCAACGTTTAGCACACTCCTCGCCACGGCGGGCAAAACTAACTTCATGTTGCTTGAAGAAAGCCATCCGAGGGATTTAGAGAGGGTCAGTATCCTATTACCATAGTTACCATATGTATTATTCTTTAAGTGGTGCAACTATGAGAGACATAATCCTATCATTATTATAAATGCGAAAGTTCGTGATGATGTAGGTATAAAAAGAATTTTGCTATTCATATAAAAACTACTGAACGGCTTTGAATGAAATTCGATACGTGAATACAAGTAGGTTAGTAGTAGTAGGTAGGAGTAATTTCATAAACTGCGAGCCTTAGTATTCCTCACATTACATTCAAATAAGTAAAATACATATTGAAGGGGCCCATGATTGCCATGATGCCCATGATACTAATCATGGATTACCATTCCTGAGAATTACAAAGCTTTCATAATTTGCCTGAATGTTGCATACATACATATATCCACTCAAATTTCCCTTAATTAAGATTTCTATTTTAATAGGTACCTCTTTATGTGACACACCATGTAGTATTTTTTACTGAGTACAATGAAAAAAGTTTGATTCCCATCCGAAGTATCTCATAATGATCTCACTATACTACCGTTTTTACTGTTTTATGTCAGTAGATATATTCTTTATAATGTAATTCTAGATTATGAACAAAGGACCACCTGCCGGCAATGTTCTAAGAAAACAAATAAGCTTGTTGCCGAAATATCAGATTAAAATGACACCTGTAGATGAAAAAACTGTGTCCGTACATGTGGAATTATTAAATCAAAGTTATTTGTCCGAGAATATGGAACACTTGACAGCAGGAGAATCCCACAAAAGTTATATTATTGTAGGCGATTCTGAAAACCATATATTGTTGTTGACAAGTTTCAAGTAAGTAGGAATAAATTCCAATATAACTCGTCAAATTCATATTCTAGAAGTCCGCGGAGTGTGCAACCAGCAAAATACGACATCCATATATTATTTTGCCTTTCGGTATGAACATAACATCATAGATTGTAATGTAACTCTTTTTCAATTTTTACTGTTATTATCATTTATCATTCATCTTTGTCATTAATCATCGACTATTAAATGTTCACTGAACATAGGACTCCCAAAAAATGTCATAAAGAACGAACCCGAGCTACCTACATCCATTGACTCCCAGTAATACATTGGAGTTCGTCGCTCCATCTAGTCGTCCTACACTGTGTTTACATATACGAGGTTGTTGCTTAAGAAGTTTTCTTCCCCTTTTAATTGTCGATCCTTCGAGCTATATTACCAGCTCATTGCCACTTCAGCATGCTTATCTTTCGTTAATTTTACTGCCATATAATCACAGCTGCTTAGCAGCAGAAACACGTATATCCCTCTGTTGTCTATTGTCTATAGATTGTGCAACGGTGAAGGAACTTGTGAGCTTACACTCTCGTCTGTCTACGCAATATAGTACGGGTATATAATATTGACGTGTTTGAAATATTTTCAAGGTGTGGGCAGCTGATCCCTTAAAAAAGCGGTATAACGTACTCTCGGATATGTCATTGGGCATCCTGGGGTGGGCGACAAACAATTCTGCGTTAGGAACTTCCCACCTGGCGCCCTCCCTCTCTCCTTTAAATATATCTTATAGGAGACTCAATAGCGTACACGAAGTTGACGAACAATAGTTAGATACATTGTTTATTTATGGTAATTTTTTAAGTAATTATATTTTGTTACAATATTATTTTTTTTTCAGAGATAAAGATTTAATAGGCATGTATGACGCAAGTATTACTTATCATATTACGAGGAAACACAATTACGAGCATAAAATTATAGTTAATTGTATTAGCTCAAACTTTGGTAAGGTCAACTATATATGAATGTTTTTTGTTTAATTGTTACTTAAATACACTATGTATCCCTTGCAAATTGATATCCTATATTATTCTCTACTAATTTTATTGACCTATTTATTTGTGCCACTAACAATTGTAATAGATATAAGTCGATGAGTGGTTCCAGTATAGAAAGAGCTATCTCTTACTATCCCATGGGTAATGTAAGAGACGGCTTAGGGAATTTAATGGCCTCTTTATAAATCACCAAAGGCTAACTGCGGTTGCCAATTCACCTGTCAAGCGTGGCAACTACTGACAAAACCCATCAGGGTGAGTGCCTATGTTCAGCAGTGGACAGTTAATCGTTAATATGATGAATAGGTATAATTATTAGATGAAATTAATTTATTTTAATCAATCATTAAGTAATGATTTATGCGCTACTAACTACTAAACAGATTATTTATAATCCTTTCAGTTGGTATAGACGCACAATGTGAATATGTATTCAAAGACTTAGAACATACGCGACCAAACATATTAATGCAGATAAACGAAAATGTAGATACGAAACAAACTATGCAAAAAGATATACCTGCAACAGATTCGTTTAGACAACGTAAAAGAAAAAATAATAACATAGACATAACGTTGTCCAAAGAAAAAAAGAAAAGAGAAGAAATATTTGCACAAAGAATGAGTACTTTAAAAGAATCTTTTGAGAAAACTTCGAAAGAGGTTAAAGATAATTTACGAAAGTCAGGAGAAATTTCAAAAAATTTGCTAAATGAATTAGTTTATTCCAACAGAAATGAATTAGAAAGTGAGATTACGCCACCTTCAAACTTGTATGAAAGTAATATTACTGAAATAAGTATGGATGTCGAACAGCAAGATAATGAAGTTTCAATCTTAGAAAATGAACTTCAGCAGATTGGCCATAACGAGTTTTCAGATAATCACGAAATTGATAATATATTAAATAAAATTGAAAGTGAAATATCAAAAGTTAAAACATTAAATAATAAAACATCTACTTCTGTCTGTACACAAAAAAATATTATAAAATCTTCAAGATATAATAATAGATCAATAATTAATAAACATAACAAAGCAAATTCAAAGTGCTCTAATATTAAGAAAATTGAAAGTACTAATCAAACGAACTATGCATTTATAGACTTACTAGAAAAGCAATTATATCTAACCAATGACAATGAACACGAAGATCATTCAAGAGATACAAAATTTTCAGACACAATAAAATTACAATTAGATGACTATTTACAAAAAATAGGAGAGTCTGTAAATAAACCTAAATATAGTGGCATGCAAATTAATGAATTATTGAACGAAGAAACTGACGAAGGTAATATTTTGCAAAAAGAAGACAGCTATGATAGTAAAAACAATATTGATAGTAGATTATCAGAAGAAACGCTTTTATCAGCAAATATTGATCTAATTAATAATAATATGAGTACATTTCACAATATAAAACTTCATAATGTGGTAGATAGTAAAAGAAACACCCAGACAACCCATAATTTATCAAATAATAATATTGTTAAAACAATAAATGAAGATAAAGAGAAGAAGAAGAATCAAAATAATGATAATTGTAATTCTGACCTAAACAATTGTCTGATGCTGTATAAAACTTTAATGCCAAATACTAAAGATATACTGATAGTTAAGCAATTAAATTTACAGCCAATTTTGGTGCAAAGTACTAGATGCAATATTTCACCAGATTTATTTAGTAATAAACCTAATATTACAATTAATTTCGATCAAAATTTGAAGGAAATACTTCATTACAACCATCGTCCAAAACTACATACAAAAACAGAATATCAGAGTATGTCTAATATTACTCCTATGGAAATGGAGAATTGTACGAAACCCATGTCTAAATTTATTAAACAATACTCGTATTCATCTAGTGAAATAAAGATCACTACACATAACACAATTAATTGTCAGATTTGTATTATGAAGCGTTTGTCTATAGATTTAGATGTAAGAGAAATAGTTTCAAAAAGAAATGAAAAAACTGACCACAATGTTTGTAATTTTAAAACTTTTAATAAACATAATGGAAGGGAAAATAAAAGTATTGAACTCCAAGATTCTATAGAATATATCGATCGTCAATGCAGCATATCTAAAAGTTCATACAGTGACATAAATAATAAAGTGGATAATATGGAAAATGTAAATAAAATTAAAATGATGAAAAAAGAACGCCAGAATCTTAAAACAGATCTTATGGATTCTAATTCTACATGTGACGTAAAACTAGAAAATATATTACAGAGATATAGCCAAATTTTAAAGTGAGCACCTTATTTAATTTGCTTACCTAATTATACTTAATTTCATAACTATTTACAGCTGTTATATTCTTATTCATATACCAGTGACCAGGATATGTTAACTAACCTGGATAAATAGTTACTTATATCCCTCATCCCAAATGATACGTGTATGTCAAATTTCATGACGATCGGTTAAGCCATTACAACGCCAAAATGTAACAAACAAACAATTTAAAAAAGCTTGCAATCAAGTTTATTTGAATAAAGATTATTTCTTTTCTACTATTATTATTATTAGTATTAAGTGAGTTACTTTTAAATTTCAGAAAAAATGACAATCATGCCGCAAAAGTCACTACAGAAATTAATAATAATAAAACTTATGAAGTAAAGATTGAAGAAGAAAAGCGACCGTTCAAAATTACCGATATAAACAAAATTCATATCTCATTACCTGAAGTTATCACTGAAAGTATTGACTCGAAGAGACCTAATATATCTCAAACAACTGAAATAAAAACAAATTATCACGATAAACAATTATTGCAAACGAATGATAATATTGAAAAAGAAGTACATTTTAATACCGAATCTAATAGCACAGACTCCGATATACTGCCAGATACTATAGCAGGAGATCTATATAGGGACGATTTTAAAATCGATCAATCTATGTTTAATCCAAAAACACTTTTGCAATGCTTGACAAAAGAGGACTCCGAACTAATAATACCACCACCTATTGAATTTCGTGATACTAGTTATTCGCCAGGTCATGAACAAGAACCGTCTAAAAGTTACCTTATAGATATAGATAATCCCTTTTTAATTTGTGATAAAAACAGTTTTATTGAAGAAGATTTTGAATTGAATAATGACGAATGTATTTATAAGGAAATATTGAACGATGAACATATTAGGTCTCAGAAAACCGTTGAAACATGGCCCATTTCACAAGAAATATATCGCGAAAAATCAGAACCTAGCCAAAATACTTGGACTGTAGACGGAAACTTTACTGAAGGCACAAATAGACATTCTAAACTGAATCAATTTAAATTCATGCATAAAGATAAATATAAAAGATTATAGTTTTAAGTATCTTGTTTTTGCTACTTAATTTATAGGCTAAAACCTATTAATGAATAATATGTTTTCTTAATTTATAGTGGTTTTTTATTCTAATTATTGTGATGTAAGTAATGTAAATAAACAATATCAAACAAGCCGAGTGTTCAACGAAATCCACACGCCAAGCCCATTTCTAAAAGTTCTGCACTCTGGCCTGTGCAACTATTCTGGGTACGCTCAAACAAAATTAAAATCAACAATATTGTCACGCAGATTTTTTGACATTTTGCGACACGGATTCCCAAAGATTTCGGTATTATTCTTAGCGGATTCCTCATCTGAATGTCAGCGGCACACTATCGCGCGTGTCCCATGCAGAGACCCTTGAAGAGGTCTTCGATGAGGTTCTTCGATACATAATTAAACTTAAATTTCTGCATTAAAATTTTGGTCTAATTTAAAATTAAACTCCCATATTAAGGAAAAATATATCAGCTTTAATTTCATACATGAATTTTAAAAATCTTTTTATCACTTTTCGCGGTATATCAATTTTTAGAAACTGATAGATACTTTTTCTTTGTTATATGTGTTAATTACAATTTAAATAAATTCATTTCAATAATACAAATTGTAATATATATTTTATTCAGATTTTTACTGTTGCCCTAATCTAGGAATAACGTTTTAAAATTGACCTTGTAAAGGATGTAGTGCCTTAATATTTGTTAATTTCGCAAAATTACTGTTTTAGCTTTTACTGTTTTATAAAACGAATATTATAATTCTGCCCTAAATCTATTATTGTACGTATGTATATAAATTTACTAACATTAGAGCATTAGTACTAAATAGTATTATAAATTAATACATAATAGTGATCCTTGCAATAAGGCCAGATCCACACTATAGTGCTGCTGTCAGTTCAATCTTAATCCACTCTCGGTTTAGTAAAATATCGGACTTGATTCTGAAGTGCCATTTACCTAAACCTATCTTATAACATTTTAAGATTCGCGAAATTAGTTTTGAGCTATCATAAACTAAAATTACAATTATTATGACTTAAACCAGCTTTAATTTTAGAAATAAGTTTAGAGGTTTACGGCGCCTAAGAATCGGTCCCCTAATCACATAAAACAATGTGTATATATTCACATTACAATCCGGTACAGTTTCGTTCAATCTGGAACCATATCGATTGCGAACCATGGCCAGCATTATAATGAAAATCCGCTCTAAATTTCAGTATAAATTGAAATTTTAAAATAAACGGTACCTTCTTATTTTCACATTAGCAATGTAGATTTTAAAGGCTTTTATTATCGGTGGGTAATATATTTATATCCGACCAGCCACATTTTGGACCGCAGGTTACGGAAAATGGATTGTTAGTAATGGGGCCTAGCAGTCCTAAAGGTAATTGTATCTATCTAATCTGTAAGTTATACTATGTTTATGATCTAATCAGGTCGACATTCATACCTGGAAACTATTATAATTACAGTGGATTTCGGGTATAACGATGATAAAGGAACCACTCTATTTCCGTCGTTATATTCGGAAGTCGTTACAGGCAAAGTTAAGAGATACAGACACATACACATGTATATTTTTATCTTCGCACAAATCAGCATTCTTTTTACCGTTTTTCAATTTTAAAATGATTTTCGCCTTTTCTTTAAGTGAATGTGCGTCGAAGCAGTCATACTTATTTAAAAGTTTACTAAACTCAGTTGCTACTCAAAATATTACTTTGTAACTGAACCATAAAACAACTCCGAAACGCACACGTTTCCCTACCTATTTAGCTTATATCTATAAACAATATGTAAAGGTATCCATACTTGCTGACCATCTGTGTGGATGTAAACAAAAGGTTAGAAATGTTTGTGAAAGAAATCTTGGTGTCTCTTTGGCGGTCAACTTCGGTCGCAATATCTGCATGGGTTTTCTAGGAATTTGTAACAATTGATTCATTAAAAACAGTCGCAACACCCGAACTCGGCGTTACATCCAAAGTCGTTATAGCCACATGAATTTTGTACTAAAGCATGCTTTAAATTCAAGGAACTTAGATTTAACATCGCTATAGGTAAATGATCGCTACAACCAAGGTCGTAATAAATGAAATCTACTGTAATTCTTGTTGAATTCATCACGATGGGGCAAATGACCTGCTTTTATCTTATCATCTTTCACTGGTGACCCGTTAGCACAAGCGGGGCTACCATTTAATTAGCATCCATAAAAAAATCAATTTTTTCCAATAAAAAAACCCCCTTCAGAATATAACAAAAAGACAACGCATTTTATAAGCAACACGAAATATTTATTCAAGTTAGAGCAGAAAGAATGCATAGCAAAAATTTATAATTTCTTACATTTTCACAATTACATCATACACATATATAGGAAGTGTCTGTAATAATGTTAACTCTACAATTACTTATTATATTATCCTTGAGATTATTCACAAGAACAAGTAGAACCAAGACTCACTAAACATAAAATAACATGTGAACTCATGGCCCATTGACAGGGCATTACAATTTATTTAGTTGGTCTTGGTTGAACAGAACTCCAATCCTTTACTCCAGTTAGTCTTTTCTAACTTGAACAGTGCGATGTTTTACAAGGGCAGGTTAACTCACACCATTCAATTTAAAAGAAACTTGGTGCGTGCAGGATCCTCGTCATTGCTTAGCAATTAACGGCAAGCACCGACGACGACACTGTACTAGTAGAAATTGTTACAACCTCTATACTTTGCATTAAAATAATGCCCATTTTCACAGGCAAGGGATCCTAACTTCGCAACCGCTAATTCCAGTGATATATTCACTCTAACACATAGTTCTCAGCTTCCCTGCAAAGTTTTCCATCTTGTATACAAAAGAAAACCAAGACAGTTACTGATAAATTTAAAATAAAATAAAACTTGTTATCCTGCCTCACCACACAATCGTGACACATGCTATTCGCAATTACCAACCCTTGCACTTTGTAAGAAGTTATTTCCAAGTTCAAGTAAGTTGACCACATTCTCGGAGCTTGTTACAAAGCAAAGGTTGGACAGTTCGTCAACAAGACAATAAACTAGCTGAGAATACTTTTTCCGTTTAATGCTCAGCATTTAAGAAAAGTCCATAACACACCATACTTAACTAAATTATATAAAAACAAGATGCCTGTTTTAATTAAAAGAAAAAAATATGATTGGCTATGCCATGATTACAATATACATTAAAAGCTAAGACCGATTCTTGGGTAAGTATATAATAATTTAATTTAATACAAATGCAAAACATGCCTAAATTATGCTGAATATTAAACTGGAAATATAGTCCACATTTTTTTTTTATTTTTTATATTTTTATTATTTTTTTTATTTTTTTTTTTATATTTTTAAGTAATTTCCACGCTGGGAAAATTACACTAATTCTATGCAAAGTATAGCTTGTATTTGTTATATGACCACTCCATACTTTGTTTCGTTAAATTTACGGGCTATGCAATTTATCCTCGCACATTGGCAGTAATAGTACAAGTGAGAAATCACTTGTTTGCAGAATTATTGTAAGAAATATATTGTAATGAAGCATAATAATAAGACAAGGAAAAAATAATAGGTAGACACTTTGTAAAGTGGGGAACAAGCTGACACCAATATAATTAGTTCCAAGTACCCGATTATAAATGTTTCAAATTACTTTCTATTAATGTAATCTATTGTAAGATAACTCTTACAGAGATAAGCTCGCCTGTTGTACATCTTTTTTTAATATATTTGTTTATAATTTTTTGTGTACAATAAAGTATAAATAAATTAAATAATCTTTAGTGATATTTCTAGTTATTCAAATTGAGGGAAGGTGGCAATTGAGAATAATTTTGGTTCACCTGATGGTAAGCAGTCACACAATCCTTAAATGCTTTGCTACACCACATACGCACACAAATGCGCATTTACGACCTAAGTAATTTCAAATTAAGGTTTTGCTTCATTTTGATTAATGTACCAGTTTTACCTGAAGTTTCAAAAACAGTATCTAATAAATACAGGCACTGTTTTAAATCCACATCTCTTAAGTTTCGAACTTTGGGACTTCTTTTTTATTACCACCCTTCTTCATAATTAAGCTAAATATTCGTTACCGGTTAATCATATATAAAAATGTAAGTTGTAAAAATTATGATAAGAGAAAAAAAGAATCACAAGTAAGATACTGCAAATATGCCAGTTATAAAGCATAGCCCGAAGTGCTGCTGGCACACAGGCGAAATGCCATATTCAAATGGGAAGTGGTTTTAAAGATAAATTTAGGCTCAAAACCTAGCGACATCAACCATACAAGCTCTCGAGTGTCGTTCTATGCTATTTGCGCATCTAGAATTTAATCTTTATTAATATAATTCATAAACCGATTGCATTGTTATTTATTATACTTCAATAATATTTGATGCATAGTGAGCACTAGATGTGTTGTTTTGATGTCGCGAGATAATGACACATTCACTTTTTGGTCATGATTTTAAGATACTCAAGGGCATTTTGAGCAGCTGAAGATTGGGCATCTTTGCTTGTCAGGCCCGATCCATAACAAACAGCCACCGGCAACGTCGACAGCTGTACCAGGCACTGGTTGCGGCCACTCATCGATTTCTCTTCAATGTCCACATAAGTGACTTCAAATGATTGCTCAGATGCGATCTCTTGTAAGAACTGAACAAAGTTGAAGTCCTTGTTGTTCAGGGGCGTAACCTATAGCAGAGAGTTTATTATAATTCCTTTTTAAATAAGCAATGACCACTAACTACAAAAACTTATGACACAAAAATATTTTTCATGCAAATTAGTAAAACATTAAGATTAATTTTATTTTTCTCAATCAACATTCACCAGACGTTCATGCAAAAATAATTGAAATGTATCGTACCTGCAACTTGGCCAGGTTGGGGCCGATAGATTGTTTGAGGTGTTTATGAAACTGCGAGACCTTGTGGCTGTGACTGGTAGTCAGAGTGGAGATTTTACTATCTTTCAAGTCGGCATATCGGGCCGCGACTCCGCCCTAGAAAACAACACCAATTATAAATAGCACTATTTTCAATTGATGCTTCAGTCCATTCAAGCTTTCGACAGAAAGATAGTAAAAACACCTGGCCAAGTGCATTCCATTCAAGGGAATGATACAAAAATGCCACCCATATAACATGGATGATAGCACTTTTGATTTCTGTGGATAGATTATAAGGACAACGAGTTTTAATTACCTTTCATTATTTTAAATAAATACTAATAATAATATACTAATACTGTATTCCTGTTAAAAATGAATACTGTACTATTCTTATAATGTACTGTCAAAATTTTCAAATGTAAATTAGAAATGGTAAATACACAGTATTTAATTACTAATGAATATATTCCGTTAATATTATTTTAGCATAAATTATCTGTTTTATTCATAACAAACTATTTTTAGTCAAATATGTAAGGAACTAGAAATTTTTTAATTGTAAATTCTATCTTATTCTTTAAAATTTAATTCTAATTCTGAATTTTACTTTTTTTATGAATAATACAGTTTAAAAGATAATATACTATATAAAAATAATGGATGATCTAAAATAAAAATGCTGTTAAATGAGATTAGTATACATTATGATTATAGTATGCTTCGATGTGGAACTATGGAGACAATATAAGTGATTAGGAATGTTTGCACAATGAATAAAGAACTTGTTTAATGAATAACAAAGAAATTTCTAAGCACTAACCGGTATAGAATATTGGAATAGACATGTTATTTTTTTATCATGTTCCAGTTTGCTTCATTTCACAAATATCCTCATTGAATCATGTTTATTTTTGAAATACTTGAAGTATTGAAAAGGAAAATTAAAAAAAAAAAACTGACTACATTTAGTTGGAAGATTTAATATTTTAGTGAATAATTTTTAAGTAAGAATGTTTATCAGTTATTGACCAAACATTCCGATACAAACTCAATACATTCTTTTCCATTGAATTATAGTGAAATGAACTGAAGCAGAATTGAAAATTAACACCCATTATAAGTTTCATCATCTCTTAGACAAAGCGTGCTTTACTTGGGTGAGGTTGCCAATAAAAGTGTTTTATTTTAAGAATTTTTACATTCAGGAAACAAATTCATTTACCAAATTTTCAAATCAATGGAGTATCTGTGAAATATATTCAGCTAGGTGTAGTCTAAAATTCAAATGATTTTTTAATATAACCCTATATAAAACTACATAAAATTTACTTTTTTATGATAAGAAATACTACATAAAATTATTTAAATCTTATGTAGTTTTAACTATAAGAAAATTATGAAAAAAAAATCATGATTTAAATTTTACCTCTTCATCTGGCTGAAAAACTTCTGGTGGGTTGTCTTGAAGAGCCTGCCACATCTTGTATGCAGCTTGACGTTTAGCGAGCTTCTTGGATTTACCTGTGCCAACTTCTCGGCGTTTCAGGAGTGTGCATACAATAGTAAATTGGCGCTCGTGAGGCAGACCTGATAACAATAATTACAATTAGATCACCCGGAAAACATTATGCCCCCTACTGAGACCTTTTATGCCGTTAAGAATATCAAGATAAACCTACCCCACAAGTTAGAAAAAACAATATACAATTACAAAATTTAAGTAATCAAAAAAATAACTTACGTAAACATATATCATGACATGGTATTTTTATATATGCAGATACTCTGTAGAATTAGATCATGCAAAAATAGCTTTGTGCGGCGCTACTTTTCATTAATCCCATATTATATGACACTTATTATGCCATATTTAAAAAACTAATAAAATACACATATTAATAACAATATACATAGATAGATAAATAGATAATTTATTTACATTACTTACAGCACACAAATTACAATAAAAAAAAACATACACATAATACACAGTAAAAGAGATAAAAGAATGAAAATAAAAAAGCAACAAAAAAAACAATATATATAAACCAATATATGAAAAAGGGATTATTAGTAAGTGGGTCTAAAAGCAAGCTCCCCTATCTCTTGCATTGAAACTACTCAATGATATTTTGAACCGGTTTCCACAATTGGATGTATTTGCCTCCAACTTACTGGAGCTTTGTTGAATGACCACAAAGTGTTTGTGTCCAAAAATTTAAAAATTAAATTTATTAATGTGTATTAGTCCTTTTTTATATTTATTTTATTGTACTGATGATTTTCTGAGTAAGTGCATTGGAAGACTGTAAAGCTCATCCAGTAGATGTAATGTAATAAATAAATAAAAAGCCCCTTTGCTAGCAATTTACCCTAACAGGTCGACCACCACATGGTTTCCCCTGGAAACCATCAGTCTTATTGAATTCATCAAGATGAGCCAAATGACCTGCTTTCACTCTCGCCTAAATGCAAACGGAGATACCTATTTTCACTGATTAAAAAAAAAAACCTATTTCAATAAAGGATACCTTTGCGATTAAAATATTAATAAACTACTTACGCCTGTTGACATTATCATCATTTTCTGCGTGGTAGGAGGGTGGCGGCCAAAAGCGCGACATGCAAAGTTCTTGAAGCCAGCCGACAGGGTTACCCATAAGTTTATCTTCAAAAGATGGTACCACAGCACCACTGCAATGATTTCATTAAAATCAATAATAATTATGCAACAAGTCAAACTTTTTCCACTATTGAGCTTAGCTCTCTCTTTATTAGAATATATTCATCTAATACCATGCTAGTCACAAAGTATATGGTTTAAACTTTTATACTGATGTAATATTCTTAGCACCTTTAATTACCTTTTACAATATCCTAAGGACAAAGAGGAGTGGTGACGCACAGTATAATCACTCCATCATAACTCAAAGACGAAATTAAATTTTTTTTTTTCAATTATGTGAAGTGCATATAGTACCAACTAGACACTATTTAGGTTCTATCATTAAGATTATAAATTATTTATACTCCATTGTTAATAATATAATAAAATAGTCTGTCTAAAACTGAGATACCAACGTTTCAGGGACATTGCCATTGGTGGATTGATCAGCAGGGGCTGCACCAGTCAGCTTATCTAGCAGAGCTTTGGCTGCAGAATGTTTGGCCTCCTTCTTTGAGCGCCCAGTACCCATAGCTGAGAACAGTGCATAATTTGAAATATGTTGCATTTAATTCTCCATAATAAAAAAGAAAAACATATTACAATACAATTAAATAAACATAACATATTAATTTCAATAGATAAAAATATATGAAGGAAAATATTTTAAACCATATTATTTCGATTCAACAAACATTTTCTTTAGAAGTTTCTAATCTCCAAATTGCATTTCTAAAGGAGCATTTGAAGAAATAGAATGGACTAGTATAGAAGAAGAATTTAAACAACAGCTTGAACAAAGAGAGCAATTATATAGTAAAAAAACAGAATTCTTTAACTATTAGTAACGTTAAAATTAATATAGAAATAATTTGGTTTTTATTTACACAATCACACCAATTGCCTGGTCCTCTGGTTAGGATAAAGTAAAGTTGTTAAAGACAATGTTATAAGCAACCAACTAATAAACTCTTATCTTAAACCTCATTTGATCACCAAAGTACTAACTCTGCAGTTTTCAAATTTGAAATTAATCAATGAGTATGAGTAGATCAAAGTGCTAGATCTAATCAGAAAGCTTAATTTTAAACAATTGCCCTAATTTATTAATAATACAATACAAATAGAAAGAAAGATTTTATTATGTTTAATTGCTTATCTTAGAAAGGTCAATTAACTTAAAACTTCAATGATAATTTCACTGCTGGTAATAATTTAATCTATTAAATTAATAAATATAATTTATAGACTAACCAACTAAGTCAGCCACAGTCACACGATAGCGGAATGTTGGTTCATGAATCATGCCTTCAATTTGAACCAGTTCATATTTCGGTACAGTACCACGTCGTGCCAATAGCTCTTGGAGCACTGATACAGGAGTCTTCATAGGCAGAGATTCCATTTCCTAAACATTTTTTTAACATTAAAAATATATTTATTCAACATAATGAAAAAAGTTTTGTAACATTGTTCTGCTATTATACCATGTAATTCAAACATTATACACCTTTCTAATCAGTGAACGATTAAATTCAAGTTTCAGATTGATGGCATTAGTAATTGCTGAGATATAACACTGTGACAGATAAATAGATGGACAAAGTTGTACCATAAGAATTACTTTTAATTTTTTTTTTTTTAACTTAAAAAAGGCAACTGTAAATTGATAATTACAAAGATTGATATAAGAAAACACATTATACACCTACCCTTTTAGCAGCTTCATCCAAAGGCAGTCGCTCTAGGTTATTTGATGGCTTCGGTCTGTTTTGATAACGACGGCGGGGGCCATGCGGAGGATGCTCCCCATCTGGCCCCGCACCATGGACTGGCATGCCATGAACAACCCCAGGAACCCCACCCAGGACCTGTCCAGGGTGTGGGTGGACTACACTACCATCCATCTACAAATACATTAAGAAAAATTAATGAATGCAACATTTCAGTGATATCTATGTATGTGATAACTATAATACATCAAGGTAATAAGTAAATAAGTTTTAACAGTTTTTCTATAAATATATCCATAATTTGGTGTTGAAGTCAATTTATTAAGTAATCATAATGGATTATTTCTCATGATCAAATATTGTATAGTAATTTTCATTTCTGTAGATGTGCTATCTATATCATGTTATAATCTATGAGATACATATTTTTTTGTTATTGTAAAAAATTATAATGTGATCATACCTAATAGTCAATAAGGGGAAGAGACTGTTAGTAATGCAGATTGCTAGTCACACATTGCTAGCAATAACCCCTGTCAGTTCGACCTCCACATGGTCCCCCCTGGAATCCATTGTGCTGAATTCCAGGTATTATTCATCACGATGGGCTAACTGACCTGCCTTTTCATTCTCAGCAATCATCCTTCACTGGTGCCCCGCCAGCATATACCATTAGTATCAGGTGAGGTTACCACTCCATTATCACCCATTAAAAAAAATAGAGTCAATAAAGTAGAAAAGCTATACAAGACATTGCTTAACTATAAAACTTAATCTCGCCTCTCATATATATTTAATAATATGATATTCCATTTGGATCAAATGTGCAGAAATAAAAAAGAACAATAAATATGCATTACATATATACAGGGAATTCAACAAAATTAGACAAATGAAGGCTTTTTGTCACTGGCAATTAGTTACATAAGTATTATAGATATGTAAATAAAATCAAATAGTTTGTTAAAATCATTAAGTACTTACTATTACCTACTAGAACTGCAAGCCTAGACAGAATCTTGTCATAAAAAATACCCATTTTTAGTACTTAAGGGATATATGACAATTAAAATAATTAAATAGACTATTAATATTATTAAAAATAATTGTATTTTGTTCCACTATCTTTATTAAATGTTTTTTTTTTTTTTTTTATTTATACACGCAACCGGTATTGAAACTTCACCTTCAGTGTTTATAAAAATTAAAACAAATAAATGTATACCAAATTCTATTCGCATATATAAATGATAATATTTTAATAAAGACAGTAGGACAAAGTACAAGTAATTTAATAATATTGTATTTATCAATTTGTTATTGTATAGAAATTTATCCGTCTTGTTGAAAATATAGGCTGGACACAAAATCATAGATCTACCTACCTAGATACCTAGTTAGTGGAAAAAAAATTGTATGAATTTTGTTAAGTGTATTTTTACGTATCTTAAGATTAGCGATTAATTTACATTATTATTACGTGCTTATAATCAATCACAAATTAAGCTTATTTTATTGTGAACAGCGATTAAGTAGGCTTCTTTAATATTAAAAAATAAGGCCTTGCATAATAAAAGAAGCTTTACTTACATACATGTCGACTTCGTTACTCTATTAACTGTTATTTATGACAGATAATATGTTTTTGAGGATAACATTAAAATGAAATAAATTAAATCCGAGAGCAAGGGAGTATAATCCTGACATGTGATTTCATAACATGGCGGCCGCCGGCCATTACGACAGGAACCTCAAGATGGCTGCGCCGCATGCCGGCTTTATCAATATTATTTATTTACAACAATAATCAGATTAACTCTACAAAAACTAAAGAAAAATACATGTTTAAATATATTTCGCATGGAAACTTATACATAAAAATAAACATTTTGTGTACTTACCATTTTCATATAGTAGTGAACACTAATTTATAATTTTTTCAAGACAGCTGTAAAAATATAATAATTAACTATTATGGAAGCTTAGCTAATAAAAAATAGATAATACATTACAAAAAAAGTACTACACAAACCACAAAATTTGCCGGTTAGAAAACGAATGATAAATCGAAAGAATGATTGATTCGATGATAATGATAAAAAGAAAAAATTGAATGAATGAATGAGGTAATATTTTGAACGATCTTGTACCAGTGGATGTCACATATTGACACAGGTGAATAACAACGATATTGACAAAAGAAATTATATCACAGAGTATACAGTTAAATATTGGCCCCTTATTAAAAAAAATCAAACCGCATTTGCAACAGTTTGTGAATAATTGGTAATTGAAAAATAAAATAGTATTAGCGTGTCCATTTTCGGCATTAGTGTAATTTACAGAAATTACTAATCTTTAGATATTAGGTAGATAAGTTAGTAATTACTACGTAACGTAGTAACGTAGTAATTACTTGCTCTGTAGTACTTTCCTAATATAATTTAATAGGGGAGAAAGGGATTGTTAGTAATAGAAATCTAACAGCCCTATTGCTGCTCATATATCTGCTTGACCTCCACGTGGTTCCTCTTAGAAATCATTGTGGTTAAATCTTATGGAATTCGTCATGATGAACTAACGACGACAGGATGTATTGGAATAATACAAAAATATTATTGCTATCTAGATCATTTTGGTTAGATTCTTATGCCACTTAATATTCCATTAGCATCATATACAAAGCTCCATCGTACTTCAGGCATAGTACCTAAGGATACAGAAGTCTTTAGACAAAAAGTTTCTTGTGCAATATATATGTATTCTTTTCCAAATATTTATGGATGCTTAGTACGTGCAAAAATATGTAATCGCAAACCGTTGCGATAGCTTAGATAGAAAATGATACGATAGCATAGATAGGTAGAATGACAAATTTTTACTGTTCTAATACCTACTATTATCTATACTGTGATATTATTTAAAAACGATTATCGAGTGCCTAAACTTAGTGACGCCTCTGCAGAGCGATTTAAGAACTAAAATTATTAAACTTTCACTTCTGGTTTTATTGATACAAAATCGCTACAAGGCAATATATTTGGTGTGCAATAAAAATATTAGTTTATACATAGAGAGTGGATATCTCCACAATCTTTACACTGAATAAGTATTCACTTGTTACTACGAGTCACTACACCATCCTTGTATCAACAAAACTGGAAAATGAATTTATACAACCAGAAGCATCACCACTATAAAATAATGAATGTACCTGCAACAAATTTATATTAACTATTGGAGTGTTTTATCACTTTCTTTTAAATTAAGAATTCAGTGTAAAAGAAAAAGACCATAATAGCTAAAATAAGTTTGTTTTTGGCGTTTTTATGAGTAAGGGTTATAGTTTAATACATTAGTTTAAATTATATCTGTATATAAAATAGTAACAGTGATATAATATCAACAAAATACCATAAAAATCCTAATAAAGTACTTCATTATTATTCCAGCTGTTAACTAACCACTGTTAAAATAACGTACATAAAGTACTTCATAATGTAAAATTATTTAATTCAGTTATTTAAATTAGTCGGATAGACAAATTTTGTTTTATTCAAAGTAACGCAGACACGCGAGTTTGCACCTTTACTTTTTAACTACATTTTTGGCTTGTGGTAATACAAAAAATCTAAGCCCAAAAGTAGAAAAAAAAAGTAAATTTAAAATTTTTTTATAGGTACTGCAAGTGGAAAAGCCAGAATAGTCGCTTAAGGTAGGTATGTAATAATAATATTTCTTTTTATGATTTTTAATAATTGTTTATTTTGGTTTTAATAGAGGGGTGTGCATTTTTCGGTACTCGGTTTGTATCTATATATATATATATATATATATATATATATATATATATATATATATATATATATATATATATATATATATATATATATATATATATATATATATAAAATAAGTCTACACATATTATTAAGTTTAAAATAAGTAAAATATATGTAAAATTGTTGGCGTACATGTATTTGCATAAAGCAAAGTGAAAGCCAAGTTTTTTAAGTTCTTGTTCTAAACAATTAGAACAATTAAAAGTTTGCTATACATTTTGATTTTTCTATTGTATAGACAGACTTTTTTATAAAGATATCCTTTTTAAATTTATACTTTCATCATGTACGTTTAATTTCTTTCTAATTTCCAAAATTGTTCATTATAAAGCACCGAGACATAAAAATATAGGGATGTAATTCATTAATAAATTAATATGAAGTCAGTGTGCTATAGAGTTGTCATTTTTTAAATAATTTATTCTTATTTTAAAGCCAAATAACTAAGTGAATAGTTCTTAATTGAACCTAACTATTTTTACAATAAAAAAAACATACATAATACTATAAATACATAATGTTAATATATTTGTAAACCTATATAATAAAAAAATATCGGAAGTTTCATTATACGAGCGCAGTTTTAACTTCTTAATGGTAGGTTACTCTGGCATATTCCGGTAGCACCGGTAGATTTGCCATTCTATTTTTATATGAAAAAAATTAAAGAATTTGTACAATCAACATTTTTAAAAAACAACTCAAGTTTTGTTACTTTAGTTATAAAATAATTTATGTTAAGTACACGCAATTAATACACGCATAGTAACTGTCACTATTTAGTTTATGTACTTAACTATTATCACAAAAAAAAACCGACTTCAGTTGAGGTACCATTTATTATGATTAAAAACTAAGCTACTGAACCGATTTTGATAAAAATTCTATGGCACCAACCTGTAAGTATATCCTTTCAAATAAAAAAAAGAATTTTAAAAATCAGTTTACAATTGACGGAGTTATGGGGTTTTTTATTATTTTATTGATTTGTTTCGCAGATTTTCTTATGTTCTTAGCGTACAGTTGTGTTTATTTGCTGTTACGAACTTGAGCTGCGATTTGATACAGCAGAAATAAGTCGTTAAATGGAATGTGTTTCATATAATGTATATAAAAGATTGCCTACATAATATATACATGTAGATGCGAATATAACTTGTAATATTTATTCATATTTTATTATATAATAAATTATATATAAATATTATATACATATAAATTTGAAGATATAGAGGTCGCGTCAGTCGCAAAAATATGTGTATGAATTGGGCGCCGTTTAATTTCTTATGATTTTGCACGATAGTTCTTGTTAGTGCATCAAAAGAAGCGTGTACACCAAGTTTCCGAGTAATGGTTGTCAAGTCAAAGAGAGTGTCAATTCCGTGTACTCGGGACGTTTGTTCGTATTCGAGATGAGCTGATGTTTGTGAATGAGTGATGAATTCATCTCACCATAGGGAAACGCAAGGAGGTCGCCTCAGCAGAGTATATTGCTAGCAATGGAGATTAACAGGCCCATAACAATCTCTATATAAACAATCCTACAAGTTTTTAAAATATTTAAATTATTTTCTACAGAATGTGTTGCCTTGTTTACTGGTAAAATAATAATATAATAATGAATAGATTTATTTTCTCTTCACAATTCATTACAGTGAAATACAATGAGACATGCTTATATTAATCAAATTATAAATATAATTGTGAGAGACTGGTGCCTCAAAATGAAGCAATAGTGAGGAGGAAATATCGCCTGTGGCATAAAAGTATTTATTCGGACCTTAAGCACGCATACTTTAGCATGAGTGATTTAATCCTCTCTCTCTTATCCCAACTAATATGCAAAAAAATGGAAATAAATCCAGTATAGTTAATATTGTAATAAAATTATTAGGAAATTTAAAAAATGTACCTAAATACTATATACTATACAATAATCATGCTAGAGATAGTAAAGGATTTTGATATTCAATTCCCTATATTTCTTTGTGTATAAGGCTAAGCTAAGATAAAGCATAATCATATAATAAACTAAGCAACTTATGGTTCTGATATAATCTCTCGAGCACTGCCTTCTACTATTAGTCGTCTAATAATTTAATTTTGCCTTGTAACAAATATTTGAAATATGTTCCGTTGTATAATTATTATGTTTTGAGATGTTAGAGGAAATGTAGGACAGTTCCTTAAAAATATTTTCCTATAGATATTTGACAACGGCTGTGATAAAAACCATTATTACGAATTAAGCTATTATTATTAAAATAATGATATTTTTTATGTATTTACTCTTTAAAAAAATATGATTAAACAAGCTCCATATATGTTTTTATAAAAGAAAACTTATACGTTATTACGTAGTTAGGTTACTAACTCAGTGTAAACAGTTGAATATTTTATATCATAAGATATTATCAGGAACTATACCTATTAGCAATATTCTAGTCACGATTTTAATTGCACCCTTCGTAGTAATCACTTGTACTTATACCTCATTTTATTACTCCAGCAGTTCTAGATAACAGCGAATATGGTTTTACATTTAAGAAAAAAGAAAATTCCATTTGTTTACGAAAGAAACATAAAGTTTCAAGATATTTTCTATCCTATTTATTTATCACTGCGTTTATTTGGGTTGTTTCCATACAAAATAAAGTATAAGTATGGAACTAAAAAGTACAAAATTTTGCATAAGTCCATATACTTGAATGCTCTATGTGCAGTGTTATATAATTTAGTTATTATTGTTCTTGTCGTTGTGCATGTGCACGTTATCGCTGTATCAAATAAAAATGGCTCCATCGCACCAACTTTGATGACAACAATAAATTACACCGTACAAATAGTGACTTTGATGTCTTCTTGTGTTATTGCTTATATTTGTGCATACCAAAATAGATGCAATTACGTGAAAATTCTAAACAAACTGTCATCTTCTTGGTTCGCGCTACCAAATACCAATTATTATATATTGAAAAAATTGCATACACATGTATTAATATGTTTATTAATTCTAACAATGATACTACTGAGTCTAATAAGCTTTACCTGCACTCAAGTGTACAAAGGAGGAATTTGGGAAACTTTACTGATAGCTTTTACTTTTAATATGCCACAATTTATTCAGTTTGTTGTGATCGTATTCTATTATACGTTAATGCTTATGGTGAGGGCAATATTGAGTAATATGAAAGAGAATTGTTTAAATACAATAAAAGAAAAGAAAAACCCAAAATACTCCATAAAGATAGTGGCAAAAAAATCAACTTTTTCTATAACGTACTTGGAATTATTTTATGTACAAGTTATTGAAGCTAAATCCGATATTATCAATGCCTTTAGAATGCCTATTATTCTTATATTGATACAAATATTTCATGCAATAGTTACCATTGCTCTCTCTTTATATAATCAAACTATTCTTCAAATAAATCTTTCAATAAATAACATTACTATTTCATCATTATGTTTGTCGTTTCAAGCGTTGAAACTATACGCATTTGCCTCTTCAGGTGACATGATACAATTTGAGGTGAGTTATATTTTCTTTCCTACCAACCAATGTTTATTATTATTTGTTACGGTATACCTTCGCCATACGGTATAACTTATTTTACAATCGATTGGATACTTGCAAGTGCCACTTTATGTCACAACAGAAGATACTGTTTATGAATTTTTTTTGCTAAGTAAAATCTTACTACTACAATACGCAATTGTTATTTACTACTAATAAATAATATTGAAAATAGTGAGATAATTATTTCAAATAATTTATATAAGAAATGGAAATATATCCTGTAAGGTCACTCCTCCACGTGGTCCCCCTTGGAAATCATTGTGCTAAATTCCAGATCTATTCATCACATAGAAATAACTGACCTGCCTTTTCATCCATCACTGGTGCCTCGCCAGCGTATACCGTTAGCGCAGACGAGGTTACCTTCTATTATTATCCATTAAAAAAAATTATAAGGAACAGGTGGTGGTGTTAAAATAGTTATAATAATACTTAATTCTTCTATTCTAGGTAACTGAAATAGCTCGAGCTCTTCATAACATCCCTATCGACCAGAATGTTGATATAATGATGCAGGTATCTTAAAACAATCTTTCGTAAATATATTCGTAAATGTGGAAGTTTGTAAAATGTTTTCACTCAATCATATTTTCATTTAATGCGGGTTATAACTAGAAACCATTGAAGTAGTTGTAGTAGTAGAATAGGCCACCCCTTCCTTTCCCGTGGGTGTCGTAGGAGATAACTGACGGAGACGAAGAATAGGCAGCAACGTCCTTCTTAAAACATCTCCAAAGCCTAACTGTGAATGCCAATCCGCCGGCCAGCGTAGCAACTAGTGGCAAAACCCCCCAAGGCGGAGGCTTATGTTTAGCAGTGGACGATTAACTTAGATGATTTTAAAATAATCAGGTGATTTAGTTTAATGTTGGGTTTAATGCTTTTTTCGTCATTAAAAAAGAGGCTCTCAATTCGGTTGTACTTTTTACGTTTGTCACCTCATAAATCCGTCAGTAATGAACGGATTTGGAAATTTTTTTTTATATAAAAGGATATACTTACATTTTAATAAAATTCAGATTGGTCTCATATAAATTTTATTAAAATCGGTTCTGTGGCTTAGTTTTAAAATCAAATTATTTAATTGGTTTTGCCACAGTTGAAGTCGGTTTTTTGTATTGTACCTAAAAATTGTTCTCTTTAACAGGTGCAGCGTTTTTCGACTTTAATGTCTTATTATAATCCTATAGTGTCTGTGTATGACTTCTTTCCGCTCGATGCTACTTTAATATTCAACGTTAGTATTTTACTTATCAACATGTTATTTTTTCTATATAAATAGATATCTAATACTTACCGCTCACGAGAGAAAGAGATTTTTAGTATTGGGAACACTGATTCCCAGTGAAGTTGACCCCCATATGGTCTTCTTTAAAATCGTAAAAAATTCTTAACAAAATCATCACAATCGGTCTGTTAACCTGCGTCCTCACCTATCATCACTCAATGTATATTCAAATAACACACGTGGTGTTTTTAGTCCATTTTTATTTAAATCATCTTTATTCAAATAGACTTGTTTACAAGCACTTTTAAATCGACATTTTTTAACATCTACTGTTGGGTTCAGAAAGTTGCTATCTGCAGAGAATAACCTACAATAAGCTAAACAGTTACTCTTTTGAATCTCAAGTTAACATTATGTGTATTTCTATGCGTTAAAAACTGAACTTACTGGATATTTTTGTGCAAAATTTAAAAAAATTAATATTAATATGATATTATAATTTCAGGTATTAGCATCAGCTACAACATATTTGATTATATTTGTCCAATTTGAAAATAATTAATGTAAATTATATAAAACGGTACGATGTCTTATATTGTCTGCGTAAATACAGTAGATTTTATATAGGTATATATTTAATTGCAACTAATAGCTAATAGTTAACATTAAATACATACTAAGATAACTATGTATAAACACATGCATATAATTATTATCACAGGCAAATTGTTTGTTTATTTTAGTATAAAAATATTATTATTAAATTTTATTCCATTACCTACTGATAATTTTATTATAATACCTTCTATCACTGTTGATTTATCAAATATCATCATCATCATCATCATATCAGCCGTTAACTGCTAAATGTAGGCCTCCCCCATAAGGAGAGTTTTGTTAGTAGTTATCACCCTTGGCAGACGGGTTGGCAACCGCAGTTAGGCTTTGGTGCTGTTTTAAGAGGGCTGCTGCCCATCCCTCAACCATTCAGTTCCCATAGTCGCCTCTAACAACACCCTCGGGAAAGAAAGGGGCAGTCTATTCTATGCCGGGTAACACACGGTAATAGCATCCAATAAAGCAATTTGTAAATTCATTCCAATGTGATCACGTGTGATTACCTACTCGCTTAGTGGATGACAAAATTCTTATCCTTACTATATTATAAATGATTAAAATGAGATATATTTATATTATACTTTATTGTGTTTAATTAATTTATAATATAATTCAGAATAATGTTTTTTATGCAACTTATAATGGCAAACAAGCTGACGGTATGATAAAAGTGGTAACCGTCGGCTATAATAATAATGGACATAACAGAGTATACTGTTTCGCCCATGATACCCCCATGCGTTGCTATTCCATTCCTTCATAACAATATAATCTAAGTTAAGTATTTCTTTTGGTAAGTAAAGACTAATACCTACAAATTCGTACAGTTATTATAGTACAGTTTCGTGACGTAGTAGGAATACAACATGAAACACTACTCTTATCTATAGGATCGTAAGTGGCATCTAAAAGAATATCGCATCACAGTGAGAAAAAAATTAAAATTAATCTTTAATATCAAATCAAAAAGAATCTTAATTAACATTAAAAACTAGAAAGTCCTTTATTACAAGTACGGACAGTATAAAATGTAGAGGTAATTGTACTTTAAAAATTTAATTTTCCTCAGTTACATGTGCTCGGCTTGGATATTTAAGTTATACGGCTTAAAATTCTATCCGAAAAAGGTTTGTAATTAATGCAGCGTTATATAATGTTGTATTGATGTTGCATTAAGAAGAACAGAGTTGGTTAAGCAAGCTCCTCTATCTCTTGCTTTGACACTACTCAATGATATTTTGAACCGGTATCCGCAACTAGATTTATTTTTCTCCAACTTGCTGGAGTTTCGTCGAATAACCACAAGGCGTTTGTGTGCAGAAATTTAGGCTCTAATATTATCTGTAGTTAAATCTTTTTTTTTATATTATTCCTTTTTTATATATAATATTGTACTGATGATTTCCTGGATGAGCGTATTGAAAGACTGTAAAGCTCATCCATTTGATGTAATAAATAAATAAAAAAATAATATTTTCATTCATTTATTAAATAAATATCACATTGATGTGTGCAAACAAAGATTTCTATTTATACATAATAATATGCTTACTAGTGCAAACATTATTGTTTAATTAATTGAACATTTTACATATCACGATGTATATTATGTTTTTTTAATCGTTATCAAACTGTACTAGAATAATTAAATAAGTTGTTGCAGAAGCTATTACCTGGAATGATAAATTTATAGTTAAATATAAGTATATAATATAGTAATGGTAACAATTCAAATGACAATATTTACTAGTTGTATCCTGCAAGTTACCTTCATGAATCAATATGGAAAGTATCCTATGTTCTAAGTGAGGAAATAAGCTATCTGTGTATCAGATTTTAGTCAAATTTATACAGTAGCTTTTATTTCGTAAAAAAGTAACAAACAACCATTTGTCCGTTCATCCTCACAAACTTTTTCATTTTCATAATAATAGTAGGATGAAACTGATCTTTCTTAAAGGAACACTGATTAACGGGTTTACTGCACCGTAACCTTTGTTGTTCTTTAGTTTAGCCTTCAGTTCAGCATGACAGTACTAGACCTGTCATCAGGGGGAAATCCCATTGTTAACAACATACACCACTGGTACCCCGCCAGCGTATACCGTTAACGCAAGCGAGGTTACCATACCATTTTCGCCTACTAAAAAAATATAAAAGACCTGTCATCAACAGTGTATCCCAATGAATTACGATAGTGACGGTAATGTACTAACATTAAATAATAATGTGGCATCGAGTGGAAAGAAACCGTAGATTGTAACTTCAGGGCTAAGACACGAAATTACCGAGGAGAAATGCTGCACCTGTAATTATATAAAAAAAATTAAATAAATTAAGCGTCATAATGGGTAAAATCGTATAAAAAACTATTAATACGTTTTGGTATTACCTCGGTCATTACTGTTACAGTATGTGTATCAGTTGGAATATTATAAAGAACTTGGGCTATTTCATTTGCCTGAAATGTAACAAAATATGTCAGATGTTTGTTCTTTAACAAGTACGAGTACGTACAAGACTTTGTAGGATAAACGAAAATGATAATGACGTTACAGACTTTAGAAGAAAAACTAATTCATTAGTATAAGTGTATTTTTCTGGTGTCGAACATAGGCCTTTCCCATAAGGAGAGTTTTGTCAGTAGTTACCTTATAGACGCTTGGCAGGTGAGTTGGCAACCGCAGCCAGGCCTTTGGTGATGATTTAAGAGGGACACTGCTGCCGATCCTTGGACGATAAATTCTCTAAATCGCCTCTTACGACGCCCACGGAAAAGGAAGGAATGGCCATTTATATTAAAGTAGTACTTACCAATATTATACATACCTCTAACTTCAATAACTCTCCACAAGATGCAAAAGCATACACTTTGATTATTTGAAAAATTGTCCACAATGCGATAATACAGAATTCATTTACTGAAAACGTTGCTTCAAGTATAGTTCCATGGTATGCCATATGTGTATTGGTTACCAATGCGTGAAACATTTGAATCATTATGAATATAATGGGTGCTTCAAAAACATCATTGATCTCACATTTGATTTCTATAGTATTCATATAAATCAATTCCAACTGCTTTAGGGGCACTATGAAATTTCTATTGGGTCTTCTTACAACTGGTGTTGTAAACCCCTCTCGGTGTAAATGTTCAGTTGTGAAAGCCAAGCAATTTTCTTTAATATTGTTTAATATCGCGCCTGTCATATGCATTAACCAATAGTAAAATAATATAACTACAAATTGAATGGTTTGCGAGATATTAAACGTGTTACACACTAATATAATTTTCCACAGGCTATTGTTTCGTGTACAGGCTAAACATATTAATATTACTATTGTCATAATCAACATTATTATACATATACAAATACGGAAATATAGTTTTCTAAGAATACAACAGTTGTTCGGGAGAGCGGACCAAGTGTCTGCTAGTTTATTTAATATATTCACATAGGTGTGCCTACTTCGGTATAAACATATATAAGCAATAACACTCGATGATGCTATTGTAACCATTTCAAAAAGATAATTCGTCGTCGTTATTACTGTGTCCGTATATGAGCTAGCTTCACTTAATGTAAAAGTAAATTTAATATGTATAAATGAAAACACAATAATTAATAAATTAAAAATTATTGCTATCGCGGAATTAAAATAGAGCGATTTGTGAATCACTTTATACTGATTTTTATTATATTCAAGACGGTATGGAAGTAATCCGAATAAAAATAGCAATATGTATATTGGTTTAAATGTATCATGAAATGTGATTTTATTTGAATACGGAAATAAAATAGAGTTTAATAAGTGCACAACCATATTTGATGTTGACAGTGAAAGCAGAGACATAAAATAAAGCGTAATTACTCCGTAAAACCTACGATAGTGAAGATACGAGTAGTACTGAACTTTTTCATAGTATTTACTTCATTTATTATTGATCATTAAGTAGTAGATATTACAAAAAGGACATATTCCTTGTAGTTTTTTATGTGCAATCATTAAATAGCCATCAATGTGCCATTTTATTTTCACGTAATTATAGTACCCATAGTTACTTATAGTTGTTACATTACCTTATCCTTAAAACATTATTATGGTGAAAATCACTGAATACATAAATACCTACACAACTGTGTGTGTAACTTAAATAAATAATATTTTAGAATACCTAAATATTTAATAAAAAGTCCCTACAAAGGTACATAAACAGCAAACATTACATTCATACGGTATTTAGATAGATCGTTGGTCTGCCTCTACATTTTTATTATAGTCGGTAAAAAATGTAATGATATACAAAAAGTAAAATATATTTTGATAAAACCTGAAACTTGGAACCTGGTGAGATGTAATCATCATTACATCAATCATTATCTGTCCACTGCTGAACATAAATCTCTTCATAGACGGTTCCGGCCACCTGCATCCAGTAACTCCCTGCAATACATTTGAGGTTGTCCCTTATAAACCTTTCTTCTCCATCGGTTGTCGATTCTTCGAGCTATGTGATCAGCCTATTGCCATTTCAGCTTGTTTATCCTTCCAGCTATATCAGTTACTTTGATTCTTTTGCGGATATCTAATTCTGATTATATCATAAAACTCCGTGCATAGTCCTCTCTATAGCTTGTTGAGTAACTTGTAGCTTTTGAAAACCATGTTTTGATTCCGTAAGTTATCATTGGCAACACGCTCTGATTAAAAACAAAAACCATCGTCTTCAAACTTTGAGGTCTTTTAAATGACAAGATATGACAAAATATGATATATCACGGTTAATACTTTTTATTTATTTCTAACTACTACGTTTCCTACTATTTCTACGTCTAATCTATGTACGAATTCTGTATAAGATAATGCTACTAATATGAAGTTCGCCATTCATACTATATTTTAATTTAATTAATAACGTTATTTAAATAATAAAAATAACACATACTCGTATCCATAATAGGTAAACAAATTATTACGAGTCACCTGTGTTTATTTTTCTGTGCCAGCTTTAAGATTTGGTGACGAAACCTACCGCCATATCTGAATTGTTTTTTGATAATTATTTGCCACTTGTCTTTGAGGATGGAGATTCATTTCTTGCTCCAGACAAATTAGCAAATAAACATTTAAAATTGAGTGAGAACTGGGTTATCTTAGATTAATGGTATTCTCATAAATCAATCAATCAATTTATGAAAAGAACAACTATAAAGGTACTTACTTCTAAGAATAAAAAGTGTACAGTTCATTATGAAGTAAAAATCATAAAATCATAAAAAGAAAGTATTAATAATAATGAAATATATTTACTAAACAGTTTTACATATTTTTACATTTATAATATTACCTTAGTACGATAACGATGTGGGTATTTCTATAATTTGTACGAGTATAATAAAAAAACACATCGAAGACAATTATATATTTTAATTTCCTTATTGCATTTTTATATTACCGCTATAAATAATAAAAACATATATTTTAACACAATTTATATAAAAAATAAAAGGAATTCAATATTTGCAATAATATTATATAGACAAGCATATATTGTTTCTTTGATTCAAGGTCCTTCAAGTTAATCATCAGACCCGGTAAGCTGTACCAAAACTATTAAATACATCGTTGCAGAAGCTAGTACCTGAAAGAAAATTATAAATGATAAGGTTTATTATTATTATAAACAATATCTGTAATGCGTTGGGAATTTATATGAATTTATCTATAAAGACTGAATTTGCAATTAGGACGGACAGAAATAAGGAAAAATACAAGTAGGTACGTGATTGTAACGTGGTAAATTTGGATAAAGATATCCAATGTATTAATTTAGACTATAACCAAATATGTGTGTACAAAATTTAATTGACTAAATCAAGGCTATTTAACCATAATTGAGTGACAGATATCTAAATATCCAATCAAATTCTCACACTTTCAGATTTATAATAATACTAGGTACTATATTGGGTGAATAATAGATGCCTATCTATTAGAATTATATACTGGCAGGTAGTAATTAGTTACTAACGTTGAAAAAAAGGGTAGCGTCAAGAAAGAAAAATCCGTACACCGTCACTTCGGGGCCTTGATGGGCAATCAATGACAGAAAATGTTGTATCTGTAAATAAATTAATTTTGATTAAATTATACCTAATATTTATTTTATTAATAGGAATATGTAAGTACTATCCTTATTTATTCCTCAAAATAATAATAAATATTTTATATTAATGAAAATTAATATGTATTAAGTAATACTGTATTATGTTCATTGTAAAAAAAATACAATATATATTTATTTCTATTAACAATACGTACTTCCATATTCAACCTGATATCTTGTCTGTCAGTTGGAATCTTATGAAGGGTTTGGCCTATTTTCAATACCTGAAAATTTTACAATATATATAATAACTACAATTTTTTATCCTTATTTTGAAATAAAAAACAACACTTAATTACAATGTATCGTTATTGTATGATTGTGAAGAACTGAAGTCGGAAAGTAAACTCAAAAAACTAATAGAAGTCTTACATAAGTTTTGTAATAATAATAATAACCTACCAGGGAATTACCCAATTAAATATATTCCTTTTAAACTGTGCCAAAATGATGTTTTAGAGAGGCAAAACCAATCATATCCAGTAATATTAGATAGACGATGTATTGATATAATTGCTTATGACAGTATTGAAATATAGTAGAGCTTTTATGCATATCTGAATACAAAACCAGAGTACAAAGAAATTAAAAAAGATTCTTTAATGCAAGGTAAGTAACTATGGAAATAGTGTTTATATTACAAATCTAAGCATCGACGATTTACGACTAGCTACAATAGCGACTTCGACTGCTTGACCATGTTAAAAGAAACCTATATCCTTTACTATACTACCAAATTCTGTAACTATTGGTTCAGCTGTTAATATGTCAAAATATAACACAAATAAATACACTATCATATTTCTAATATTATATTATTAAAGAAGAATGAATTACTAACCTTAACTTTCAAGACATTCCCTGTATAAGCAAATGCAAATACTTTCGTAAGTTGATAACTAATCCAAACTACAGTATTAAATAATTCGTGTAATGTAAGTGATCTTGGAGAAATAATACCGTAGTACAGAGTATACGATTCACCAACCATAGCATGAAAGCACTGCAGCAATGTCAATAGAATAGAAGGTTGAAAAGCTTCATTAATATCCCGTTTGACTTGAATTACTTTAACGTATACTAACTCTATATCCTTCAGAGTTAAACTCGATGATGTATTTTTTACAGATGAGTAGGTAAAATGGTTTTTTTCATTTGCTACGTCTCTACAATTATCTTCAATATTACTCAATAATGCTCCAACCATAAATATTAACATACAATAGAATACTATATGCACAAATTGGGCAATTTGCGGTATAATGAAAGAGAAAACGACCAGTATTTGTTTCCAAGATCCTTCGCTTCGTGTAAAATTTAAAAAAAATAGAGACATAAGAAGTAAGAATAAAACCGTTATAGACACAGAAACATGAAAGTTTAATTGTCTCATAATAGAATAACCGTTCCTTGGGAGTTCGAACCAAAAAGTAGTCAACTTGTTTAAGATATCGACATATTTATATTTGTTCTTAAAAGCACACAGATATGCGGTAATGCAAGCACAAAATAGTAGTAGCAATTCTAATACATAATTAGAGTATGTCATTTCGGTACTAGTAAAAGGGCTGATATCAGTGTAAGAAAGAATAAATTGAACATGCAAAACAACAAATACAGAAATTATTGATATAAGCAATATGACATATAATACATTTAAATACAGTGATCTGTATATAATTTTATAACTTTTTGAATTATATTTTACACTATATGGAAATAGTCCCAATAAAGAAAGCATTAAGTAAATTGGTTGAAAAATATTATGAAATGTAACTTTATCTGAACGTATAAATGGAAAATAATTCCGCAAACCAAAGGACATGGTTGATGTTGGCAGTATGAGCGTAAATAACGAAATGAAAAATTATTTAGAAAGATAATTATGTAAATGTACCTATTTGGTAGAGATAATATCTCTGTACACACATTATTTATTAATTCACAGCTCGTACATGTTTTTTACTTTCAGTACTATTATTAAATATCTATTAATGCGCAATTTTATTTTAATGAGACGATTTACTGTGATGAAACAGTTTTATGACTACTAGGGGTTGATACAAAATAAAATTGCTATTGTAAAAAACTCCTAATATGAGGATTATTTTTGTCATGTTATTGCTTTTTATTTTTTATCTACATTAGGTGCACAGTATTACTTCAGCGTCAATGCTGTTTTATTATTTTTGTGTACTCACGTGCTCAAATTCGTTGAAAGCTGGTACAAAATTTAGATTAGATTTTTTAAATATTACTGAAATCAAAATAAGTGCATTGCTATATGTATATACTGTATATGAATTATTAAAAAGCATAAACGTGTACAGAGTGACTATGTATAAGCTTAAACAAGCCTCTTTTATCCTAAATAGTTTATGCCTTATAATCACTTAAAATAATAAATAACGAACAATCAAAAGAAATATTTGTGGAAAAAATAACAAAACGTCAGTTCATACAAAAAATAAAATTATGATAAAGTGACATGTAAAATTAATTAAGAAAACCCAAAAAAATGCAGTACTGTCGAACTTTTTATGAAGTTTGTCGATGGAAAGGACAACAAATATGGAGGACCAAGATCAGGAACTATCCCAAAACAAGTTCTTTTAAACACTATTATAGTACATGCCCAGCTGGTATGAAAGTCACCATCTGTGGAGCGGCAGGAAACACAGGTAAACGAATAGTTGAAGAAAAATGACTATTTACTTTTATTATAAAAGACATTTACATTGTTTACACTAGCCCACCACTAGCTCATTCTTTATATTCCATTGCATGACATCAACAGGAATTTCATATGCCTACCTTGATTTGATAACATCTAATCTAAGCCACGAAGAAAAAGGGGAAAGGGATTGTTAATAATGCGGACTACCAGTCCCATTGTTTTATACCCTATTAGATGGACATCCACGTGGTCTCCCCCCCCCCCCTCCCCTGGAAACCACCGTGCTGAATTCCAGGTGTATTCATCACGATGAGCTAACTGACCTGCCTTTTTATTCTCATTATATCTTATCATTCATTAAAAAACATATAAGCCATTGCAAAAAATTTAAGATTATAACTCACAAAACTTATCATTTTAGAGATATTCTGATAAAGGTTGATATTTTTTTTATAAATAAATATATGTGTGACACAATACTGAACTGTTGAATTTCTTCTAGTTTCTTCAGAATACATAAATTACCAAAACTACAGTAGAATCACTAAAAAATACTATTTAAAAAAGCTTTCCTTTTAAGCCTACTTTAATTAAGTTTATTTACATTTTTTATTTGTATTAATCTATAAATATCATCTATTTGTTTATCTACTTATAAACTCTCTGAATTTACAAATATATTTCACTAAAGCTACCGTATTATATTGTGTTTCCAGGACAACCTTTAGCTCTGTTATTAAAACAGTGTCCATTACTCGACGAGATAGCGTTGTACGATGTATGTGCCACTTGTGGTTATGGCATGGAACTGAGTCATGTAGATACAAAATGCAAAGTGTCATCATTCTCTGGTCGTCACATGCTCTGTGATGCTCTTAAGGTAATTTTAATTGTTCTTATAAATAAATATTATTTTCTTATTGAATACCGCAATTATGCACTCGTCAATTAAGATGAAAAGTATTTAGCAAATAATTAATACCTATAAGTTAGGGATCTAGATTTATGCATAGACCTAAATACTATTTGTTAATTGCCATTTAATTAAATTTGTTTAGCTGTTTATGCATGATATATTCAATTTAAACTTATTTTAAATTTAGATATATTAAAAAAAATCTTTATTTTGGTACCAAATTTCATTGAAATCCATTCAATTGCTCATATCCCCTTATACAAACCATTTGATGACTATTTATAGATATATTACCTATAAATATTGTATTTGATTTTATGTTATAATGGTAATATTTTTTTATTTAATTCTCAGGATTCGAAAGTAGTGGTAATAGTAGCGCGGAATGGTTGCGATACCTTCGAAAACAGTGCTCCTATAGTAACCGAGATTGCGTTACAGATTTGTAATACCTGCCCCTCTGTAAGTGAAAATTATCTATTTACGTATTGATATCTTCACGCCAAGTTTCTTATAGAACAGGCGGATAATATAGTAATGATTTTATCTCAAAATGTAAGTATCCAACCTATTGGATCTACAGATATTTACGAGTACGTATCGTGATGGGTAGTATGAAAATTCAAGTACAGGTCATAACTGTACGAGATTTTTGATGATATGGAATATTTTGCTCGACATACAGTAAATTGTAATTATGTTTTAAGTGAAATGTTACTGAAGTACTATATTTGTTAATTATCTTATTTATATTTTAGGAATTCAAAATTACGTTAGAGGTAACTTTTATTAATGCGTAAACTTTAAAAATATTTACAAATATACATATAATAATTTTAGGCTTTCACAATAATTGCAACAGAACCCATCGAAAGTATGGTGCCACTCGTAGGGGAAATCCAAAGGCTACGCAATGTATACAACCCTCGTAAATTATTGGGTTGTGTAGAACTGAACAGTGTGCGTGCAAATACAGTCCTCGCCAATTTTTTGAGAGCCCCACCCGAGGCAGTGAGGGTACCGGTTATTGGTGGTGCTACCCCAAACACTATGGTGCCAGTTCTTTCGGCTGCTGTTCATCCATGTACCATGACGCAAGAACAGGTAAGGCCATCTAATTATGATTTTTTTTTCGAAAAATCTTAAGGCGTTATTATTAATTTACAACCGACTATGAGAGAGATGTTCTTGAATCGGTTGTATTTGTATGTAACCTCATAACTCCGTCATTTGTAAACCGATTTGGATTTCTTTTTTTTGTCTGAAATATATATATATATATATATATATTATATATATAATATATATATTCGGAGAAATTTCAGAGAAATTTTATCAATATAAGTTCAATATTTTGAAACCAAAATAACTGATTTCGCCATGGTTGAAGTCGGGTTTTTTTGAAACTATGTAAATTTTAAATTATTCCAGATAGAAAGCATTACGTCGTGCATAATGACTGCTGTATGCGCAGCAAAGGGATGCCATGCAGAGACAGCCTGTCTTGCTGGTGCTTACGCTGTGGCCCGAAATACTATCAATGTGGTAAAAGGACTGCAAGGCTCGAAAGAAGTAGTGCAGTGTGCGTATGTCGACAGTTTAGGGACGTGCGCACCTGATTGTCAATTCTTTGCTAGTGAGGTAAGGTTTCGTAGAAATTTTTAACGTTCGTTTGAAGGCCAATTCACGTATGATGAAGTAAATTTAGAACTTGAGTATTTGCTGGTGCAAAGACTGGAGAAATTTTATAGGTCTTGAAATCGAGTGATGGTACTTCGAAAACAAAACAATTTTTACTTCATTTTCAAGTTTATGAATCGCTGGTTTTTAGTTGATTGTTTTACATCACATCCTATATTACATCTAATAGTAAACAGTACTACTAATATCTATATATTTTGTAAAAAAAAAATTAAATGTAACGGACTCTTATATCACTACAAAATCTATTTCATAAACAAATAGTTTTAAATTTACCTCAGAATATTCTCAACCGCATATCGACTGAATTTTGTAGGTACCTGTTTACTTTTTCAGGTTGTGTTGGGACCTTCGGGAATAGAGAAATACTTAGGTATTCCAGAGCTGTCGAAATTTGAGAATTGTTTATTGTGCAACTGTCTACCGTATGTTAGGAATGAAATTGCTCGAGCCATATGGCTGGTAAATACAGTTGTATCCTATTATCCGTAGAATACATAACAGTAGTACAAATTAGAAAAAATAACAATACACTTTTTAAATAGATTGCTTGTAGAATGTAGGAACAGTAATAGTTATATCCTCACTTAACATCTGATCACAAAAAAAACTGATCATAAAAACAATTTAAATCACCGAATGTATGATAATCATGAGTACAACAAAATAAACAAAAAGTGAGATATTTTCCAATATGTTTTCAATATCGTGATAAAATAAATAGAGTATTCTATCAGTGAATCTAAACATTTGAAGCCCTCTTACTAACTTGACAACTGAATGAGCCTTAGGAATATTTTAAAGTTTAATTAATGAAATACACCTTGAAAAGATTTCTTTAGGAAACTTATAATGGCAAATAAACTGACAAAACAAAATATATTTCTTAGTGCCATTGTTATCTTTGCGTATTGCATTCCTGAGGACCAGGGTGATTTTTTTAATGCCCCGTACCCCGTATATTATTATTACTATCATATTTCAAAACCAGTACAGTCATGGAATCGCAACTTTACAACGGTGACACGCCGATGTTAAACATATAAATTAACCCTTAAAAGCCTGATTTTTTAAATCAAATTAAAAAATATATAAGTGTACCCTTTACTGTGTTTACTAATGGGGAAAAATAGTAAAAAAATCAAAACGATATTTTTATATATTTATATTGCAAAAAACATTTGATAACATGTAAACAGCCAAATATTAAAATAAAATCGAGTGTAGGCGCCCAATGCGATTTATAACCCCAGTATCAAATTTGAAACTTCAGGTATTTAAGGGTTAATGCTGTGTATATGCTTCAGGTATACTCGAGTGGCAGAAATACGAGAATGTTGATAATGTAAACGAACTCTGTGTATGCTTTAGGTATACTCGATGTGCCAACAATGTTGTTGCGCCAACTGTCATGTGCACCCTTGCACGTGCTACACGCCACCTATAGCGCCATGCGTGCCGCCAGTCAACTGGACTGGCGACTGCACGGACGCCTGTCGCGATGAATACCTAGCTTCTGTTAGTGTCTATTCTATTGACAAATATATTTTGATGTGTGTTAAAATATACCGTGCGGTCCCAACATAGAATAGGCCATAGGCCCTAGGCTCTTTCTTTCCCGTAAGTGTTTTAAAAAGCAACTAAATGAACTTAATGGTCGAGGGATTGGCAGCAGCGTCCTTCTTAAAACCTCATCAAAAGCCTAACTGCCAACTCACCTGCCAAACATGGTAACTACTGACAAAATGGGGAAGGTCTATGTCCAGCAGGGGACAGATAATGGCAAATATAATGATGTTAAAATTGCCTATTGTCTAATCTGAATTCTAGTATAGCTTATTTAAATTTCCTCGTAGTGAATCACCTCTGAAAGTCTTACCGACCACACTTCTTTTTAAGTACCTATTCTGTAATAAATAAAATAGATTTAAAGTTGAGTTAATCTAAGAAATAATCTTATATTATATTTCATAAAAAAACCGATTTCCATTGTAACAGACCCAGTTATTTTGATTTAAAAACCAACTTACTGAACCAATTTTGATAGAATTTCTATTTAGCCAATCTGTAAGTATATCCTTTCAGATAAAAAACAGTTTTCCAAATCGGTTTATAACTAACGGAATTATGAGGTAACAAACAAAAAAACGAATTGAAAACCTCCTCCTAATTTTTAATTTTTTTTAAATAGGTTGTAAATAGTGCAAAAAAAAAATACAGAATCAGTCTAGGTTTAGACTCAATGATTATTCATTTTGTTTTTGCGTTATCGCAAAAACATAATTTGGCATTGGCATGGCAAACAAGCTGACGGCCTACCTGATAAAAATTATAACTATCGCGTAAATTCTCACGCAAATGTATTTAATTAACGAAATTATGATCTTAGAGTGCATATAAAACTCTGCACAAACAATTATTTTTTTTTTTATTTAGATATGCCGAGAAATGACCTGTAGGTGTAGTAGTACAGAACTCTGCTGGCGACCTCGAGAAGTAGACTATGATGCGGCGAGAGCCGCCAACCTCACCCATCAAATGCCTCTTAAAAACGCAGCTTGCTCCGAGTGCCGAGTACCTAGGAGTGTACGAATTGAACAAGAGATAAGGGAGAAGGCAATGGACCCCTGTGGTAGCTACTAATTAAACATACAACAAAAATCTACAGAAACGAAAGCTTTAAGATTTTGAAAAAGTCTACTCTCCACTACTTTAGATATTGAATATTATTTCGGCAAGAGAGCTTGAGTGTTCAAGTTTTGAAACTATTTCTCGATAAATGACTTCATTTATAAAGCAATAAAATCCAATTTACAGTCGATATTATATTTAATTTATAAAAATCCAATCCAAAATAAAAATATTACTAAAAGGCAATAAAAAAAAAATTTTAATTAAATATTTAACACATTTTTTATTTTGCTTGTAAACACGTCAATTTTGGCTTTGACCACTTCACAAAAATGAACATGTGGTGACTTTGACTGCCTCTGAGAATGGGAAAAAAATATTGTAATGTTTTAATATAATTTAAGCAAACCTCACAGACGTTGTCCTGTTCGAACGTTTGCCTCGGACAGGGCAACGTCTGTCTGAACCGCTCAATCAAATATGGACCAGAGGTTTAGGAATTCAGTGACATACCCGTGTAAAGAAGAATTATATATAAAAATGTAATATATAGAAAAATAGCTTTAGATATACCTGTTGATGTTGATCCTCTATATTCGAAACAGTCCCGTCTCCATTACTAATCTCACACCTAGATTTAGCTGTTAAGCATTTCTGTGTAAAGAAATATTGTATGGTATTTAAATAGCTGCAACTCTACTTTTATTTAAATTGATACCAAATATATAATAAGTGTTATGTATAAAAATTTACCTGTGGGCTTCTAGCAAACCACAGAGCCAAATATGTAGGTACTATAACAATTCATAGATACTGTCAAACTTCCAGGATGTCGTGAGAGGCGAATAAATAAACAAAGCTTAATACACACGATGTAAAGGAAGTTAAACTGTACACGAGTATAAAAGCCTATACCAAGTTGCTTGATCAGTATAGTAATAAGTAAGCTAAAATTCTCCTGCGGTCATTTTCATGTCCAGTAGTGGCACATTAATCAATTATAAAGTATGATGCTTAGATGGAATATTGTTGTGCAGTACAAGTTTGTTTATGGATGGTTGTTGTTCATCGCATAATGCAATGTAATATCGTGTACATAATGAACGCTCTCATACTGCCTTATTACGTTTAAATTGAATATGCAATGAACGAACTCGTAATCAAACTGAGGAACTCACCAGGTAAAACAATGATGATGATAATTATATGATTTCATTAAAACCATAATTAATGCTTGCTGGTGAATCTTCTATGATGCAAATGATCCAAGAAAAATGTTTTAATACGCCTGCTTAGGACTTACCAGGTTGACATTACTCAGTTATCAAATCTTGCCATATGTACATTGAGATGTAAATTGGTAGTAAATAGACACAAAATCTAGACATTAGCTTTCTTAAAGGTAAAATTTTTTAAAAATTATGCTGACCTTTGATATTGAAATATTAATGACTGATGGTATCAAGCTGAAGTCTTTCTTCAAGTTTTTTACAGATTTCTAAAACAATTGAAATACAAATGAATGTAAATTATACAAATTAAAAAATATAGTGTTTTAATATCATGTTCACGCAAATTTAAATGTTTATTGTAAGAAGTTCTAGATATAAGATACCGTAATACCTTAGGTACACATATCATAATTCCAGAGCGACCTTCCTTTGACATTCCAGGTTGAAAACATGGACCAATAGAAGCTTTTCCCTCCAATGTCCAGGCTTGACTTCGGGTTTCTATATTCTATAATTAATTATAAGTATTAGATTATATTTAAAACATACTTATGAATATATGCACTTTATTATAATTATATGTAATAGAGGAAACTACTTAAGATTTACCGAACTCTTTTTTTCTGTAATATTAGGTAGTTTTCCTCTAAAATGAAATATATAACACGTTCTTAATCTTATTTTGAATTTTGATTCCTTGAATTTTAAAATCCTTGAATTTTTAAAATTCTTGATATGTACCTATTTGTGAAATACTTTGATAACTTGTTAGTAGCGTTTTACTTACGAGTATAAATATACTATACATATATGTATATAGAAATTAAAGATTGTGACGATAATGATTTTTTTACACACAGTTATGATATAAGGACAAGTTGTATTGACTGTAGATTAACTTTCCCTTTTTTTAAATTATGTTCGAAGTGCTACCAATCTAAAATAATGAATAGGAAAAAAATTATAAGACAAAATTGCAACACGTATTTTACTTTAACTTTCGCGTTATTTACACATCTAAATAATACCTATAATCCTATCTATAATCGTACCGAATAGGTATATAGGTATTATTTACCTGTCATCACGTTGCATTAAGTTCCAATTGTAAATTTGAAATACGTATTTTGCATAAAAATTACTTAAAATTTTCTGATCTTGATTAAATATACCTAACCTTAGACTTACTAAACTTATCCACATAGATCTACTAAAGTCTCCTTTTTGAATAAGTTTCTGGTTAAGAACTTGAGAGTAGTACTCGTCCAGCTGCTGTAAGATATTAATTGTACACTCTTCTTGTCTTTGCCACTCTCCGTTTATTCGGAGTCAGCTAGCTTCAAAACACTATTAAATATTCCCCCCACAGAAAAAAGCTTTTATTGAATATTACTAGCTGATGATTATTCCATTATATGTAATATACCCATTTACCTCTTTATAAATTTAACTTAAATTGAAAACAAGAAGCAACACCCATTCTAATTATAGTAAATAACAATACTTTATATATCACATCATACTATAATAACTAAGATAATAATAGACAGAACCATGAATAAATCAATTATAAATTTCATATATACACATTTATATAAAAAATACTGTACGCAGTTTTCTCAATTTATCTAGCTGGCCATCTCCAAACCCCCAACCAATATCTTATCAGTACAAAACAATAGACAAATGTTCATCTTCATTTAAAGCTTAATCGTTACAAGTGTACGTAGTCTTAGATACTAACGTGGAGATAGGAAATGGCCAGCTAGTGTGACATGCTAGGGTGTTTTGAACGTAAGCAGTGCTTCGGAAAATCAACTTTATATTCCGGTGGCATTTTCTTGAGCCGAGGAGACATTTTCTTCAGAGGGGGCATGATAACGCACTCCGCAGCAGAACATTTGACGCATGGCCCGGGAGACGCGAGAGGCGCGCGACTCGCTGCGAGGCAGCCCACCAGCCTCTTCATCATCAGACTATAATAACAATCATAAAATTATAATCTTAATTGTAAAAATAACCAGATTGACTTACGTGTATTTTTGTTCGCAATGATTATTTTGGGGTCACCCGAGCCCCTTAATCGTGAGTAGCTGTGAACTTAACACCCTTACTGGTTCTCACTCATGGTTCCCGACATAATCATTGTCCACAAAAATACATATGAGGTGACTGGAATATTTTTACATTTAAAATATAATGTGTATTTACGAAATTTTAACAATAAATACCATAAGATGACACACAAATATCGATAATTATATAATAAGATATTCATAGTACTTAATCCGTTTTAATATATACGTAACTAATAATAGATATATTGTGGCGGGCTGCCGCGCTTCGGTCATATAGGTATATAGCTAACTAACCAAAAATGCTACTAAAGAAAAAAGTCTGTTCCTAATTTTGCACAAGTGGCAAAAAAATTTACTAATAATTTCAAAAGTATGTCATAGTAAGTAGTAAATGTTTAAAAAGGTAAACCTATTTTTGCTCTTACTAAATAATACTAAAGATACTAGTAGATACCCAAACTGAACGATTTTCGGCTGCATCGGATGTTCGTAACTCGGCTACCTCTTCTGTTATACTGTCATCGTCGGCTTTTTTTTCTAGACTCGTTTCTTGAATCTTCTCAAGAACAAGATTTGAAGTAGCCGATATTACTGTTTCTGCTTGAGCGGGAATTGGCTGTGATGAGAATGGTAAGGGTCCCTTCTGTAATGAAAATATAAATATAGAATACTAGCTGTTGCTCTCTACTTTACACGCATACTGCCATGTAATATATACGTATTGAAAGAAACGTTTTGAAAATTGCCTAACTTATAGAGACTTATCTCTATAAGTTAGGCAATTTTCAAAAATACTGTCTTAGCGTATGCTAACATTATAATATAAACCTATATTTTAAATTTCAACTTTCTAGACTTAACAGTTTTGAATTGGTTTGTTCTGACTATCAACACATAAGTCGTACGCTTAAATTACTCGTATATAGATAGAGCATCGAGCCTCAAAAATGAGTCAACTTTTTGTCAGCTAATTATCAAATTAGCTGACTCTTTTTTTATCAGTGTTCTATATACTTACGCATAAAATTTATCTTGACGTATTATTTAATAAATAAAATGAGTGTTTACGCATTAAAAAGATGTAGAAATTATAAGACAAAAAAAAATACAGAACTTATAAAAGAATCACTCATAACTAACTAGGTATTTTATCACGCAAAATTGTTATGAAAAATTGACCTTTTTTTCTCGAAGCATTTCTATGGAGATACTATATCTATATAATCTAAGGTTGTACGATGTTTTTTTTTATAATTGTATATGGCATCGTAACTCGCATGAACCGATTTAACTTTTTTGTTTAAAAGTTAATTGAATTTTAGTATTAACTTCTTATTTGACTTTTTGAAGATCAGGTATACTGTAATTGATGAAAGAATGTAAACAACTTTCACAGAAATGATTGATTCAAAATTCAGTATCCTGAGTTACACGTTCTTTTAAGGGATTGTTTTATTTGTGAAAATAAATATTTTTCCAAAGGAACATATACGAACACGGCCTTTCCAACTATCAAGTCAATATGTAAGTCACAAATTTTTTGTCATTTCTGAATTTTTAATTCACGAAATCTCTGTCCTAATATATATTTTATAGCACTGATAGATTTTTAGTTTTACGTGCAGCTAACAACTTCAATTGCATTCTGTATATACATAATGAGTTGTATCAACTCTTCTATTTATAGAATTTTTAGTCACAGATAGCTACTAAATGCATGTCGTTAGCCGACATGGCGTGCTATTATTTCATCGTGTCAAATTGCGAACATTATCTGCCTTAGTGCTTGATTGCTATAATATATGCATTTTTTATTCTCCATTGAAACAAATGGGCTTAACGAGTCACACAACTAAAGCGATTTTGGACTATATGTTGGTTCAAAAGTCTGAATTCACATTTACTTAACAATCGTTTTTCTCTTTTCTTTGAAAGCTAGATAAAAAGGCAGTAAGCAGCAGTGTTTTTAATGGATGACAATGGACTGGTAACCCCGCTTGCGCTAACGGTAGGTATACGCTGGCGGGGCTCCAGTGAATGATGATAGGTGAGATGAAAAGGCAGGTCACTTAGCCCATTGTGCCATTGTTTCCATGTTGAACCACGTGAAGGTCGACCTGACAGGGTATATTGCTAGCAATGGGAGTGATAGTCCGCATTAATAACAATCCCTTCCCCCTCTATAAGCAATAAGTAATATTTAAATATAACATTAATATATACTTAAAACATGCAAATAAGTATAAATTAAATTTTAGCTCTTACCTAGTGCGTCTAGTAAAAAATATTCTACTGGATTATGATAATGGTTAAACGACACGACATATAGCAATAAATCAGATTGGAATAAAAAATCCAATTGTTGGACAACTATCCATACGCTTGTCAATTCAAACATTAAGCCTACCTTAGTTTCAACTTCCAACGCAGCCAAAGCAATCGTTTCAGGCGATGACTCCCGCCTCTTAGTGTTGCCAGATATTATTTTAGTTTCACTTTGTTTGTGTTTCTCTGAAGATGTCGCTAGAATAACAATACCCTTTAATCCTTAACACACAATATAATATGATTTTTTAATAAATAACAAAATCTGCCATACCGCGGTCACATTCCTTTTGTTCTTCTATGTCTTGATGTATTGTAAAAACTTTTAACTCTTCAGCTAAGGCTGTAAATAATATACCACAATTAATTCGACACATTAAAATATAACCACATCCTGGATAGTCATAAGAAATGGCGTGATCTGCGGCTGTCAATATATACATAGTAACACAGTAATAGGCACACGCAAATGTGATATATCGAAAGCGGTGCCTATTTTACACAATCACATTTAACACGGACAAGGTGGTAAGGTCATCTCCAGGGTTTGGCAAGGTGTGAGTGGTCACCATCACTTGTATGTACTGCGATATAATCAAAAGATACGTGTGGCCTGTCATAATAGTATTCTGTTCAAACGAAAATCCAGAATGTAAATAATATGAAACTGTGTAGATAATTATCAAAATCATTTCAGCTATGCGACAGAAATAAATAAAAATATATTCAATACTGTGGTTATGTAAATAGTACATAACTATTTAAGATTGTTCTTTTTTACTATAAATAAACTTAGCCAATAAAATACCATGACACTTTCTATTAGAATATTACATAATTATTTTATAATATTTTCTTATGATCGTCACACTGCTAGTAATAAAAAGAGAAATATTATAGTAAAAATCCATGAAATTAAAAAAAATATACACGTACAATACTAAAAAAAATATACAAGTTCCCAGTTAGCAGCAGGATCGCCAATTATTATGTAATAGATCAATTTATATATTTACATATTTGGATAATTAGAAAAATATTAAAATGACAAATTCATACAAGATGCAGGCGGAACTCTGGAATGCCTATGGTGAAGATCAGAAGTAGCTCCATCATGCAGTTCAGTGGGGCGATATGGTTGCTTGTGCCTACTAGCACCTGTCTGTTCTACCATCACTATAGACCCCGTCGCAGCAACCCCGCTACTTTTCTTCTCTTGGTCCGACATTTTCTATTACTCAAACATCCATACGTACTATTTACCCTAAAACCTTACTAATATGTCGGCAAAATCTCCTTAATTTTTTTTTTGATATTACAAATGAGTAAAATGTCACTTTTTGCTAATTTTGACATTTAACTCTTTTTGTTTTTTATTATATTCCATTTTCAAAAAATGTCACGAAATAGATCTAACTGATCTATTTCGTACTGGTATTTCGTACACGTACATTAAGCAAATATATAAAGTACTGTTAGCACAGATAAAACAGAAAAATAAACGATTATTATAACAATATTACCAACGAATCGATATTTGTAAATATACAATTTAATATATTTTTAGTAAAGGCTCGGAAGTAATCTTCTAGTCCTAACACTCGGCTTAATCTGCGCAAATTCCATATTTATTGTTACCATAAGAACTATGGAAAGAGAAAAAAAATGCTAAACATTTTTAGGTTATACACAAGTTTAGCTGAGAATGAGTCAAACATTAATTTGCTGAATTCAGAAGCTATCTTTAGAGCAATTAAATAGTAAAACCTAACCAGTCACCCGATCGGTAATCACAAATAACCAGCTTAAGGCTTCTCGACTTCTTTTATCTGCACTTGCCTCAAATAATACAATACAATTGTACACCAACATAAAATTGAGTTCTAGAATACAGACTTCTTAATTTATAACCATAGATTTCTATGAAGAAGAAATCGATCTTTGAAAAACATTGCCAAACTCTGAATCTATCAAAATAATGTAACATTTTTATATCTTCATCTAAATTATTGTTAAAATAGTCCTTTTTATTTTGTTTTATATTAAATTACTACTTTGTAACTATGCCAGAAAGAACGAAAATAAAATGTGATGGAAAATAAACATTCGCCATCCAAGAAATTAATATCCATCCAAGAAGAGAAATTATTACGTGAAGTCGATTACGATTCTCTTGGTGGAGGTTTGCCCCACTTATCTAAGAAGCAACTACTTCTAGGTGCAATTTGTACATAAATATCTTTTAGTGATGGATATAACTAAAAATAATATATTATTAATACTTATTGTTATATAGATTTAGAAATACTTCAAAAGGGCTCAGCCCATCGACAGCCATCACAAAGAGTACTAATATCTATTAAATCTAGAGCACCAGCAATTAAAACACTATATATAGCTGAGAAGAGTAGGTTTTATGCTAAAAAGGTACAGAAATTAAATATTATTCTATATATTGGTGTGGATATATTAAAACAAATTATAATTTTATTCGCAGGGTTCGAATAAATCAGGTTCTAGACTAGCTATAGGAGATTATTCATCTTTTACAACTCGTAAGATGTTTTATTTTTACTGATAACATACTTACTACAAAATATTGTAATTAAATAGTTACTTTATACTACTATATTATTTTATAGATAGTACTGACGACAACTCTAATATTCTGAAATCAATTGCATGTGAAACAGAGCAACGAAACGAAATAAATGACGATGTTTTAGAGGAAAATTCATCTATCAATGATCAAGTAGAAACTTCAACAACTGTTTTTAACTATTTCCAGTGTGAAACTCAAAAAATATGTAATACTCCACGGCAAGCAGCTGAAAAATGTTATATCTTTACTCAGCCGCAATTAACTATGAACCTTCCTAAAGTTGCTGCTAATAGTGATAAGCCTAAAATAAACTCAAATAAAGTGGATATTGCAACTCTTATAGTCACAAATACTTCTTCTGAAGATTCAACTTTACCTTATATTAGTACTTTGCATAACTTAAACAAAAGGATAGATTATTTAGAACGCAAAATTATGAGACAGAAAAAAGTTTTACGCTCAATTGATCCTAATATACCCCTATCTTCATCAGATGAAGAAACTAAGGATAATATAATTAAAACTTCATCTGGAATAGATCATCCATGTTGCAGCTATATAGAGCAATACAGTCACATCCCAGAAACATCAGCTTTTCAAAGATATGCTCAACAAACAGCACCGCTATCCTTAAATAAAACTGCTTCTCTTGAAAAAGAACATAATTCTGAACAATATAGCCGTGATTTTACGACTTATGATGGTATAACGGCACGAGGTAGAAGACAATGTGCTTCTGTACCATGCAAACGAGACGATATTCCAAAAATGGCTGCTGAAAGAGTGCATAAGATACGCCACAAACTTAATTCTGTTCGTGATTATCGGCTAATGGACACAGTCCACTATTTAGCTCAAGGTGAATTCGCTCCTCGTGACGATGGTATAAAATTGACACCTTCTCGAGAAGCAGTGCTCAGTGATATTATATGGGAAGATGTGTGTCGTACACATTGGCCGAATACTCGCTTAGGTCGCCGAATAGCACATCCTGAAAGATGCAAAACTAGATGTGAATTGCAGCGATTAATTGACAGTTTATTAAGAGAACGGGTTGCACACGTTGAACGCAGACGACGGCGTCATTACAGAATCGTTAAATTAAATCATCGTCATGAAAGTTGCAGACCTGTCGGAAAAACCGGTGATATAATAGTGGCTAGCCATAAAAACAAACAGGCTAACGATGATAGAGGTGTTCCTATTAACAATGTCAATGCAGTTAGTGCAGTAATGACCGATAGGCGCTGGGATGAACAAAATGTACGCAAAAGACACAGAAGTCATGATCGCTTAATTATGCCACATATCCGACAAAATTATCAATCAAAATTAGATGACTGTTTGCCAGGCCCTAGTTATGCCGTTCCTCGATCATCGACTAACAGAGAAGCAACATATTGTTATCATACTACAAGCCCTATTAAGTCTGAGAAAGATACAATTTTATCACAAAATGCAAATCGTAATATAAGAACGCAAGAATTAACAAGTGAAAGTAGTTCAACTTATAAGCCTGGTAGTAAAACTCCTCGTCTTGTTATAAAAAAAGATACTTCAAGACGTAAATATCAATCCAAAGACGAACCTGATCTTGAGCATTACATATTGTTGCCTACTTTAGTACTTCGAACACCATCCAATGTGAAACGGCAAAAGAAATTTAACGAACTATATCACCGAATATTAAATATTCATCTAAATAAAAGTAAGAATCTTATCTGTTCTACTGCTTAATATAGGTTTCTTTCATATTTCACCACAAAATGCGATCCTGCGGCACTTGCATCCATTGATACACATACTTTTGAGATCGGACATTTACAAAACTTACGAATAATTCGATAGATTCACATCTAAAGTACGTTTGAAGAAGTAAAAATAATTTTAATAATTATTTTTTTATTTTTGTTGCAGCTCAAAATAGTAATGTAAATCCTGAAATTCCTGAACAAGAGGTAAATGGAAACCGCAATATGAAAGATATCGGTTTGAATATTAATATTACTCTATCAAATAGCTCGGAACAGTTGCTTACGAAATAATTATGATGATTAGTTTTATAATTTATAGTCATATCTACAAATTACTGTTCATAGTTTCGTAAATATACTGAAAAAATCCACTTTCTTATTTTTTTCAATATATAATTTGTCATAAACAGAATTTGTTTTTACTTTTTTCAATTTAATATTAAAACATGGTATTTTTCATTTACTTTAATATTAAATTATTACAATTATCTCTTTTATATCGTATATAATATAATATATGTTGACATGCTTTATGTTAATCTCAGATAGTTATAACAGAGATGAGCAAAAATTTGTTCAGAATACCATTAGTAATATTTATTAATAATTATTTAGTATAAATTTATACACAAAAAGCATACACAAAACTCAAATCTGAACCAGAATCTGAAGTCCATTTCTAAAGAGACTCAATTAAGGATCATATGTATGTCAAACAGTTATCTATTATTTAAAACCTAGTAAAAGTGTTACAAGGACAAGACTGAGAAGCAAATAAGCGATCGCACATGACACTCATAAATATAAACCACGTCAGCAATAAAAGAAAATATAATAATGGCACACACCTCTTACATGGGGAAATTCCTTGTATAACTGAAAATTTAATTATATATATAATGGATAGTATTAATTATAAGTTAAAAAGGTATTTAATATCAAAAGCACTAGGTTTAAAGAATCTGTTGTTACTATGATAGAAATAAATTGTTGAGATTTCATCCTACCTCTATGGACTATTAATTTATTCGTGTACCTATGATGAGAGCATAAAATTATTACCAAGCCGCTATTTATTTCTTTAAAAAGTTGTGATTAATTATTTTATATATATCAAAGTAATGTCATCGTTTGATTGTCTCTTTTTTTAAAGATTCCAGGATGACAAAGTAGCAAAAATCTGTAGTTAATTCTGTAGAAATATATGTTTTATATATTACGAGTAAATTTTTAATGATATTAACTAATTAAAAAATATTAATTTCTTTTAAGAAAATAATAATATAAGAATACACGAAAAGTAGTGAATTGCCTAATTTTCGCATCAATTTACCTAATTTTTGTATGGGAACGCTTTGTACACGGGTTCAGATTCTAATACCGCATAGTTTGATCATTAATAACAGTGTCGGTTCTTCTTTGTATCATTACATTTCTTGTTAAAATGTTGCTGAATCAGGAACAATCCCCCTTCAAAGTCTGATCTTTGCTACTACATACTTATTTAGGTTTTTTTCTACATACATAAAGAGAATGTAACACATTCTCTTTATGTATGTAGAAAAAAAACCTATCGTGATGAAATACAAGAATTATCAAAATCGATCCACTATTGGTGAAGATATCATATAACATACAAAAAAATTACAGGCAAATTTTAATCCCCTTTTTTAAAGTAATTTGAGAGCTATATTTTTTAAACATTAAACGATGAATTCAAAATAAACACATACTTTATTTATTTAATCAAATAAAATAAGAAATATGTAGAACCAATACTGAAGAACTCTATCAATGACAAAAATAATTACTAAGATCGCATCAGGTTTAGCAGAAATATAACACATTATATAAAAAATACAAACAAATTGACATTTATTCTACTTTTAAATCTTTTAATACGTATATTGTGATCATTCAGTCTGAAAAGGTAGATAACTTGGTCAATCTATGTCATAAGAAATAAGGTAGAAGTTTTCATATACTTAAGATACTTTATTATTTATATACCTCTAGTTTTACTCTTTCGCGTACGGTGCACTTAACACCTTAGTCATCAAGTGTCAATACATGAGGGATACCGTATGGTACTATTGTGATTATATATCTATTTGTGATTGTTAAAATGTTTTATCTAGTATTTGGGAGTTTGTTACATAAACGGTTAAATGGATTTAAATGACATTCATAAAACAACTGATACATTTTATTCGTATCCGTTTAGACCTGGGCAAATCCGTTAATTACTAGTTAGCTAAATGTGATTTACATTCTCAACAACTTTACGTTGGGGGTGTACCTATTGTTACCAACGCAGGTAGGTACGTCGAGGCTGCCAAGCTAATCGCACCACGTGTCAGTATGTGCAACACACCTGTCTCCTTACACAGGTATTTGAAACGCGTTTTATTTTCTTATTTTTTTTTTATTACCTTGTCTGAACGACGCAGTAATCATTTCACTAAACATTACTTAAACGCAATGTTAACAAAAATTAGCAGACGTATTGGACTTGGCAAACTCTTGCCGAAACTAATAATGTTCACACGCACTTCTCTTAAATCGTTCCTTTGCTAGCCTAGTATTATTATGTGTGTTCAAATATATTTATCTTACATTAATATACATACCTATTTATTTAATAAAATGTAAAACGGAAAAGTGATAATTATGTACATAATAAAACATACTATTTTACCTAATATAAAAAAGTGCTGTGTTGTAGATATCATGTCTATTTCGTATTCTAGGCCAATAAGTTGAACAGTGTTAGTCGGGCGTCAGTAAATATTTTATAGGAAACAATTTCGATCGCTTCGGACATCGTAAGCAGTGAATCGATTTATATATATTTCTAAACGAGTTTGAACAGTTCAATACTTGTCATTGTATTACTTATCTTTTATTATATAGAATAAGCTGTCACCTTTCTAAGTCTAAAAAAATATTATTAATTCTGATGACATTACTCATATACTATGAATATTAGTAAGTTTATAATTGTCTTTTCAGATTATTCAGGATCGATACCAATGAATTATTTATGTACAGAGATAAATATTTGTCTAGATTTTATTTCAAATAACATTTCCTAAACCTATCCTGGAATAACAAAATGTAAAGTCATCGATACTTGAAAATAATATAACAATCATCGTTTGTTATTTCTAATATCTGATTAGTGTCCCTCTAGTAATATTCATAGTACCTTTTAAAAAGAGGATAGTAAGCAATTGTTAATTTTGAGACCAGTGTCCTGGTCTTACTATAACAAAAAGATTCAAACCCTACGAAGTTTTTAATTATGTTATTAGTTTATTCAGACATTATTTGCCAACTTGACTTCTTATTAACGTATTGTTATTGATATCTAAAGTTTAACCAACAAATTATCTAGGAAATGACAAATATAAAATAGGTGGCAATTATTTTTGTTACTTTTATAATAATCAAATACTTTTTTTTATAAAACTTTAAATGGCAAACAAGCTGACGACCCACCTGATGGAAAGGAGGTAAACGTCGCCTATAGACATGAGCAGTACCATGGACATAACAGAGTATACTGTTTCGCCCATGATACCCCCCATGCGTTACTAAGGTGTTATGCCTCTGTACCCTGTATATTCACTGTTATGGCCCACTCTTCAAATCAATACTATAGATGTCTATTGCACTTCCTTATCAGTAAAGTGAAATTCAAAAATAGTGGACGTTAACATGGCCGAGACGACGCGGTGGTGAACTCTAGTGGTTCCGTTGGTTATGGAGAGTGTGAAGAAGTGGCTGACGGAGAGAACAAACAAAAAGAACGGACTCTACGTACACTATAGCCCTCCAAAATGTAAGTTTTTCATGCGTTATTTTTATATACCTAATCAGAAAATGTGCATTTGAAAATAATAAAAATAAATATGATTACGACTATAAATCCATAATGCGCTAGTCAGAGGCATTTGCTATTGCGCCGAAAGTAACACTCGTTGTGTATTTATTTATACTGTATGTGTGTATACTTGATATATCGTCGTTACAGGTTGAATATTTATTTTACAAATATCTTTAGATTATACTATTAGTAAGTATATTTCTATTAAATGCACATATACCTTATATATAATTATACCATGAACTAAAAGAAAAAAAAAGAAATTACATTGTTCTATATCTGCCGGAATAAAATGTTTTACAAACATCCATTACAACGGCTGAAAGCGAGCCCGATGACTAATCGCGTGCTTGTCGAGACATATTTTCTGAACGGTCGCTGACGGTTGGAAAATCCTAGTCCGTTACAAACACATTTCTTTGCAAAAAATATGCATTTTAGTATTAAGTAAAAACAATCAAAATTCTTTGTTGATTTTAAATATTTTCTATTGGAATAAAAACGAATAGAAAATATAACGGACATATTATTTGCCAACAGTTAAGTATGAAATCGAAAATCGGAAACATCAAAATCAATGTTGAAAAAATTACCTGTAAATGTCAACTAGTGCTAGTTAATATAAATACGTAGATACCAAATGGTATACCTATTAGGGATTTTAAACAAGTTCAGATTTGCCTTTTCTAGATATATTTTACTTTATAAAGAACGACATGTAAATGAATAAAATTGATTGGCATTTTCTGTTTAAATAAGTTCTAATAAATAATATTTTCATTTTAGTGCATGAATAATTCATCTATATATTTATTAATAATATATTATATATATATATATATATATATATATATATATATATATATATATATATATATATATATATATATATATATATATATAATATATATATATATATATATATTAAAAAATCGAAACTTTTTAAACTTTTACCCTCGAATTCGTCCGCGTGATTGGGATTTGTCAATCCCGTCACTTTATATATACTTATATAGGCTACTTTTTATTCCGAACAATAACCGGGATAAAAAGTGATATATATCCTTCTCCATCTCATGTAGTACGTGTATACCAAATATTATAAGGATTGATTAAGCTGTTAACGTGTTACCAAACAAACAAACTCACTTTCAAATTTATGCTTTTATTAAGGATTATTATTTTAATAGAGTAACCTTTTTAAAATAATAATCCTATAATTTATTATTTGATTCTAATTTAGGTTCTGTATCTGTAAAGATATGCTTTGCTTGAAACTATGTCCACACAATAAGGATAAAACCTGTGAATTGTGCCAGCGTCCCCAATCAAAATTACTACTAGTACCATCTGATTACCATCTAGTATAGACAATAGATGCCGATGACTTTAATAATAAGAGATAATTTAAATAAAATATTTAGTTATAAATTATGTTGTCCTTATATTAATATTATTTAAGTATCAGTATCTGTAGATATAGGCATATTCTTGGTATAAAGGCCCATTTTTAGCTATTAACTTAAAATAAGAAAAATAAAGTTAATAGGTATGTAAACAATGTAAATATTAAAAAAAATACATAAAATAGCCTTGTAAAGTGTTGTAACGTGTTATGCGGTAAAAATAATATGTTCTCGTGTTAATGTATAATCTACAGGTAATGTACAAGCGAAGAATGGTTTCAACAAGTTCAAAAGCATAGCAATGTATTAATAATTTGGCTGGGTTCTGTGATTAAGAAAAATTAACAAAAAAAAAAAAAAATAACTACGTTTAAACCGATTTCAAAGTCAACATAATCGAGAGATACCTACCTCTACCTACCTTTACATTGATAAGAGACAACACTTTCTGGTTTCGAAAAGTGGGATTGAAACAGAATCAAAAAGAGCAAGCAACTATGAACTATTTTTCAAGGTTAAGATATGGTGAGGGTTTTCACCATAAAACCTTGACTTTGATGTTAAATCTGGTTTAAATATCCCCTACTATAGTGACAGACCAGTACCTAATTGCATTACTTATGTATATTTTCATGAAGTGATGATGATAAAAAAATTGCCATGTAAAGACAGCTACTTAATTATGAAACATCCTATTAATATAATAAATGCGAATGTTTGTAACGATGGAAGGAAATTTGTTGCTCTTTCATGCAAAAACTGCTGAACGGATTTGAATGAGATTTGGTACACGGTTAGGGTAGCACATGGGATACTTTGTGTAATGATTCACGAGAGCAGAGCCGCGAAATACAGGTAGTTTTAAAATGTTTCTAAAGCTTGGCCAATTCCTATGCAAAACTTTGTTCTTTGCAGTCTATTAATTTTTCATTTTCATTTATGTCGAAGTATTCTAAAAGTAGAAAATAATCAAGGTTTCTAGACATCTATTTTACTTATCTGTTATTTGAAACAGTTTTCATGTGTTGCGGAATTCTAAAAAGAGGGTGGAGGCGTTGTTTATAACAAGAGTGGACGCGACCTTAGCGTGATGTCATGAGACGTAGAAATTTTTGCATAAACGGCGCAAGTTATGACTAATAGAATTTGCACATTGCACGTTTGTTTGATTTTATCATCCCGTAAATAGGAATAAGATTATACCTATACATAGTTACAGCTCAGAGCCTATCTAATGCCAAAGGCAGGCGAATCGTCACCAAAATCATATCACTTTCTCAGCCAAGCTCTATGTTATGCGATATCTTCGTCAGTACTCAATCATTTTTAATAAATATTTTTATAATTAACTAATGATCTCATCTCTTCATACACACATCACAGAAAGGCAAATAGAAAGATAAATTAGTATTTTATATTAGGTAAAAGGATTTTTTTAATTTTTTACGGTTGGATTTTTTACGGTAGTTGAGTTCATCCACTACAAACAAAGAAAAATTCATCTTTTCCCCTTTCGTATAGATAATCACATTATATCATGGGGGGAGAAGGGGTCACGGTACTGTTACATAGCCGTAGCTATGTACAACATACGAATATGAAAGTGCTGAACTGCATTTTCGAGACAGTCAACGGTAAACAATAATGTATGCGTCATGCCATCAATTTCCAGCGATATTTCGTTATATTTTAAGACAGACCACATTTGAACCTCAGACGAACAAGTTGCTTTACTATTTTTATAATAAAGACTTGTGTTATTTTTTTTTAAAGTCCATCTGACCCACCCCGTAACAGTACACTGCGTTTGTTTGTACTAAACTGCCACTCAAATCCTCCAATCATTGTCAATAATTTCAACTTGCTAATCTTTCTATTTCTATCGGTTTAGTCGTTTTCTTTTCACGACAAAATTATTATAGGAACACGAACGTATTTTTATTATATTGCAAATAGAATTATTACAGGTGCTTTATAATGAATAAAAGTAATTAAAATATCGAGGTATCCTTCTTTTATAAATCAATTAATGAAATTAAAAATTAGTTTCATTGGACCCATGAGTAAAATAGGATCACTATGTGTGAGAATAAATTACAGATGAAAATGATAAACCTACATAGATAAATAACAATTGTCGATTATATGTAAGCGCATCGCTTTATAATGACTACGTCTATTTTACAAATTATTGTTTTACTTGTATTGTCAGGGCAATGTTTGTATGAAAGAAAATGTTCTAATCACACATCAAAGTAAAAATTATTTGTTAAAAATTGTACTGTAAAGAGCAAATTTAGTCGTTTTAGTTATTACATATTATTGCTATTACTTGGCTTTATAAAAGGTATAAAGAAAAAATATTGCTGTCACTGATACAAATTGTCCATAATTGTTCTAATTTTACCGTCCGTCGACGCTAGTAAGCTAACAAACTAATATATCGCTTGTGACAACTATATTCGTCATATCGTGTGCGCAGCATTAGTAAATATTGATGGAGGTTCGATGACCAGAGGGCTGTTCACCCGTTTATAACCTACATGTCTGTTTATACTAATAAAACGCTTATCCCATACAACTTTGTACATGTATACTACAAAAACTGTTGACCCCACAGATGTTGTCTTCTTGAAATTTATCAAAAGTAATTTACTTCACTTTCAAATTCTTTTTCTTTTATGTTTTATAAGAGACGAGAATTAACGCGACCGTTTAGGTGAACTATGGGTAATTTCTGCCGTATAACCCCGGCATAGAATGGGCCATTCCTTCTTTTCTGGTGAATATCGCAAGAGGCGACTAAAGGAACAAAGTTCCGGGGGCGGGCAACAGCGTCCTTTTAAAAACATCATCAAAAATCTAATTGTGGTTGCCAATATGCCTGCCAAGCGTGGCAATTACTAGGGAAATCCCCCTTTTGGGGAGTCTTATATTCAACAATAGACAGTTAACGATTGATATGAATGAAAAAAATTATGAATAATTTACCTGAATTATCTCGACGTTGCGACCAGGTTATATCGGTTGTGGTCACGAGTAGACTGACTTGTTCTTTCTCCAAAAAAAAACTTAACTTTTCATGCAATTTTCAAAAATACCAAATGAGTATAGCCTGTTTTTACGTGATGCGCTTTTATTTATTTTTTACTAATGTTTACCTGCAATTTCATTCGCGTGCCCGCGACATACTGATTGACTGGGATAAATAGTAGCGTATGTTACTACTGACTTAATGTTTACCAAATTTCAAACCATTAAGTCACCAGAAAGTAACAACTAAATACACTTTTTTAAAATTCACATTTGTAATATTAATAAGGAATTCAAATCTAGGGATTTATATGGTACTAGAGATCCGTCTCAGTTTCCCACGGGTAGATAGATATTTTTGAAAATATTATATACTTAGCCTGTATTACTTGCTGAAAATATAACTTTCTATGGACGAAATATTTTTTAAAATCGGTTGAGTAGTTTTTAAGTTTATCCATTACAACCAAACATTTAATTATCACAGCTGTTTTGCAAGAATAAGATCCTAAGTCCGATTCTCAGTCGGACCAATTTAATTATCACAGAGAAATTTTAAAAACCAGAAAGTAGTTTTCTTTTTATTGTTAAGAAGGCAAACGAACAGACGGTTCATATGACGGAAAACGACTACCGTCGCCCATGAACATTTGTAACACTAGAGGAGTTGAGAAAATTTGCACCACTTCTATATTAGGTGGGCAATCATCTTATTTATTATTCTAAATTGTACAAAAGAAAAAATGTAAAAAGAACAAAAAAAAATCGTCACAAGCAACAATCATATCGATCAAATAAAAATAAAAAATAATAATAGTTAACTAGTGGCAATTATAGCCAGTGCAACTTCGCATTAAATGGAAGGTCAGAAGATGTAGCGATAACTCGACCACCGTAGGCTTATAAATCCAACAATCTTGCCTTACCACAAATGGCTAGTGGTGTGCAATTCTCTAAACAGGATGTTTGACATTTACGATACTGAATAATAAAGCAATAAAACCGTTTATTACGTCAAATAACGCAATAGGCGGAAATATTTTTGTGGGATGTTTAAAATTTAAAATTATGAGAAATTGCGTTTTGAAAATTTAAATAGACAAGATATTTCACAAATAGTATTTGAAATTTCATAAGAATTGCAAAATCATCTAATAAAGTTCACGAAAACGTCGCGTTAAATTAAAAATAGCTCCATACAAATACATATATTCTGTTTCCGTTTAATGTCACGATAAAATCGTGTCGTGCTTTGGTAAAACAATTAGGTAAAAAAAATACTCAATAGGATTGTGTTTTAGCATGTTATGTTGTAGAAAAAGTAATAAGAAATAGAAAGCGAATATTCAGTAGCAGGAAGTATAACTTTTACAATCTCAAACTGACTAAAACAGCTTATCTTAGATAACAAGCAATTATTTGTACCGTGAAGAAAAATGGCAGTTTCAGTTGTCACAAAACTAAAATGGTCCCAACATGGAAGCGAACCCCACCAAATTTAAGATAAATTTTAATAATCGATGCAAAATTCGCAGCATATTATTCGCGTAATATAATTGAAAAAATCAGACTAATTGGAAACCTCCTCCTTTATGAAGTAAGAGAATAGTTGGTCGGTTAGTTTAACTCATGGATTATATTTAAACTAGCTTTTACCCACGACTACGTCCCCATAACCAAGATATATTCAATGACTGGAATAAAAGTTACCCTATCTCATTTTTCGTCCCAATACGAGTAGTACCAAATTTCAAAATAATTGGTTAAGCCGTTAAGGCGCTAATAGGTAACAAAGAAACAAACAAGCAAACTCACTTTTACAACATCATTAAGGATTTTATAAGCCTAATTTTCGTTCGTCTTTTTTATTACTATTAAGATTATCTATGTAACTAACGTATTGAGAAAAGGTGAAGTTACAACTAGTGCATAAGATAGTAACAGCAGTTACAAATAGAGTCAAAATTTCATATATATTATGTGCAAAAAGGAACACTCTGTAAATAATCTGTGAATCGTCGGTCGTATGATCGGAGAAGACGATATCGTGATAATTTCAGTAGTGGTTTTGGTTCAACTCCGTACGGCATACTTTCTTCGCGATCGCGACAGAACAAGACCGTTGCCTATTTAAATTTGCAAATTTATCAGAAGGTGTAGGAAATATAAATGTTATGCATGAAAATATTGAGGAAATAAATGCTGTATTTTATGTTTGTTGCCATTATGGTGAAATTACGAATAAAGTAAGAAAAGTGTACATAATTTATAAATTAATAAATAATTCTTAATTCTAGAATGTATATGAAATTTATTTTGTATTTCAGAATAGGTAGTAAATAGTTTTTGTGTTCCTAAGAAAAAGTTTTTGTATGTATTTTTATAAAAAATATTACTTTGCAAATTGACTACTAGAAAATGTTATAATCATTGTAATAGATAGTTATTGTTAACAACTTTTTTTTTTATTTATTGTATATAAAACTGTTTTTTCTATAAATATAATAACATTATATCTAATCTTCTAAAAATAGATAAATACTATATTTTCTTCCTGTTTAAAATAATAACAGTATGTATATTATGCTTTTAATGTATTTTAGTATTAGGAGGAGTGTCACCAGCTCAACTTCGTCAGTGGGCCCGGGGAGGGGCTGAAGGCAGGCTGGAGAAAGCGGTGCTAGCAGGACAGGGCCGGCGGCTGCTCGCTGAAACGGAGCCTTTGCCCCTGGCCCATCACCTTCCGACCCTAATAGCAAAATGTGACGCCCTTCACACAGCCGTTGAGAGGGGTTCCCTGTTAGAGCTTCAGGTATTACTGGTAAAGTACTATTTGCAGGTTTTTTAGGATATGTGATCAAAATGAACGCTACTTATACTCATACCATAAGATAATAAAGTTACAATTTTTTATAACTCTATCGTAATTACTTAATTTACAACAACATTTGAAGTATTATAACATCATACATTATTCAAGGTGTTTTAAAAAAAATAATGCTAATGTACTTTTAAGGTGTGCTCACATAATGTTCACAAAATTGTCGTACACTACATCGCTAGTATACGCTAGCTAAAATTGTCTAAAATTTCATTAGTTTTAAAACAATAAATAAATTAAATTGTTTTTCAAGTAATCTACAATATTTATTTAAACGGTGCTACATGAATGCTACGCTGCCGTAGCAGGTGTGTAGAGCCTATGCTAAGTTGTTATGCTGCGTTCTCTATACAGAATTCGTGACACACATACATAATTCGTTATTAAATATCACGACGTCACGATCTTTCATTAAATTTTATATTTTTCACCGTTATTATATTTACCTGACTCCATGAAAAAAGAGATTAATATAATTTAGATGTACGTATTTATGAATATTTATTGTAGTGTGTAGCTTAGACTTTGATAAGATAAATAAAATATTTGAAATTTTGACCTTTAGGTAAATGAGTTGACAATAATGATAATTACATCAACTCATTGATGTACCTACTTCTATTTGACCTGGAGTCGAAACTATGTATTAAATAATCCAGTAACTTTGGAACAAATAGGAAGCTTCTCAGAAATATATTTAGGGTATTGGTAGCTGGTAGTGATTAACAATTCTATGTCTATCTTCAAGCAAAGCCGCTTGTATAGTAGATAGAGAGGACATAGTAATATATATCTATTTTATCTATAGTATACATTTTACAAAGTAAAATTGTAATCATTAGGGTTCTTTTAAAGGAGTATTCTGCCAGTGAAAATAAATGTCATTCTCAAAGAAATTTGAGAAGTAATTATAAAAATATAGATATATAGATTACACTAATTCGGGGTATCCAACAATAAATAGAATTTAATATAGGAAATCATCAATTTTATGTTGTTTTTGATCCACGTTTCTTTGAAAAATTTATTCAATTTCAATAATACAACAATTTCTAAAAGTATGCTAATGATTATTTCTTTATTCTGTGTGTATCCTTATTAATATTATAAATATGAAAGTGAGTTAATCTGTTGTTACCCTTATGGCTTGTTCAATCACTATGAAATTTGGTATACAGATACTTTATGTGATGAAGAAGGATTTTTTATCCCGATCAATAAACATATCTCGATTATGCAAACGAAATCGCGGGTAAATGCTAATATAGTATAAATGGCAAGTTTAGTAAGTAATAGTAATGTCTTTTAAATATTTAGTTAAACATTTTGGTATAATTATAACAACAAATATTTATCATAGGAGCTATTGGACTCAGATTACAACCGCCGAAAGTATATAACATGTCGCGATGAGGCCGGAGTGGGCCTATTACATAAGGCTATATACTATGACTACATGGACATAGCCACATGGTTGGTGAAGCAGTATCCCTTGCTTGTACATCAGAAGGATTCGGTGAGCAATTATCTTTATCTCATCATCATCATCATCTTAGTCAATATCCATCCACTACTGAACATAGGCCTATCCCATAGGCTGTCATAAGGAGCAGGAGCAGTCCTGAGCCACCTGCACTGACTGACTCTCTGCAATGCATCTAAGGTTGTTACTCCATCTAGTGAGGGGTCGTTTTACACTGCATGTGCCCGTACGAGATCGCTCACTCAAGCTCTTTTCTTTCCCATCGGTTGTCGGTTACCACTTCAACTTGCTTATCTTTCGGGCTATGTCGGTTCAATAGGACTATTAAAAATTTCTAGTTTCGATCCTGAGTCAATAAAATTATATTTTTCTTCAATACATATAATATAATAATAAATCTGCTTTTATTTATTAGTAAATATTGTAATATAAATTATTATTTATTCATTTTATTTTTAATTATTTCATCCCTATTTGATTAGTGTCTTTATAATGTAAATAGGTAGCAAAAAACCTCTGTATGAGCAATTGATATTGATATTTGACTTTTACTGTTGCTCAATTCACAATGGGACATAACTTGATATCAGTGTAGAATTAATTGCTATTTGGTGACACACTAGGAAGGTCGCACACCATTGCATTATGCGGCTGTTTGCCGCGACGAAGCAGCGGCGGCGGCGCTGCTGGAGGGCGCGGGCGCGTCAAGGGGCGCGAGGGACGCCGCTGGCCGCACGCCCGCACATTACAGAGGACCGGCGCGCACTTTACTCGCGCTGCCCACCGCGACCGACATGGCTCGCGAGACGAAGAACCCTCCTGGTGAGTACCTTTATAATGACCAATTTATTATATTTTTTAATATATAAAAATAATTTACATCCACATAGATATCATGTAAAAGGAACTAATAGAAATAATAGTTTCAAATAGTTAAATTGAACATCGACAATTATACATAATACAAGTTTTTGTATTAGACGCAATATCTACTAAAACATGTAAATGTGACAATGTAAAATGATTATCACTGAAAACCGTCATTATTAAGTTTTCTTCAATAAATCAATCGGAGAAAATTTAATGATTATTGACATTTATCAAATTAATTTAATGTCAATTTGTTGAAGCACATAATTAATGAAAAATATGAAAAAAATTAATTAAAGGACTATTATGCGACTTCATCCATACGTAAACGAGTAGATATATTATATAATTGTCAAATTACTATTAGACGAAACTTTGAACGAAAAAAAAATTAATAAATATGGAACTTATGCGCAGAACTTCAAGATATAACCAGTTGTTTTTGCCATACCTTAATAAATTAGAATAACTTTTAAGATTTTAACCAGTATCAGCAAAAGTTCTGTTTGTTTTTGTTTGTTACCTTTATCTAGGCAAATTTGATTTTCTTTTAAATCATACATTATTTCTAAGCATCGATTACCTGTTGTAATTATTTATTAACATTACTCACGTTAATTTTATAACTATATGTAAATGAAATATTTTTATTAGGAATATAATGTGTTATTACTGCTCTCTATACTCAGAAACTATATCTAGAATAGCAGAACAAACCTTACGATTTTAGAATCGTAAAGGAGAAAATGAAAACCTACATACTTAGACCACGTAAACAGCAGGATAAATATCCTTTCTCTAAAAATAAATAGTTCTTTTATGGGTTATAATTATTATAATAAAGTATAAAGTATACATATTTATGAATAGAGAGAGAATTTTATTATTTATATACTGAAATATAAATAATAAAATTTTACATTTTAAACTGTCTGTTTATCTCTAAAACAAATAATGGAAAGATAGAAAATTTAAATTTCTTCCATTATTTTAAGATACTTTACAAACCTACATTTTCAATAAATATTATATTTCAATTATTAATAAACGAAGTTGATTAGGAATGAATACATATTACGTCGACATCTTTTTCTAAAAATAACCCTTAACTTCAGGTTACAATAATCAAAATACATAACACCTATATTAAGGGCCTTATTACACTGTCAAATATAATAGATACATACCCTTGAATTACAAATAAAGGTTAATCCTTTATTTGTAATTCAAGTGTATGTATCTTACTGGACTAAACCTCACACAAGATATTTTACAAATTTTTATTGCTTTTCAAAGTATATCTTTAGCTTCACAAATTATTAAGTTGATCTTGATATTTATTACCATACATGTAATACATACATACATGTAATAGATCCCTTATAATTGCAAAGTAAATAAAATTATAGTGATCTTTCTATATTTTAATAGAATAATTATTTGATGTTGTAAATGATAAGCATGTATTGAGGAGAAGCGACTGTAGTAAAACTAACGACCATGTTGCTAGCAGTATACTCGATCAGAGTGACTTCCACGCAGAATCCTTTCATCATCATTAATTTCTAACTAATTTGTCTCAATAAGCCCATTGATTTGACTTTATTCTCATCTACAATTCTCTGGTACTTTACGTAAACTAATAGTGTCGCCGGAATTACCATTCTACTTTCATCTATTAAAAACTGAAAAAATAAGCCCCTATTTATAGGCACAATGCTTTCCGTAAGTGAGGTGTATTATAATACCTTGACTGTTGAAATTAGAGTAGTATAACAAAAGGCATATTAACATAAATGAAGTTAGATCCGTCACGATTCAAGTTAGGAGCGAATAATTCATAAGATTATTAGTGTGGGATATGTCTCTATATCGCACTTTAGAAATATAATAATAAAGGCAATCTATATTTTTGTTATATGTAATACGTTTTCTGAACAAAGAAATGAAATAGAATCCATCAAAACTATTTTTATAATAAAAAGATGACTAAAATATAATTATGTATGTAAAAAAGTATTATCAAGAGACTGTCGCCCCAAAATATTTTGCAGTGATCACTTTTCTCGAAAAAGACAAATACAGTATATATATGTATATCCATTAAAATATGTAGGCATAGATTAAGAATAGTACTTGCGATATATATTCGTGTAAAGTTTCATTCAACAAAACGTTTATATTTAATACTAAAATGAAAAAAATATAATATATTTGATATATACATATGTATAAATTAATTGGTTCGTAAAAGTACTAAAATATTAAAACTATAAATATGTATAATTAAGTATACATGTTTTTTACTGCAGCTAAGAAAATGGTTTGCACCGGGGCGAGGTTAAAACGGATATCCGGTATTATATCTATGCAAATGCACCCCAACAGTATACTGAATGTCGTCAGTTGAAAGTGATTTACCCACCACAAGATAGCTACTTCTGTGATCAATGTAAATTATTATACTGCAAGTTTACAGTAGGTATATTTACATACCTATGGTTTTGATAAGCTATTAAAGTGCCATGCTATTTTCCCTTTTCACTCTTTAAATTCTTATGTGAAAGTGAGTTTGTTTCATTTCTTTTTTTGTTATTTTTAGCACCTTAATGGTTCAAACAATTATCATGTAATTTGACAAACATGTGTGACAAACACAATAAACGTGACAGAACTTAGTGTTTTGTATTTTGGTTACGCGAATGAAATCGCACGTATATTTTGCTGGTTTGTAAAGATCCATAATTCATATTATTTTCTTAATTATACATATATTACCTACTGTCTTTTTTAAACAGGTATTAGATAAACACATTGTCTGATTCCCATACTATAAATAATAAATATACAAGATAGAATATATCGATATAGGTCAATTTTACAATCGATTTTTAAATTTGATAATCCCAATATTAAACCCCAGACTGATGTACGTGATGATACGATGGTCACCAAATCAAGTATATCTGCTTAGTCTACTTGACAGTTTTTCTTAATATCTATTATATACTTATCCGTAATTTTGTTTATGTTACAATATTGGCAAATTTAAATATTAGTAATCTGTATGTATAAAATTGTTGATAATACAATTGCGTATATTTAGTTTTATTGCTTGTATGAATTTATAATTTTATATCACCTTACTTAATAATGGAAATAAATTAAAAACTATAAAAAACTATATAGATTGATACCTATACAGGTGTATATACAAGTATTAATAATACACATGAAATATATTTTAATCGCTTAATTCAATCAGTAATTTTAGATAGAGTGCGTGCATCTATCTCACTATCTATTATTTTATAATACACTAATTTCATTAGCGTGCCAACCAAAAGGCTCGGCTTCCTAAGGTGGGGTTAGAATATTGCGTGGTCATGAATATTTATTTTCATAAAAGCGTTTTTATTCTAAAATTTGAAGCGTCGTCAATGGCGCACCTACGCATTACGTACATTCTTGACCCAAGCTTTGATCCAATTATTATTCATACATTATCTAATTAATCGTAATTGTAAATCTGGTTATTTTTGTGCCGGTTCTAATAATAAATAGTAACATAATATCGATAAAATCAAAACACTACTCCATTGGCGCTGGAATTCGAAATTCTTAGATGTTTATCGAAGTTATAACTCTGCTGGTTCTCTGAGTGTTTGTAAAATTGCTATTATGTTAATATCGGTAGTATTTCGAAATTCCTCGCACGCTAACTTGTTGCTTCGCTAAATTTATAGCTTTAAGTTAGGTTTCTGTCTTTGTTACAAATATATCCGTAAATGAATGACTTTATGTCATCAATGAGCCACAAGAAAATACGGTTTGTTTAGCCAATCGGTGATACTCTTAATCTATCATTGATATCAGGACAATGGAGCTGGCGGTATCCATGCATGTCAGTAGTATTGTATTAAGTCGATGATGCAGTCAATATAAATTTTGTTCATCGCTGGGTGACAGTAATGTATGGTCATCCATTGACGACAGTAATGTAGCTTTGATAGCTCCGTCAGATAACGCCTAATTATAGCCGAGCCTAAACCTCTAATTTTTTAAAACTCATGTTTATGTCTTTCAAAAATCATTAGACAATTCGGTGGGGACGTAAAGTAGTTAAAAAGATTTGTGTATAACAATAACAGTAGTTATGATAGTAGAAAACTAATTGAATGAATTGGGTACTCTTTATTGACCCAGTAAGAAACCTATCGTGAATATAGATAGATACATTACGTGGTATTTTTAACACAATTCGTTCAATAGTATAATGTAGGTATTTAAACTGACAGACACCGAAATGTTTTAAGCGTTATGGAAACTGATACGCAGAAAACATGTCGATATTACCATATATGCCTTTTTTACATGGGGAAATCTGTCACAGAGATTTACATGTCTGGAGAGAGTAATCTGGGTATTGCCGAACTTTTATCATATAAAAACCCATGGTGTTCTACGTAGCGCCTATAGATGTGTTCGCTAACTACCGTGAACTTTATCGGATATGTCTAGTTTCTATTCGATTATTTTCTCTTCACATGTCATCATAAAAAAAAAAAAATATTTGGAACAAGAATTGGTCTATTATCTTGTACAGAGATATATCAACGTAATTAATAACCGAAACGGCCTTACAAATAAAATTCATTAATCGTTATTGATGACTTATCTATTTGATAGACATTATCATTGAATCATTTTACATAAATTCATACAATTAAATAAATGAATAAAGCTAGATACATATGAAACTACCATCGATTATTTGTGGAAATATGATCGATTATATTTTTTAAATGACACAGTGACTTATGAAGTGTTTACTAAAGTTAGTCACTAAGTATCGATTAAGGTAAGTATATTGTACAACTGTTATTTTCTTATTTTGTTGTTACGTCTCTTACTTATTGATTCTTTATGTGTAAAAGTTTAAACTGATACAAGTTTTAATCTTTATAATATCAGTTAGGTTTTACGACTACTGAATGATAGTAAAGAGGCCAATCGACCCTATTACAAGCTACTGTTTTATTTGTTGTTTATTGCTAGGAATATACCCTATCAGATTGACTTTTTCACGGTCTCTCTGAAGTGCCACCATGGTATTACTACTTTTTATGTAAATGTTCTTGTAGTTGTACTCTAGTATCTGGTGTTAACAGGCAGGATTACCACACCATTTTCATTTATTTCAAAACCTATTAACCTCATATGAATATAAGGAAATACATGGAAGGAAAAAATTAAAAAAAAATTATACCATAGACATACTGTATCTTTTTTTTATACAACTAAGAATGGCAAACAAGCTGACGGCCCACCTGATGAAAAGTGGTTACCGTGGCCTATAGACATGAGCAGTACCATGGACATAACAGAGTATACTGTTTCGCCCATGATACCCCCATGCGTTGCCAGGAATGCCTGAGGACTCAGATGTTATTCCTCTGTACTCTGTAAATTCACGCCATATCCTACCCTTCAAACCGAAACACAGCCATGCAAACACAACTGTCTAATATTTTTTGGGTATTTTATTATATTGTTTGCTAGTTTTAAATGTTTTACTATAACAACAACCTAGATTATAACACGTATTGAACAAGCGGATCAATGAAATCGGAAATCAATAAACAAATTGGGGTCAACACATTCTCTAATACACCTACATAATTCTCATTATTTGGTACTAAAATATTCATATCATAGGACTCAAAATATACCATACAAGAAATAGTACATCATGCAGGTATAGCAGTTTAAAATATTAATATTAATTTGATTCACGTAAATAAATACATAATTGTGAAATTTGTATATATGACCTATTCAATTAGGCTTGAATCGTACCTACCCGTCCCTAATTGTTATGCTACAAAAGACATGTGGGCAGGTGTATGCTATCGATCGATTGCTCAGTCATTAAACATTAAAACGTGTCTGTCTAAGCTAGAACCTGAATAATGTACATATGTCCTTGACACTTGCTTGAAGAGTGGGCGCCTTGTCAAACCCCTATAGGCTATATGGTGTTCCTAATGAATCGAAGCCTCTACTTTTAATATCAACATTAGGTATTCTCCGAATTTGATATTAGTCATTCTTCTGTAGCTTTTGATAAAACATTCCAATACCAACTGTATCGGTATAGATAGATAATAGTAGTCTTCTTAACTACTTTTATTTATTAGTCTTTAAAAACTAGATCGAGGGTCCATTAATCTTTGCATGAGCGTATAGCGGAAGATTGTAATGCTAAATCGAACTGTCTTCAAAAATAAATATATGCGAGTATATTCCTATTAGCTTCATTTTCATGCGTATCTAAACTACCCTACCTTATAGTGGAGAAGGAATAAGTATTGAGGTTCAACGGCCTCGTTGCTAGCAGTACTTTCTATCAGATCGACCTCCACGCGGCCACTACCAGAATTCATCGTGGTCAAATTGCGATGAATTTGTTACGATGGGCTAAGTGACCTGTTTTCATCGTCACCTATCACATTTCATTGGCGCCCCGCTAATGTATATCAATAGTACAAGCGAGGTTACCATTCCATTATAAAAAAACCTATCATATATATTGACATATATACTGACCTCTATCACAGAGAATACCATGTGTGTACCAAATTTCATTTAAATTCGTTCACTCGTTTAATCTAACACATTATTTAGTAGCAAACATCTATATGAGTAGGATGTAATATTATATATACCTAGTTATACAAATTACAATTATCAATCAATTCCAGAAATGAGGACATTCGCCATTCAATTTCGTGTCAAACTCTGTCTCCACCTAATTCGATGAAAATCGATGTGTTAGATGGCACACATATAAATCAATGTACCTTAAAGCCGACATTTATATGTCCGTTCACACTTCCACACATTGCTCGGATAATAACTCAAAGTTAATTGTCGAATCAGTGATTATATTAACAAAAAATGTAAAATTAATAAAACTACTTAATATAACAAAATAATACAAAGACAATAAAATGTTTGATGACATAGTTTGGAACATACTTTCTTTTGCGTAACATAATCACGATAGATTGACACCACACCTCATTTTCGTAACGACTCGAAACTTTTACAATTTCAAGATAGGGTAGATATCAAATAGCATAGAAACTCCCCTTCATAATGGGAAAAAACAATTTACGAAACAATTTTGAACATGTAATAATGTAGTTATTTGATTAGAATTATTTTGTTTAATTCCGCTATTGTTAGTAAATGTGTAACTGCCAACACTCGAAGATTGACCACTACGATTACAACCAAATAACCAGTGATATGGACTTCCGTCTAGTAATAATAATAATACCTAGTTCAGTAAAATATGTAATAATAGTTAGGATTTTTACAAAAAACAGTGAAGCAGTTGTGTTTGCATGGCTGTATTTCGGTTTGAAGGGTGGGATATGACGTGAATTTACAGGGTACAGAGGAATAACATCTGAGTCCTCAGGAATGGCAACGCATGGGGGATATCATGGGCGAAACAGTATGTGTGTGTACTGTTATGTCCATGGTACTGCTCATGTCTATAGGCGACGGTTACCACTTTCCATCAGGTGGGCCGTCAGCTTATTTGCCATTCTAAGTTATATAAAAAAAAGTTAACCAATCACTATGAAATTTGATATATAGGATAGACAAGGACATAGGCCACTTTTTATCCTACTCAGTGAATATATTCCAGTTAAGCGACGAAGTTGCAGTTAATGGTTGGTTGTCTATAAATATCTAAGTAATCAATTCTTGTTGAAGGGTTGGTGATAAAAGGGCACAATATCAGAATATGGTGCCACGACTGCGATATGGCGCGTCTGCAACGCGTCGTGTGGGAGGGACACGGTACCAGGCTACTGAGCGAAGTTTCCAATCAACCGATTGTGAAACGTTTTCTCGAAGCCGTTCCTTACATCATGGTAAAAATAACATCATCTTTTTGAGCACTCATTGCTTAGTAATGTACATGGGCGTCTATGATACCCTGAAAATACTATCCAATATTGACGTGGCCGCTTCAATTTACAGAACTATGTGACCAACTTGTTATTTAGAGCTATCAGTCTTATACTTTGATTCTTCTTCGAGGAAATTCGAAGAAGAATCAAAGTGACAACCCTAAATAGCAAGGAGCTGACCACATAATTTCAAGAGCCGACAGGTTATGGCAAGAAAGAATTCTCGAGAGATAATGATAGCAATATTATCACTAAAAAAATTTTCCCTGGTGAAGTTTGTCAGAAGTCTCATGTTCTGGATAGCTATAGGTATTCCTAATTAGGTTTACTGACTAACTATGTACTGTTGCTGGTGAGGTTGACTCAATCAAATCCTTTGATGTGTCAAAAACTTAAGGCCAATTACTTTGAATGTGCTTTCAGAATACAATCCGCGAGATTCACACCACCGTGGTCCAGAACGATCTCGAAGGTTTAATGAAGCATTCCGGAGATCCAGTGCCACCGCAAGCTTTATCCAGTCGAGACAACAACAACATGACTGTTATGCATAAGGTGAGTAGAATTTAATAATAATGCTTCAATTTTTCATTAAAATTATTACGTGGTTTTTATCTTTGTAATGTGACATGTCGTTGTTATTATTATCAACCGTAATCATCTCTTATTTATGTGAATAAAGACTTTTTCCATTATCTTTTACCACCTGTTTTCAGCACGTAATTATTCGTATTTCATTTAATAGTAAGCTAACTTCTTACATTATGAGGAAAAATATTTACACCTTCTTGACGCTGCACTAATCACATAGCTTTGCATAAATGATTTTCCGTCGGCCAATGATGGCCAAGATAGCCCAGATGTGCATAGATTCACTGCGTACGTATTTTTATGATTACGAAATAATAGGAAAGCATCTACGAAAGTGCTTTTAATTTTCCGAGATGATATCATGGACATGAACAACATATCATATAAGTACGTACATGGTGAAGGGAGGCTTTGTTCAAAAGTCACCTGCATATCTACCTCACTCGTGTTTCTGCATTTGATTTGAAGTATGGATGGAATTATTATGCCAGTCAAATACTACAATTGAAGGCATAATATACCAGTCCTCAGGAATGACAAGACATAAGGAATATAATGGGGGTTACAGTGTATTTTCTATAATGTCCATAGTGTTATTCTTATTTATAGACAACGATTAACACTTAGACTACTGCATAGGGTTGTTAAGGCGTGATAAAATTTTATCAGGATTATCAACGTGCATTATACTAAAAGATCTACCAATACAATTTTTACCAATACATTTTTTACCATAAATGTGATATGATTAAAGTTTTAAAAAAATTTACTTTATCTAGTCATTTTAAATAATTTTAAACTTCCTTAATAGCAACTTAATACGATATATAAACATATCATATTCTCTTTTTTATTTCCAGGCTGCTGGACTTGGTCATGGTGGAATACTGAAATACATCGCTGATAGGTACCCACAAGGAATAAATGACATCGATAATGATGGACGTACCCCACTTCATTATGCTGCTACTGTAAGAGATGAAAAACATACATACAATACGTTAGTCAGCCTCGGAGCTGATGAGAGCGCTGTAGACAACGTAAGTGTAAAAATATTAAATATCATAGGACACATTACACTTGCATGAAACTACACAGATAATTGACTTACCTATTTATAGTTTTATTCATAAAATTGGTACTTATCACATGGTAGCTTAATTTTTAATATATCTACCCTATTGATGTTTAGTTATTAATATAGCATATATATATATATATATATATATATATATATATATATATATATATATATATATATATATATATATATATATATATATATATCATAAAAGCAATCTAAAACAAAATTCATTCTATTATATTCCATAAAATTGTTAATACATTTTATTATTTTATTTATGTACTAGCTGTGCTTATAATTTCATTCGCGAGACTCAAATGTATGCTAAGTTTTTCTCAAACCCTTTAGTGAAGCCAAAGCGTTAAAAATAAATAAACTTACTTTCACTGAGCCCTGCGTATGGGTGGCAATATGTAAACTTAGTTACGATTATTGTTACTTTCTGTCAGTAAAACAATTTTATTTATTTAGTTACCCTTTATTGCACCATTTATAAAAATAATAAATACAGTAAATTTTAACACGAACTACACATGGCAAAAAATTACAAAAGGCATTACAGAGTCTGGTCAATAGCCAAAGATTACTCCGATATACAAACAAATAAATTGTATTCCTTTATAATAAGTTCCTTTATTATCATTTATGACGTATTAATTATCCAATTAGAAAATACACGAAATTTATTTTTTTAGAAAAATAAAACACCAGGTTACTACATTAATAGACCTCAAGATATAGATAAAAATTTACTTCGAACTATACCAGAAGCACCTAGAACTGCATCTAGTGCATACCCATCCTCATGGGATTGGAAACTTTTAGACACTGAAGTTATAGCAGAATTAAATAAAAAATCGAGAAGGAAGAATCTAAAAGCATCAAATGAAAACATATCATCTAAAAATAATACAAATACGGTATCCGAAAGTACAGAAAATTTACCTAATGCTATGAAAATGAGTAGCACTCGAGAATTTATAAAAGGCTTACCCGATTTAGATGACAGTAATAAATCACATGGAGACGATAATGTTAAAGTAAATAACAAAGAGGTAAGCATCGCGTAGATTATTATCACGGAATGTTATTATTGATTTGCTTTGCTTTTTGGTAAACATTTGCATGAAAATTTATTTTGTGCATTTTAGGACTCAGATGTAGCTGAAGAAAACGATAGTGAAATTAATAACGAAAAAGAAAATGATGCAGTAGATATTGAAGATCAACATAACTCTGAAAAAGATCCAGAGGAAGAATTTACAAAAGAAGGAACTAAAAATAGAGACGAAAATAATATCGATGAGGAACACGACAAAAACGATAATATTGAAAATGAAACAAGTAATGATGAAGAAAACAAATCAGAAGATAATATTGATCAAAATAATGAAACTGAGCCTGATAATGAAGAGGAAAAGGAAAATTCTGAAGACGAGAAACATCTTTCTAAAAGTGAGCCTGATAATTCGGAGGAAAATTCTGACCACACCAGAGAAAATGGTGATAAAGATAATAATGAAAACCCTGAAATGGACAATATAAAAGAAGAATCATCAAATATAAATGATGAAGAAAGCCAAGAAAATAAAAACAGTAAAAATGTTGAATCTGAACAGGAAAACAATGTTAATGAAGACTCAAATGATGATGAAAATTGCAACAACGAACCAATACATGAAGACACAAAAGTAAAAGAAAATGAAGAAGCTGGTGATACAGCAAATGAAGGTAATTTCAGTGATGACCCTAACGAAGATGATGACGATGTACAAGTTCAAGGAAATACACACACAGAACATAGTAGTGATATTCATCTTAAAAATAATATAGAAAAGGGTATTATAGAAAGTGCCAAGAAGGGTAGTACTGACATCTCTTCTGGTACTATTCACGAAACAATCAAAATATAATACGCTTCTATTTATTCAATTATTATGAGGGTCCCTGACAAGTTCAATATTTTTGATTATTTTGCTAATTAAGGAAACCTGACCAACGGCCGAAATACACAAGAAAGTCTTATAGCAGGCATTATTAGTGGTGAAGCCGAACAGGACTCGCAAGATGCAAGTATTGCTCAAAGAGATGAATCTGTACATGGAGAAGTACTAGTAGTTGTAAGTATAATTCATAAATGTTCCACCAAGCATGAAAATACGACCAACTAATGAAGGTAAAATGTAAATTAATTGGTTGATTGTGGTGTTTTAGACTAGAGGCATCATTGTAGCACTCTGTTCTTTTCACAAACACCTCCCAACACCACTGTCATGAATTGATTTGCTAGCTTCTTAGTTATATGTCAAAATAGCAATAACTTAGTTCGCGTAGGCCTGTTACTAAAACCATTCACTTTATTAATTTATTTATTACCATACATTAATTTTGTTTTTGAATTAACAGGATAATGAAATAGACCCTGAAGTAACGGAATTGATAAATAACGCAAATATGGAAATGTTAGCTACTTTGGTATTAAACGGTGAAGGATCAAGACTAATAGGCAGAAGATCTGGAAATTCAGAACTTCAAGCATTTCTAGACAATGTACCAACTTATATGGTAAGATATTAGTCATATTCCTAAATTCTGTACATTAATTTACATACATATAACTTGTACCTGACTACGAATTTTTAATATAATTACAGCAAAAAATTAACAAAGTCCATTCAGCAGCAAGAGAAGGTAATATACGAGATCTTCAAGCGGCATTAGACAGAAGGAAATTTGCAATAGCAAGAGATCCCATTTCACCTAATGGTGCTACTCCCTTACACGTAGCAACAGTGTTTGGGAAAACAAATATAATAAAATATCTAGGAGGAAGGTTAGCAATGGTTTTATAATATTGAATTGACTAAATAAAATAGTCTTTAAATATATCTAATATTATTAAAAAAATGATTCACAGATTCCCAGAAACACTATCTGCTGTTGATTTTGAAGGCCGAACAGCATTGCATTATGCAGCCGTGTTACCTGATAATGGACATTATTATAATTTACTACAGCAGCTTGGAGCTAACTCAAAAGATTTAGATGATGTGAGATATTTTTTAATGTTATTTTATTTTTACATAAATAAATACATATTTGTATTCCAATTGTGTTTTTACAGAATGGACAATCGGCTGAAGATTACTTAAAAAACCCCAGTTTGCTGCCTTTTAGTCAATTGCTCTCTGATTACGGAATAAGTGAAGAGGCAGCACAAGATATGCTATCTGACAAAGGTATGTAATAGTGATGAATTAAAAACATAATAAAACAATTGCCTAATCTTATCATGGGATTGGGTAAAATATTTACTTATAAGGTATTTATATTAAGATTAATTATCAAAAACTAATTTGAGTATATATAGTACCAGAGGATCATGTATCGTCACGGCGTTCTTTGGATGTACCTGAGGCACTGGATACTCTTGAACGCTGCTATCGTCTCTTGGCATCAGCTAGACCATCGCGGACACCACTTTCAGCATCTTCAAACAAGGCAACACCCCCAATAGTATTAGGCAGATTTTTGAAACGACCAGTATTTGAAATGATAAAATACAGAATTACTAAACTTGATCATGATCTTTTCGATGTTATTTGGCCAGCTGTTAAAAAACTTCCAGATAATCGAAATATTATACAAACAGTTGAAGAAGATTTCCCAGGTGGAATAACTGCCCCAGATTATTACGTTTATGAACTTTTTCACGAATTTCTTACACCACTTATAAAGGATTTACACAATATTAACATACATTCTGATTTATCAACACACCCTCCCTCTGATTTTACAAATACTATAAAATTTTCGTCAATGTCATCAGAACCATTTGTTGAATTAAACATTGATCCGAGTGATGAATTAGTGCTGTCGGGCACAATCGAATGTTCAAGAAATTTGGAAGGTTTTGAGTTACCTTTAAATTTGAAAATTGGAAAACTAGAAACTATTGAAAGAATTTTGACCACAATTCTAATGCAAGACGATTTTGCAAAATATAGCGAAGTTTCAAATCCAGAGTCTGATCAAAAAGGTGGAACGTATTATACATTGAATGAAGTTCTAGAAAAACCATCTGAAATATGTGCTACATTGGCTTCTAGCGGTCTATTGATAGCCCTATGTGATAGAGATGAGATTGATGACTGCACTCGACTACATGGCAAGCACTGGCCGTATGGTCGTGGTGTTTTTGTTAGTGAAGATAAAACCGTAGCTATATGGATCAATGTGCATGATCATCTACGAGTTCTTGTCTCTACGCCTACAGATTCGCCGGGCGAAATTGGTTTACCATTTAGCAAACTAGCTTATATAATGTCATATCTTCATGAACGTCTTGATTTTGTTTGGGACCTCAAGCTTGGACATTTGAGCAGCAGGCCAACTTTTTTAGGAGCTGGACTACGCATCAGTCTGATTGTTAATTTTCCGGGTCTTTCAAAAGATTCAGATAACATGAAGCATCTTTGTGCTATGAGAGGGTTGCAATATCGAGAAACCCTTAGTTCTGATATAGCCCGAATAAGTAATTATCAATGCTTAAGCACGACCGAAGTAAACTGTTTTAATGACTTTGCTACTGCATCCTCAAATTTGTTGCAATTAGAAAAAGATTTATCGATGCAAAGTTCGGCACAAATAGCTACAATGCTAACAAATATTTTCAGAAGAAAAAGAAGTAGTTTAGGAGAGTTGGAGAGTCCGGAAAAATATCCGAAGCAATAAATAATTAATAAATAATAAAAATTACTCTTATTAATCACACTTAACTCTACACCACTTTATTTTTGTAGTTTTATGAAATGTTGGAAAGATGTATAGGTGCTGACCACGTTATTACTTATGAGTCTTATGACTGAAGATGAGCGTCCACTAGGTTTCATTTGAGATCTCCTGTATGAAGTTTAGGTCAGTATAAATTAAATAATTATTTTTTTCGTGCAAAATGTGAGTTCGCGTGTCCGTGTGAGTTACTAATAAAATAGACTGACGTGATTGCAACCGTTCACGCTTTTACACTATCAGTTTTAATAATAATTGTTGCTTTACCATTTTATTGCACGCTCAGCACCAGCTATCCGTCTTTCCAACATTAGATACTAGTTCAATTCACAGTGGTGTAGGTAGCGACTTCGCCCGTTATAACTACTATTGCCGTGAATATTTCTTAAAACCTTTTCTTAGTGAATATTTATGCTCCAAAATCTACTTGTAAAATTTTAGCTACGTAGGTCAAATAATTTTTAAGATTCCGGAATAAATCTGAACGTTTCGAGTTATATTTTGCTTCCATAGGTTACGATCATTTACGTTTTCTAAATAGTTTCTTTTCAGAGTTATAAATGAACTAGCGAGAAGCCCGGCTTCGGCCGGATAGATAAATTTTTCGAAAATAATAATATATAATATGTTATTCGTTTATAAATTCTTTCAACTCAAAAAATTCATGTAGCATTCTATAGTTGAAAGAATTTTTTGAGCGAGTTGTTTTTGAGTTCATCCATTACAAACAAACAATCAAATCATTCCTATTTATAGTATTCGTATAGAAATAGGTAATTGGAATTAAATATCTATATGACTTTATTCAAGCTGCTTCATTAAAATAAATCTGTAGGTACTTACTACACTTTTGAATGAAGTGTTATTTAATAATAAAGGCTAGACGTTAATAGAATGTTAAAATAGAGAGCAAAAACAAAATGGACTTTTAGATTTGTATTGTCTAAATACCTAATTCTTCTCGCGAATTTTATTTCTTTCTCTATACGAAATATGTTCTTAAGGAAGAGTATATAAAACTATAAAAAAGTACAGATATCAATACCATGGTTGTCGTATTAAAAACATAATGGATCGATATGCTCATAGGTAGATTCAAATATAGGGTATATCAATTATGACCACCCTATTCAGTTAGAGCGGACACACTATACGTCGCCACCATCACAAATTGATCCCCTGTGTCCACCCACTACCCCACCAGGTGTACACTTTCGTGTACATACACATATGTTTAACACCCACACAAACAAACCGAAGGCCGTTAAAGTGAATAATTGATCGGTTTCAGGTACGTATCAAGCCGCCAATGGGCACATGGACATTCCCATCTTTCGAACGGAAGAGGGCAGATATCTTGCTAACTGTAAGCTCATTTTTTTTATTAAACCGTGAGTGAATAATGAATAAAATTGAAAGTGAAACAGACTCTCACTTGGACGACGTTTTTGCAGCTCTCGGCGATCCTTTAATTAAAGGTCTGACCGAAGTGGCAAACGTGAAACCGAAAGATCCGGTCGCGTTCCTTGCTAGTTTCCTACACAATTTTCCAGACAAAGAAAAGCCTCAATTAGGTACGCAGGTGAGATGATTTTTGTCTTCTATCAAATATTACAAGTGTAATTGGTCATTTATTTTATTACTCCAACATTTGTTTATGCCTTGTGTAACTTATATTTTAAGTACGTGATAAATTACCTTATTAATTATGTATTTCATATTAAATAGTATCGCATGTTATTTTACGGCTACAGTAATGCTTTTAAACAGGAAACAAATCTGATAGTAACAAGACAAGCGGCCGAGGTGGAAAATGACCAACCACCGCCGGCGGTGCAACCTTCGAAAGGAGTCAGGAGCGGCTCACGTACGGCGACGAAGCCTCACCGACCAATCGACGTCGTCACTGTTGACCCACAATCCGAAAACAGCCTGGATGGGCCGGAGACAGCATTCAGTAGTGCCACAAGGGTAGACAACTATATCATTTAATCCCATAAAATTCCCTTTTTTATATAGATGGAGCTCTCAGAGTGTAATTTTTATATGCCATATTAATGGCTATTAATATTTTTAAATACTTTTTTCGTTACTTTTACATATATACGAGTGATTTAAAAAAATTTAGGTTATTATATACTTGCTATTTGACAATAAATAGTTCACTCAGTGGTACAAAACAGTCGCTTATGAAGATGAATAATATCATTACAAATTACAGAATTAGATTGTACCTCTAACAACAGCGTCGTGCGTAGCCTAAGGATCAGTGTTATGCTTATTTTTTCTTTTTTTTTATGCCATTATGTGCCATACTGTGGAGCCAATGTAATGGCACGGTACATTGGCTCCACAGTCACCTGACGGTAAATGATTGTACGATCCATCTGTGCGAGTCGCAGGACCAACGCAAGATTGCAACTAACCTACGGCCTACAGGATATAATAGATACGGTTAACTAATGTTAACATGTGACAAAAAAGCCCACGACTTGTTCATGCCGATAACTACATGTAAATCACTTTTATGATAATTGCTAACTTTTCATCTTTTTCACGAAGACATTTTACTTCAGGATGAGCACGGCCAATCAATGCTACATTTCGCAGCGGCACGTACCCACACTCGCAATGCCCTATTTCAATTGTTACAAGAGTCCGACATAAGTTTGGGATACCGAGACGAACTGTACAGAACTGCACGCGACGTCTCAATACAAGCCAACGTACTTGAGAACACTGCTGAGATAGACAGATGGGTGCTACATTTAGCTGCGAGAGGTAAAACACCAATTACTATTACTGTCGTTGATTATACATTTATTTTTTCATTTATTTAGAACATCAGTAGAAACACAAAACAGCAAAACAAAACCCCGTTAAAAAATGTATTTGGAGGGTGACGGATAAAGCCAAGTTTATTAGTACAAATGGCGAGTTTAATGTAGTATAGCATTCTCTATCAGCTAACCATCAGGTAAAAACTGAAAGCGTTTGAGGGCAGTGGTAGCGAATATACATTATCCAAACAATTAATTTTACTTATTACACATGTTGTTACAAATATTTGTAGAATTCATTTAATTTTTATGACAACAATACTCATATTCCCAGGTACGTTTCCCATATATGTAGGTACATCATTAAATTGAGACAGCCTACAATTGACATTTTTATTCTGTTCAAGATATTAATTACATTGTAATATTTAAATAATACAAACGTTATTTTAAAACTAGTTCCAAAATATAATCTCAACCCGCCTGTATTTTTTGTATGTGTATTGTATGATACGATACGATATGATCTTCGCCGATTCTGGATTGAAAACTGGATTTTATTCTTTTGCAACGAATGGAGTTAACTCCTAAAAGTTCTAATCTAGTCCAGTTCAACTTCAACTGTACAACATATTTTTATTTCCATAAATATTTTTATCTCATTTAAACGATCATATTGATCTTTGCAGGGAACAAAGAGAAGATTATGGAATTATTATTAGAAGGTTACGATCACATTTTGGACGTGGTCGACGAGGACGGTTTGCCTATAACTGAAGTAATTGCACAGCGCGGCGATAGCGAGATGGGAAATCTACTAGAATCTATACCTACCTTCGAGGTGATTACATTATTCAATGATCAACTGAAATTTTGAAATTTTTACTTAAACAAGACAACATATGTCGGACACGTTATTCTGTCCAAATTCTAAATTTTATTCTTTTCTTAAAAATTTTAATTATAATCATTTAAAAATAAAGTTAAGTCAATCTTTATCCATTCTCATGTGATATGCTTACCAATGAAAAAACATTTAATTTTTATTTATGTAAAGAATAGGGTGGGTGAGTTCGCAGTACCTTGGTCTATTATAAGCCCCAAGGAAATAAATTGCATGTTTAATTTTAGCTGACCTCGGCTTCGACTGGTCACGATAGAGATGACTGTTCAATACTTGTTAATGAAAATGTAACTAAAAATAATGTTATTATTTTAGTTCATAACCATAAAACACTTCACTTCATAAAAAACCAATTATTTACGGTTCTTAAAGAGATTTCTTTCTGTAAGTTTGATTATGCAACAAACAATTCTTTAGGAATATTCTCAACTGTCACAAAACTGTTGCATTCGTTATTTGATGCTGAACATATAATAAATTGAAAATGGTTCGAAAGTATAATTTTTCTAATAATGTTAATTGCTGCACCTCTAACGGATAGTTTTGAACACTCAGAAAAGTAATTCTTTAAAGAACTTACATTAGCCATTCTAATTATAGGAGTCCAGAGAGTCCCTTCACGCAGCTGTCCGACGCGGAGATTTGGCAGCAGTTGAAGAGGCTTTATCGGCAGAAGGCGGGCGAACTCTCGTTCGCGCCCAAAACTCTTTCGGTCGCACCGCTCTTCACATAGCTGTGTTGGCTCAACATGAAGAAATCGTGGCATATTTAGCGCAAACTCACTCAGAGTTACTACGAATAGGAGACAACGTGAGTGAAACATTCACAATTTAATCTATTGATTTATTTTATTTTATTTTTTTATACAACTTAGAATGGCAAACAAGCTGATGGAAAGTGGTAACCGTCGCGTATAGACATAAGCAGTACCATGGACATAACAGAGTATACTGTTTCGCCCATGATACTCCCCATGCGTTGCCATTCCTGACGACTCAGATGTTATTCCTCTGTACCCTGTAAATTCACGCCATATCCCACCCTTCAAACCGAAACACAGCTATGCAAACACAATTGCTTCACGGTAGAAACACGAATGGGACAGAGGTACCCAAGCAATCGACTTTTGTACAAAATTACTTTTATTATAACACTAGTTGACCCCGCAATTTCAAATCAGTTGCATTTTTTTATGTTTGTTATCTCATAACTACGTCAGTCAATGGATTTTTTTTTATCTGAAAGGATATACTTACATATAGATCCCATAGAAATTTTATCAATATTGGTACAGTAATTTAATTTTGGAATCAAAAACTGGTTTTATCACAACTGAAGTCGGTTTTTTTATGGAACACAATCTTTAATTATTTATTATACTAATTTTTCTTCTAATTAAATCTTGAATAATTAAAATCGGTTGAGCGGTTTTAAAGATTGGCGTGAACGAATACTAATTCAGTATGACTACCTATTTGTTATTAACTCCAAATCGTATTCCACAGTCTGAAGAACTCTTTTCAATAATGCGTTACATTCAGCACAGTAGCAACATCTTAAACGCCTCCGTCTACCCCTTCTGGGATCATGGTACATTTTACTTACAATTTCAATACTTAATTTTAATTTTTACAGTTGGAACGCACACCATTGCACTACGCAATGGGAGTCGAGAAAATAGAATCTCTTAGCAGGGTACTGATCAGAGCTGGCGCAAAACGGGTACTCAAAGATCTAAAGGGCCGACAACCCTCTTACTACTTTATGAATAAGTCGGACATATTGCGGTTAAAGGAAGAAGAAGAAGTGTATTAAAACAAACTGAATGATGAATAAAGAAAAATATTGTGATATTTATCAATGTGCAGCGACGGCATAAAGAAACCTTTTGTAAACTAATCGTTTGGATACGCGACATCGACAGAAATTGTGTCATAGACGCTTCTTATATTGCACTTTTAGCAAATGTCAATATTTTTGTTAGAAATTATGTTGTATCCGTTGATATATAAAAAACCCTAGATACACAGAGAATTAAAAAGGGCACTGAAAATTAATCGCATTTTATGAGCAATGCACTATATTCTAATCATTCTATAAACATTTGTAGTCAACGTAGCGAAATATTCGTACAAACTATAAAAATATAACATCTAGACATGTAGTTTCTTATTTACCTACTATAAGCATCTTTGACTTATAATAACCATTAATTTTTTCCTTTTAAATTCAAGGCAGTTTTAAATAAAACTTTTATATGACATTGTGAGTCTTGGGTTTTTTGTGTATGAATGGTTGTACCAAATTATTAGACGTGTGCCGAATGATATCGAGTAGTGTTCGTCCTTTTCTATGATATTACATGTAATTTGTACTTGACGGGACCCTATTAAATAAGATCTTTAAAAATTTAATATTAGAAATAAAATTACTAAAGTATATTTCAAATTTGTTTTATTTTAAATCAAATTGTAATTAAAAATTAATGATATTTCACTACAATAGTTAACCTGATGGAATAAATAACATAAGCAACAAAATGTTAATATAAAAATTCAAAATTTAATCTAAAATACACAATTACTAAACAGAAAAATATAGGTACAACACAGACATCTAGATTTTGATGCATATCTATATATAAAATTATGAAATGATAATATTGTAAATAGTTCGCCATCACATCTTGTTACTATGTCTTGTAAATTGTTTACATTCTTAAATAGAAGATTGCCAAGGAACAGGGTTTATGTACATTTGTGACACAGAACCTCGCATACCTGTCACACATATTGCTCATGTTAAAAATTATAGTCTCAATAACAGGATTGGACAATTTTCGTGCTAGAAGCAATTAAATTTAAAACCAGACGGTAAAGGATTGTTAATAATGAGATCTAGAGGCACAGTGATTGCTAGCAATATAACATGTTAGGTCGACCTCCACCCGATCTCTCTTAAAAACGATCGTGGTTAAATCCTGTTATAGTAAATTCGTCACATGGGCAAATTGATCAAACTTCATTTTGTTCAACAAAACTGAATAGGTAGAAGGGAAGAGATTATTAGTAATGGGGATTAGTAACCCTATTACTAACAATATACCCTCCCTATCAAGTCGACCTCCTCGCAGTTCCCCCTGGAAACCATAGTGATTGGTTCATTGTTGAACTTGTCACGATGGGCTAACTGACCTGCGTTTTCATTCTCACCTATCATCCCTCACTGGTGGCCCGTTAGTGTTCACCGATAGCGCAGACGGGGTTACCGTTACATTATCATGCATTTAAAAAAAAAACTGAATAGGTAAACCTAATAGAACAGGCGAGATTACCATTCCATTTTCATCCATAAAATACACACAACCTTCTATCTTTTCTTTATTTATAAATAAAAATATCGATATACCTACACACTCAGTAGTACTTACAAAGGTCGATGAATAATTTAATTAACCTTTTTCTATGCACAAGAAAAACACGAAACATGGTAATCAATAACTAAATAAAAATGGTTTTACACACTCCCATAAATAAATTAGCAACAACGAATAGATTTATTTAACGTTTAATTAAGTAGGTACCTATAGAACTATGCACTTAAAGGTTACATCGGAAATGATTTTACAAAAATATAGATGGATGGATTGAGAAAATCCTCCTGTTTGTATGTATCTTAAAAACATTTCGAAAGTCAATTGGAAATTATTTATTTACTAGAAAAAGTGATATCGTGATAAAAACTATTTATTTTTTAAATATGAAGTAAACAATACACATTCAAAAAATTTTACTAAAATCAGTTGAATGATTTCGGAGATTAGCGTGAACGAACATATAACAATCATTGTCAGGTTTGGAACATTCAAACTGTACTGTGAATATCCACCGAGATTTTCTCTACAGACTACCTACATGGAATTCTTCAAAACGGCATGTTTTTTAAGGGTTGCCAATACGATAGTGCCAATCTAAGAATTGCAAATGCCTATAGTCTACGGTAACTGTTGACCATCAAATGAGCCATATGCTTATTTGCCATTAAACGTTACATAAAAAAAAATCGAAAATAAGCAGTAGTTTTATAATGAAGTAAACTTTTACCCGCGACTTCGTCCACGTAACATGAGATATGTTGATTAATCAGAACAATCAATATTAATCCTATCTTTTTCCAACCTTCCCGTTATATCCTTTTAAATCCAAATACATGTATACCAAACTTCACGACGGCTGTTCGAGAGGTTAAAGCCCCAAAAAGTAATAAACTAACTCATTTTCACATTTACAATAATAGTAACTTATGCAGCTAATACGCTATACTGGTGATATTAAATAATATAGATTCACTTACTCAATTCGCCTTGATTAAGTGGTACAGGCAGTGGTTTATTTTTGCTGGTTCTCAACCAGTCTCGGTACGCGCGATCTCCATTCGCTCGACGCCGTTCCTCTTCTAAAGCAGCACGAGCTGCGCGACGCTCTTCTTGAGTTTTCATTACTGCGGACATATTTGTAAAATAAAAAAAAAATTAAATCATTATCTTTACGTATAAAATCGTTTGTCCCAAATGTTTCATCAAAGCAGAGCTCAAATGTAGAAAATGTGGAAAGAAAAATAAAAATTCCGTAATATATTTTATTTATGTTACTGTTGTAACCAGAATAAAATTTCATGGGTCCTACTTTGAAAACCATAGACTTCTATGGTTCATAGCTTCTCTATTTATCCTTTACTAAGTACTTACGCACGAGAGAAGCCGCAGGCAACAGCTAGTTGTATTAACTTCTTTTTAGTTTATTATATTTTACTAATTTTATAACAGATTGAGCGTGATCAGTATATTTATTAAGAACCACCCAGGAGCGCCAGAAAACAAATACCAATAAAAGGGTCACGCCAATTAATTCGACATTGGTACTTTTAGCAAACTATAAGCATATGTCATTAGACGGTAATCTTATTACTATAAACCAATCAAGGGGTCAGTCTAGTATACCCACCAATAAACCTATATGCTTACGTAGGAATATTGTTTTACAATTTTATTTATAATATAAACCTTTGATTTCCTCTTCCTTTCTCCGGATCCACTCATTCAGTTTCTCATACTTATCCCTCTCGCGCTTGCTACGTTCTCGTTCGATGCGTTCATTGTCCCTATACTGTTGCATGATCTCCTCGGCGCGCCGTTGTTCAGACTGTTTACGCTTACGCTCCAACCAACGGCGAAACGACTCCTCCCGTTGCTCTGGAGTGGTTGTGGGTACAGCTTGACGCTTTAATTTCTCCATTTTCAACTTAGCCCTTTGCTAAATAAATAAAAGCAAAATATTGTGTAAAAATAAAGTTAGCATAAATCTTCAGTAAGGCTACTGACAAAATAACAATAAATATATACAACTTATTACAGGTAGATCGAATATAATGCTATAAATAGAAAATAGGAAACAATTACTTCCTGTTCCTTCCGTATTAGCCACTTCTGAAAGGCCTCTTGCTTCCTTTTTTCATTTCGTTCCCGCTCTTCCTTTGCTGTTGTGGTAGTTGATATTGATGCAACAGACAGTCTGAATGTCTCTGGGCCTTCTTCTCGATAAGTGCGATAATTCCGAGGCGTTATTTCCTCATCGTCTTCTACATGGCACTGCCCCTCATTTCTCATTAACCGACATGACTTCCTCTGTACGCTACTTGACGAATCACTAGACTTGCGGCTACTAAGGAATGGAGTAGAATTACTGCGGTAAGTACTATGCGGGTGAGGCGTAACATCTTCGACAAAGGAGTCGGTTTGCAGTGAGGTCACAGAATGCGAAGCTTCTACAGTCTCAATATAAATTGCTGGATTTATGTATCGTGTTTTACTCTTTCTAGACCCTAAGGATTCGGAGTCACTGTGGTACTGTATATTTTCGCCAGCACCGTCGAATATATGGTTAGAACTTTTAAGTTTTAAACCGATCACTGGTCTATTGCGGGCACTATCACCGAAATCGCCTTTATCTATATCACTAGCCATTATATCACTATGGACAAATTATACATGTGTCAATAGAAGCTCTTGAATAAAAATTCCCAAAAATATAATATTAAGAAGCCAGTTTATCGAGGCCTATAAGAATGCATCTAATGTCAAAATATTTGTGGTTTTGAATATAAACGCCATTGTTATATTACATTTAGCCAGTTACGAAATAAACTAAATAGTATAGTACCAGTATGCCACCTCTTTTTACTCGATTGCCAAAAACATTGAGTATATGTATCGGGTGATCTATAAATTTATATAGATAGATAAATATGTGCAAATCTTTAACGTAACCTTTAGCGTAAACCACTTGATGGACTTTAATGATAAAATCTTTATGAAAATAAAAATAAATATGGTGTTCACTTCTCGTAAAACATAGGCTAGAAGAGAATCTTTCCCATAAATAAGTCTTTCTCATAATATTCAGAATTGTCTAATTTACATTTTTGTATCTAATTTGCAAATGCAATAAATATATAAGAGTTAATTAATTACTCTTGGGTAGACTATTCCATTACATATGTAGTTTGTACTTTGTAAAAGTAAAAATGTTAAGATGTTTGTTAAGCAAATGAATACGATTTAATAGTTTTGAATGAAATTAGGTACACATGTGGATTACATCCTCGATTAATATATATAAAGGATTTTTTATCTCAATTCAGACAAAACTGCAACTGATATGTCTAATAAATAAAAAATAATTCGATTATGTCCCACAAAAAAAACCGACATGAGTTGTGACAAAACCAGTTATTAAACAACTGAACCGATTATGACAAAAATTTTATTGGACTAATCTGTAAGCATATTCTTTCAGATAAAAAGTAATTGACGAAGTTATAGGTAAAAAATATAAAAAAAATACTTCGATAACCTCCTTCTTTCTGAAATCGGTTGAAAATGTATATAAGATATATACAAATTCTTACGAGCCTAGATTTAATAACACCACAAAACTAATTAAATTTAAACTTTAGTACTTCAACAAAATAAAAAAAAAAAATTGCGTAATAGCATTTTATAAACTGTTTAACTGCTGTAGTTTAAAAATATGTATTCTGCTATGTAATGTTTCTGCTCTAAATAACATGATGCAAATTTAAGCAATGCAATATTTGCGTCATGTACCACATATATACCAAGTTCAAGCAACGAAATAAAAAATGGTCAATACAAATAAAATTAAAACAATGTGTACACATTCATAAAAATGTATTTTAACATTTATTGAAGTTGGATACATATTTATTAAACGTTGACTAACAGCCAATCTTTATCACTTTTAAAGGTAGTTGGAAATTGTCGATATCATTCTATATCTAGGCACTTCATAACAAAAATTTTTTAATAATAAATCAAGTCCCCTTTTTGTTTGGTTCGTTATGGGAACATTATTAAGTAAATGTAAGAATTACGCGAATAATTTTTTTTTTTTCACTTAAATTACAATCTAAATAGAAGTACTTTTTAAATCAGCGTTTAAAAAATTACAATGACATACACACCGCAGTTTCATTTAGCAATTCGAGATTTGAATTGATAATTCCAGATAAAAATGCTTGTGTGATAGTGCCTATTATGTAAAGGTGAAATCAAAAATAATTCTAACATTCAGTCTCATGATATAATACATTGTGACTCTCAGCTTGTTATGAGACCACAATTATAACAGAACATCAATTTTTTACTCACTAGAAAATTATAATGGATGAATATTCATTAACTAAATGTGAACCGCACAAATAACTGTCTCCTACAACATACTGATACGAAACTAAACTTTGCTAGGCCATAATGAAAAATTAATGGTAAGTATAATGACTTTAGATATTACTATCAAAACTACATCGTTAAAATCAGTCAGAAATTTAATCAACTTGTAAAACAACCACTTATCAAGATATTATTATGTCTTTATGTCTAAACTATATAAATAATTAAGTATTTGAAAATATATTATGATCAAATTAGTCAAGGTACAAAATATAAATAAGCCTATCGTCAAACTGAATTCGATATGGTTTTAATGAGGTCAATATTTACAAATGTCGTAACTAGTGAATAAAAAATTAGATGGAGACAGTTTGAATTACCCTTAAATTCACAATGAATTATTCTTACAATTGCATGTGACTAAAATACTAAATGAGATTAAGGTTGCTTAATATAACGACTCTGCGTTAGATGAGCGTGGCTTCTTAATCTTTTCTAAGTTTTTGATGACAATGTCATGTAGAGAACAGTAGCGGTTGCGGATCTCACACATCACCAACCACAGTGAAAGATACTCTTTTTCATCCAATTCCTGTAAATAAAAAATACCATATTATTTTTTTAAACAAATACTTTTAATTTATTACAACAATGACCTAGCAAACATTTGTTTTTACTCCTACTGCCACATATCAGGTACATTATTTTTTATTAGGATAAAAACTATCTCTCAAAATGAAATTGTTTATATAGTATTATTACTATTTAATTAGATACTATAAATATAAAGTAAAAAATATTTTGATGCTATAACTTAAAGTATTATATATTATACAACTTTGAACCTTTTACCTTGAAGGAAGTTTAACATCCTCATCTGTTTTATAAAAATACTGAGTAAAATTATTAATATTGTGATAACGATTAAAATAAATACTTACTCTAACAGCTCTCCTATAATCATCAATATGGGGATATTTAGCAACTTTGGATACTATCTTTGCCCTAGAAATGAAGTACCGTGAAATTTGGTCAAAAAATGCAGCCGCCTCTGATTCCACAGACTGTATCTCTGCAAGTGTGTCCTCTTGTATTGACACTCCAAAATTATTTCCATCTTCAATTTTAGGAATCATAAATGAGATCCACATTTTTAGCTGCAAATCAATTTGTTAATTATACTATAGCATCCATCATTCATATAGTATTTTAGCATAAATTAATATTTTATATATAAAATATTGCACAACTACTAAAATATATTTGCTGGCATGGATGTTTTGACATTCACACATCAAAAAGTTGTCTTTAAAAATAATAACATTGATTATAATACATAAAAATGATAACAGAATAGGCAGTGGCTTTATTCACATATTAACACAACATGATTCACACTAGTTATTATCCAACATATACCGACTGTCACAGTTGTGAGGAACATAACACATATAGGCATTTTAACCCATCTAATCTAAAATGCTAGTATATTGTTGTACAAGTATGATTCATTAAAAAAAAATAATTCTACTGTCATTTTAAATGTGAAAATTTGTAAGAATGTATAGATATATACACTTAAATAGCTAAATGAATTTTAATCAAATTTTTTGTATGGATGGGTTGTATCCTAACAACATTAGTGAACATTATTTTAATTTATCACAACAATGAAAAGCCTCAATATGGTGCTATTATATAATTAGTTATGATTTACATATTAATTTAATATGTACTATGTATAGTTATTTATATATGTATTGTGAGTTATTTAAGTATGTATATTTTTTGTAAGTATATTATTCTATATGTTTGTATATTTATTTATCATAAATTGTTATTTCTCAACATATTTATTTAATATACTTTTTTTTTAAATCTATGCACCACTATTTACTCTCTCTGTTTAGTGTAAAAGTTGCCTGGTACAGAATGTCATCAGGCATTAAGTCCACCCTGTAGACATATTTTAGTGTATACAAAAGTATAAATATATATAAACATACATACTATTTCACATGGGCAAAGCTGCAGAGAGAACTAATAATAAATAAAACTTACCAAATTGGAATCCTCCACCAACTCCCTAATGTGTGGCTTAACAAGATGTATTAGGTCACTAAGTGGTTTGTTGCATGGAACTGTTCCATTAGGTAGAGCATACACCTTTGTGCCCTCTATAGTAGTATTACTTGATACTTCTGAAGAGTCCAGTCGTGCACGCTTTGCATTTGGCTCATTCAAAGCCGCTACTGGGGGTGGTATTGGAATGTTTAAATCCTTGAACAAAAATTTTGCCTTAATTCAACTCTTTCTATGTTATGTTTATAGAAATGATTGTCATACAAAAATAACAATTAAAACTTAATTGGTATACTGCCCAAAATCAAGTTTTAGTGATTATTTTGATATTTATAATTTAAATATGTTTCATCTTTAATTAATGAGTTTATTTATGTTGGCATTTTAATATTGTCAATCAAGAAACTGTTATAATAACATATAGTTTTATTTTTATTTAGTCAATACTGATTTGGCAAAGAATAAAAAAAACAATCACATGAACTAATTTACAGGCAACTAATATTGTAATGTAACAAATGAGTTACTTCCATTTAGATTGCTTTATACCTCTGTGTGTCATTAATTCATAATGTTTCCAATGACCACAACACTGTTACTGTTGTAGAGACAGCAATATATTGTGAATGGTTAGTGTTTAATTTCTTGATATCAGTCTGTTAACAGAATCTATTATAAACTATTAAATAAACATAATATAATTCAAATGTCTTTCTTCAAAAACATTAATAATACTAATATTAGGCATTAGTGCCAGTTTTTAGTTACTCAGTAACTTATATTTATTAAAATAAAAACAACATTTTATATTTCAGAATGATAAACTAATTTAATAACATTGGATTATTAAATATTTGTTAGTCTATGAGTAAGCATATAACAATTCTTACGTTATCCTTAATGTAAGTATTAATATAAAATTTAAAAAGTACCTACTCTTGTCTTAAACTATTTTTAACTGTAAGGTATATTTCATGTGATAAAAAAAAAGACAATGTAATGTGAATTATATTTCTTAATGTTCAATAATTTACCTGGTGAACATCAGCTAGATCCCGATTTTGGAAATTTGATGTCTCTAACAATTCATTCAACTTCACTATTTTCTCTGGAAATCCTTTTATGATTAAATGCTCAGCCTTCTGTTTAAGGGAGTCTTTATACTCTTGAACCTGCATCATTACACGTAAACATATTCTTTAAAACCAATACTAGTCAATGGCTGCACTTATTAAGAGGTTATGTTGTCTTATTCGAAATATACTCTAGCGTAAGTTATAAAATAATGAAAGACCAACTTACAAACATTATTCTGATACAAATTCACTTTAATGTGTGATAATACAATAGTAATAAAAGACAAAATACGGCAAAATGCTAAGATCACGCACACTCTTACTAAGTCATGGCATGAATAGTCATGCAAACAAAGCATTGGAAGTTAAAATTTTTATGTTCTTTACCTTTTTCGCAACGTCTGTCATTGTTTTAGACGAATAAATCAATTAGTTACAATCTTTCTTTAAATTTAAACTTAATAGGTAACTAAAATAATATTTAAAGTTCAATTATCGCGTGCGGTTAAATAAGTAAATTAAAAAAAATGCGCGATATTCGGATAACGAATGGAATACATGAGCGAACACGAATAGTAGGCAGACCGCAAACGGATCCCTTCCTAGTGGGAAATACGTTTAGTTCATTGATTACATAGATGTTAAGTTCTTTATACCTTGGTCATCATTTCACTTAAGACATGATCAATTTCCATTATAAACATATATTTTTTTCACTTATTTTGTAACTTTGTCTGACGCAGGTAAAATAATATACTTTTTAATTTTATTTTCTATTTATTATGAATGGACTTTTTTTTACACCAGTATCCAATCTTCTTTAAAAATTAAGTAGAATTCTTACCTATTTGAATCTACTATAAATGAAAAAAAACTATATAATGTATTTACGTCACGTTATGAATTTAATTACATTTTATTTAAATATCAGTTATAAAATATGTTTACTAAAATACAGAAAACATTTATTCTGGGATATATTTTTATTAAATATAATATGTAAAAGATTCGATAGGGTAAAGAAAGATAATTATAATCAGTATTTTATGTTTATTTTTACGCTATTTATAGAAATATATCATGTATTTATTTTAATATTTGCAAATTTATTCGTTGTTGTGAATTTATATGTATTTAGGTACATTCAAGTAACTGTAAATAATTTTATGATTCTTATCAATATATAAAAAAAAATATGTTTTTTTTTTTCTAGTGAAATATTGATTTGCTGTGTCGATTCAGTGCTATATATCGATCTATATCGATACAAAAAACTTCCAAACTTCTTGTGTAACTTCCATATTACCTTCTAATGTATGACTTTGGTCAGAAAACAGCATGCCAACGTTTAGTTAAACGATGAAATCACAATAGCTTATTTTAGAACAATACTGTTAAAAGCAATGCCAATAGCTACCATCTAAACCAGTGTTTCCCAACCTTTTTTGTGCCATGCCCGACTTGAACATTTCTAAAATTTTTATGCCTTCATACATAATTTTTCCCGACAAAGTTTACTTGACGAGTCTAATCGTCCAGTTGATATTTTAGTAATGTCAAACAAAATTATACCTAATAAATATTTACAGCATTTTTTTATTTACTTTTTTTGTTAAATTTGGGACCGATATCTACTTGTAGCATTGAGTTCATTTTTTAATTGCCCAATCCCCCCCCCCCCTCTCAACTATCAAGTTGCCCCCTGTGAGGCGTGGGCCCCTAGTTGGGAAACACCTATTTATACTGTTCGCGGAACAGTTTTAAATAACCCACCTGTTATTATTCCTCACAAGTCCAGGGGCCGAGCAGGGAGTCAGTCGGTGTGTGTTTGGGCAGTAAAATTTTCTTTTTTTTAACTGTGTGTACTGTTGACCGCAGATGACCTTTACAGCTTCACCGAACGCGTATGCAGGGGCGAGCGCAGACGGCACTTCAAACTCGCGAGAGGAGAGCGACAATAGGCGTCGTCAGCTCTTTCTGGTTTTTATATAGATTGCTAAGATATTCCTGACCAAGTCGTTTTACGTAGCTTGTATGAAGTGCGTTCTCTTGTCTTGGTTTATGTACTTTGTATATACTCTGATTCTGATGAATGATTCTTTTATGTTTTTGCTACCAAACCAACAAGAACATTTAAATGTTTTTCATTACGCTTAGTACTTATTATTAACAAACAGCCCTATCGTATCAATTTAGTTAGCTATTTAGGAAGGAATTTAAATTGTTTATTTTAGTGAGTTAATAAATTGCACACGTTTAAGTAGACAATAATTGTTGTGTGGAACTTGTTAGTTCTTTAATTATTTATCTCTAAAGTATCTATACTAATTTATATGTATGCATTCTTGAAAACTTTATTAAATTACAAAGTGAACATAGACAAGTAATTACTCAAGTATTTAATCAGATCTTAACATCAACTTGGCAACACAACTGATAAAGAATTGGCCTTGTGCTTTCTTTCGGTTCAGTGAGTACTTACCTACCAACGAGTTTAGTATTCCTGAGTCTTAGCTAGTAAATTTATGTGTAAACATATACCATTATATCCTTTAATTAACAAATTGCATTTAAGAAAAATGAGCATTGATATTGGAGGTAACAAATTTTCTATTAAATATAAATATCCTAAAAATAATTGATAACTTGATTTACCTGTACTTTTTTTTTTTTATATAGGAATGAGAATCAAATACAAAGATAAAAATGATACATTTTTGGAGAAACATTTAGTTTCCAAGGAGCCTTTTGGACAATTTAAAGCATGGTTCGAGGAAGCTTGTTCAAGGAAAGAAATTTTAGAGCCAAATGCTATGTGCTTGGCTACTGTATCAAAGTAAGAGTTGCATTTTTATGATATTATCATGACCTTACATCATTATTTGTTTTGAATTATGTTTTGCAGATAATAAATTTATGATAAATACTTATCTCAATTGAAGAGAAGATAAGAACAATTATATATTATTGTTAATTGTAGTAATGAGTTTAATTCTATTGTTTGTAATTTTATATTATGACTTATGAAGACCTCTTATTTTAAACAGGCTGGGTTTTCCTTCAGCAAGATTTGTTTTATTAAAAGGGTATGGCAAAGATGGCTATAAGTTTTATACTAACCATGGAAGTAGGAAGGCTAAGGAAATGGTTTGTATTTAGTTTTTGCAATAACATTTTGGTTATTTTTTCTGCTATTTTAGTTTTTTGAAAAATATATTTCAGAAGGAAAACCCCAATGTAGCTGCAACATTTTACTGGGAAGTTCTTAATAGATCAGTAAGAATTGAGGGTTATGTGGAAAGGCTGTCTGAAGAGGATTCAACAACATATTTTCATTCACGTCCAGTCCCTAGCCAGATAGCTGCTTGTGCTAGCTATCAGAGTACTCCAATTGAATCCAGGGATGTACTTTGTGAACGGGAGAAAAAGCTAGAAGCTGAATACATGATCCCTGAAAAGGAAATCCCTAAACCAGACTTTTGGTAATATTTCTAAAAACTGTAATTTATATATTATATAAGAATATTAACTCCTCTTAGTGACAGTTAAATGCTCTAAACAATTCTAGTTAATTATAATTTGCTCTATTGGCTATCTAAGTAGTATGAACTGAATAATATGAACAACACACCAGTGCAAGATAAGGCAAATTCAAAAAAGACTATTAGAGTTACTTGCTCTATAAGATGATACCTAGTAATCTAATGTTTTTCTCATGTAAAGAAACAGTACTCTCTTTTTATAACCCATTGTTTAGAATACCAAATATGGTTATAATGATCATAATTAGATATATAAATAATGGATAACAAATAGTGATTTAAAATAAAAGTGCTTTCAAGCTTTTGTAATAAACTGCAAACATGTAATTTTATTGATTGGCATACACCAATGAGTGTCTAATGTCATCATATTGTTAATTATAATATGTAAATTCTATAAGAAAAAAATAATTTTCAGGGGTGGATACATAATTCGACCTGTGTCTGTAGAATTTTGGCAGGGTCAACGTGATCGACTCCATGATAGGATTAAATTCAGAAAATTAAAAGAAGGAGAAGTGCCAGATGAGAAACTCTTACATAAAGGGGAAGATGGCTGGGTTTATGAGAGATTGTCTCCATAATGAGGTGACTTGTGTTATATTTTATCTAACTATAGAAAACAGGTCTTCCAAGTAACAGTTGTTTGTAGTAATAAAGTTTTATTGTTGTGATGTATGAGTTATTTTTAATATTTCTCGTTGAATACCTCCTGTACTCTTCCAACACACTTCAGATTTTAATGATCCACATTTTTCAATTCTCTTCTCAAATTGCCTTGTTCCACCACCCACACCAAAATAACATGTTTTTGCTGCAACATATGCTGATCCATTTTTACTTAGTCTTTGTAAAAATATTTCAATTAGTTTGTCATAATTTTCTTCATTGTAAATAGTTTCTGATGTTAAAATTATATCATAAGGTTTAGAATTATCAAGTTTTTTATTAAACGAAGACCAGTCTCCACAGTAAAATTTGCATCTAGTTATGCACATTTCACTGTCATCTTCTAGATTTAATAATACATTAGGTATTGTAACATATTTAATAACCTCTTTATTCTGTAAAACAAGAATAATATAATTATTTATATAACATAATGAGCATAACAATATTTAAAGTTAATAGTTTAGATAATATACTCACATAGTCCTGAAATGTAGTATATGCTCCATTTAAAAGACTATAAATTCCCAAAATACCAGCACCACATCCTAAATCTAAGACATTTGCTTCTTTCCATTGATTTTTATTTACACTTTCTATTAGATATTCTATTAAATCAGTAGTACCTTCCCATATTTTTAAGCCTCCTAAAATGAATATTTTTTGTACTATAATTAGACACATTAAGCAGTTAATCAGTTCTTATGAAGCAAAATATGGTAAATTAAGAATTAAAACATAAAAAAAAACTTTGTGTCACCTACTACTACTGCCATAATGTAAAAAAAAAAACACTACCTATACTAACAATAAGGTTATTAAAGTATGTTTGAGTTCAATTTAAACACATATCTTAGATAGAAATTAAGTACCTATCCTAATTCTGCATACCTTCATATTTACCAGTGATCAAGTCACTGTGATTACTTTCTGCTAGTTCTGTGCCATTTTGTACTCCATCTTCAGATATGATATTGGCGACAGCTTCATTAGCCACAACATGGCCAATTTCTATGTTATCGCCACATATAAACATTTTCGCGTGCTGCACCATACTGTCCAGTTGTTCTATTTGGGTGTCGACAGTTATCTCTTCACTTTCCAGCCATTGAACTTTTTTAGTATTTGTTTCAACTAAAACAATATAGATTTTATTTATTGTTTATAAAAGTTAAATTTTGTTTATAAAAACATTGATTCAATTAATTTTACTTAAATTAGTGTTGCGCTCGATTTTGTGATCGTCATTACATGAAAAATTAAAACGAAAAGACATTGCTGATTATAAAACACCTTATAAATTGAAATAAATTGAATAAATATAACTTAGATTCATACTAAGACGGGCAATTTATTTAGGTATATAATAATGTACAGACAAAAATTTTACAAAACTGACAGTAGTATAAATTGACAATATTGACATTGACAGATGCTACAGGTCAGCCGCTTGATTAAAACATGTTGATTTGTAATTGTCAAAACCAGGGTCAAACTCAATCACTAAGCTTGACTTCTATGACAGATAAGTGTAACGTAATTTCAACGTCAGTCAAATCTGTCCGTTCGACGTGTTGTTTTGTGTCAACTTAAATTATTTTTTATAATAATTAGTAATTGATTTAGAAATATAAAATATGGAATCTGAAGTCATTAAAGAGAAGATCCAAACAGAACCATTATTAAATGATCCTCGATACATAACTTTACTTAGCTTAATTGTCCTCATTTTTACTCTAGGTAAGATTTTTTGGTCATATATATCAAGGATTTTAGTTTAGTTCCTTAATTAAATAATAAAGAAAAAAGTTAGGGGATACCCTAACTTTAAAAACAAAAATAGAAAATTTTTATATTTATAACTATTACGCACGATGTTGTCCGCGGAATTATTGTAATTTCTTAATACGATAAGGAATTTGGATAGTATATTCAGTAGGTGCTAGGATTTTTAGTAATTTTTATTAATATCACAAATGGAAAATGGATATATTTCTTGCCGCTATAACCTATACACGTACTACATGAGATGGAGACGGTCATAAGCTACTATTTATTCTGTTCAATCGACATATACTAGTCTCGCGGAAGAAGTCACTAAGTAACCATAAGGGGGAGAGGATAGTAATGGAAGCCAGTCTCTTTATTGTTAGCAATATAAATTATTTTTATACTATTATATATCAAATAAGAAATAACACAAATTAATCATGTTTTTTTATTGAGAATGGCTTATTACAATTGATGATCGGTTATATGTTATTACCCTACATAATATTAGCTTTTTCCATAAAAAGTTATAACAGTGAGGGTGGTTCTAGAAAAACTCTGACACATTGAATTATTGATATACCACATACCTTTCCCTCAAGCTTAATATTAATAATACATAAAACAAATATAATTCCTACATGTATATCTAGATCTTATTAAGTCTAATTTTACATTTTTTCATATGGACGTCTCAAATGTACTTTAGGTTTGTTTCTGATTTTTCCTACATTAGATGTTGTTGGTATTCCTAACATGTCGGCCCATTGGTCACAGCTTGGTATCTCAATTATATCCTGGTCTTGAGATATATCCAAATCTGGTTCTTCATCTAATCTTTCACTAGTCAATTCTTGATCTACAGTATTGTCTTGTATTTCATTTTCTGTAGTTTTTAAGTTTTCTGTTTCAGTTTCCTTAAGCTTTATCAATTGATCTATATGTCTATGCATATATTCCCCGTCTTCTGTTTCTATTCTATAGCTAGAAGGTCCCTCTTTTTCATGTATTACACCGGGTTTCCATTTCCCTCCTTCTGCATAATTTCTGTACATCACTTTCTTTCCTACTTGAGTTTCACGATGCTTTTTATTTGCATTATCTACTATCTGTTCTTCTGTCTTCCTGTAATTGTTCATATTAGGATGAATAGTATCTAGTAAAGTTCGAAGCTCTCTATTCATTAACAATTCTGCTGGGCTCCTCTTAGTGGATGTACAAGGTGTACTACGTAAGGTCAGCAAAATTCTAGGTAATTTTATTTCCCAAGGAACCTCTGTCATCTTTTTTAATTTATTCTTTAATGTTTGAACCATTCTTTCAGCCTGGCCATTAGTGGCTGGATGGTATGGTGCTGTCCTGATATGCTTAATTTTGTTAGCAGCTAAAAAGTCTTCAAATTCCTTTGACACAAAGGCTAAACCATTATCTGAAACCAGTGTTTCACATAGACCATGTTGCGCAAAAATGTATCGTAAATGTTTTATAACATTGCTAGAGGTAGTAGAATTTACTATGTGAACCTCTGGCCATTTTGAGTAGGCATCTACTACAATTAAAAACACTTTATTTTGGAATGGTCCTGCAAAGTCAATATGAATACGTGACCATGGTCTAGCCGGGATAATCCATTCATGTGATGACTTCATAGGCATGTTCCTATTTTCTAGGCATATTTTACAATTGTTAAGCATCGTCTCTATATCACTGTCCATCTGTGGCCACCAAACATAGCTGCGAGCTAGCGCTTTAGTGTGTACCATACCACTATGAGTCTGATGTAATATCTTTAACATACTTTCTTTCAGTATATTAGGTAAAATTACACGATTTCCCAATAAAATACAGCCATCTTGTAAACTTAACTCCACACGATGCAACCAATAAGTATGCAATTTCTTATCAGTGACTCGAACTGGCCATCCTTTCAAAATGAACCATTTTACTTTTTTTAGTATTTCATCCTCAGTGGTTGCCTTCTCGATATCTCTTGGCCCAAAGGGTAAATCATGTGGTGTTTCGGCTATTAAGAGAATCTCTCCAGGGCTATCAATATCTTTAGGCGATATAGGCATTGGCCATCGACTAAGTCCATCTGCATTAGTGATTTCTTTACCACGCTTGTAACAAATTTCATAATCATGTGCAGATAAAGTCAAACATATGCGAGTTAATCTCGGTGATAGAATGTCTGGTATTTTTTTATTGGTTCCAAATATACCCAGTAATGGCTTATGGTCTGTTATAATTGTAAATCTTCTCCCCAACAAATAGTTGTTAAATTTTTGAATGCCAAATAAAATTGCTGTAGCTTCTTTATCCAATTGAGAATATCGTCTTTCATGTGGATGGAGGGTTCTTGACCCCATTGCTACTGGTTTCTCTTCACCATTGTCCATAACATGTGCTAGTACAGCCCCTATCCCATACTCTGATGAATCACAAGTTAAAATGAGTTTTTTCTTTGTATCATAGTGTGTAAGACTGACATCATTTGTAAGTAAGCTCTTTGCTGTATTAAAAGACTGTTGTTCCTCATTATTCCATTTCCATTTATTTTTCTTGTCTAATAATCTATGTAGAGGCTCCAAAACTGTTGCTTTATGAGGTACAAAGCGTTCATAAAAATTATATAAGCCAAGAAACGCTTGAAGCTGTTGCACATTCCTTGGAGGTGGCGTGTTTATTATTGCCTCGATCTTTCTTTTGATGGGTGTATATATATATTACAAATCCCAAGAACTCAACTCGTGTTCTTGCAAACTTACACTTTTCTTGATTAAGTTTTAAACCTTTGTCATCCAGACGATGCAGAACTGCATCGAGGCGCCATTTCATCTCATCCAGTGTATGGCCCATTATAATAATATCATCCAGGAGAACGGCTACTCCAGGAATATCCGCAAGCAATGCTGTCATGGCCCTTTGGAATATACCTGGGCTAGCTTTAACTCCAAACGCTAATCTATGTACGGAAAATAATCCTTTAGTTGTATTTAATGTCAATAACTTTGCCGTCTGTTCGTCCACTGGCAATTGTGTATACGCACGTTCTAAATCTAACGTTGTAAAGAATCGACCTCCGGCTAATAGTGCAAAAATTTCATTAGCAGTCGGCATCGGATATGTATCAGATTCTGTAGCTTGATTTACTGTACTGCGATAATCACCACACAACCGAATGCTGCCATCTTTTTTTACAATAGGTACTACAGGTGTCGCCCATTCAGAATATGGCACGGATTTCAAAACACCTTCTTGTACTAAATTATCTATTTCTTGTTCGACACGACCTCTCAAAGCATATGGCACCGGTCTTGCTTTAATAAATTTAGGTACAGCTCCTGGAATCAAATGTATGGTTACTGGTTCTCCTTTGTATATCCCTAGACCGTTTGAAAAAATATTCTTATATTTAATTAATACTTCTTCACACGATATGCCCTCATATTCTATTAAATTTATATTATTTATAGAAATATTTAGAGGTCCGAACCAGTTCCGTCCCAACAAATTTGGTCCTTTTCCTTTTGCCACAATAACTGTTAACTGACATTGGCTGTTTTTGTACTTCACATCAACATCTAATTGCCCAAGTAAATCTAATGATGCATTTGTCCATGTCGATAATCTTAATATCATTGGCTGTAACCTGTTTTTTAAGTATTTAGGCAATTTATAAAATGTTGTCATATTTATTATTGAATAAGATGCATCAATTTCCATTTTTGTCTTATAACCATTCAATATTACATCGACCTGTACAGGTGGTATTCTCTGTAGATTATTGATGTTATTCATACAATATATACCATTAAGTGAATCACTGCCCGGAATATTGGAATCTTTATCGGTTGTGTACCGAATGTTTTGATTTTTACGTTTCTGAGTACAAATTTTCTCTAAATGACCAATTTTCTGGCAAAAATTACATTTAGCATTAATATATCTGCATATGCCATTATGTTTTTCGCCACATCTATAGCAAAATCTAAATTTAATATTAGTATTGTTTTTATCACGTATAGCACCAATATCCATTGGCTCTGATGATGAACTGGACATACTCGATGTATGCTGTGCTGCACGCATTATGCTGATATCACGATGAGCTGTTTCTGCTGCTGTTATACTGTCCACCACTTCTTTATATGTCAGGGTGTCTCGTTTTAATAACTCAAATTTTAGTTTCTCATCTCGCATACCACATACTAAACGATCACGAAGATTGCGTTCCAAGTTACTAAAATTACAATGTGCAGCTATTTTTCGCAATTCTGTTAAGTAGTCTAGTGCTTTTTCGTCTTCTTTTTGGTTACGATTATAAAACTTGTATGACATTGTAATCTCATTAGACTTAGGAGTATAATGTTTTGTCAATAAGTCAATAACGTAGGTAAAAGTAACTTCATGTGATTTTCGTGGTATTATCAAAGCTAACACTGTTTCAAACACTTCTGCACCACAAATTGTATAGAAATTGGCAAGTTTCACATTTTCGTCGATGATTCCATTTGCCACGAAGCAAAAATTTAGCCTATCTATGTAGTGGCTAAAATCTTCATTTCCGGGTTGGTACTCGTGGAACTTAATAGCTTGCATGTTTGTACATATGTAATCACATTAATTTTTATGCTCGTCGCCAATATTATATATCAAATAAGAAATAACACAAATTAATCATGTTTTTTTATTGAGAATGGCTTATTACAATTGATGATCGGTTATATGTTATTACCCTACATAATATTAGCTTTTTCCATAAAAAGTTATAACAGTGAGGGTGGTTCTAGAAAAACTCTGACACATTGAATTATTGATATACCACATATACATTTCAGTTTTCTGGTGGTGCTTTTCACGTAGACGTCATTTACGGCGTTCAGTGCTTCTGACTGGTCTGTCTGATTCTGGTAAAACTTTGCTGTTTGTAAGACTTGCATATTCACAATACAGGCAGACATTCACATCCATGAGGGAAAATGTTGAGGACTACATCACTGCAAATGTAAGATTTGATTTCTTTTACTACAAAACAGTAGTTTTGTATGCAAAATGTTATGGTATACTGTATGTGTATAATGGCTTATAAAGTTTTTGTAAAATACTGTACATTAGAATATATATTTTTATATTGTTCATGTCCTGTGTTTCTCAGCATGGAATGGGCCACTCCTTTTTTTCCTATGTGTGTCTTAAGAGGCAACTAAATGAATGTAATGGTCAAGGGATAGGCAGCAATATCACTCTTAAAACATCACTCAAAGCCTTACTGCAATTGCCAACTTGCCTGCCAAGCATAATAACTATTGGCAAAACAGCCCATTATGGAGAAGGTCTACATTCAACTGTGTACAATTAACAGCTAATATAATCATGATGATGACTCTAATCTCCTAAACAACTCAGTAGATTTTAATGAAATTTTTATAAATTTGTATCTTTTGCTGTAACTTGAAAGAATATAAAAGAAAGGCAAAGCATGCGTAATACCTCTGGTATTGCAGGTGTTCACAGGCTACGGTAACCACTTACCATCAGGTGGGCCATATGGTTGTTTGCCACCTCAGTGGTATAAAAAAAATCTTGATTTTATAAAAAAATGGACCTATTGGGTATGAGGGGGCCTAACAATGTTTCCTAAGTCAGCTAGTGTGTATGTAAATAAATAAACATTTTTATTATATTATTTCATAAAAACTTTGAATAATAAATTATAAAAACAATTGAAATGAATTGAGTGAATTGTTTCTTATTTTTACAGAATTCTCTTCGAATTGTAGACTTGCCTGGCCAAGAAAGGCTTCGTAACAAATTCTTTGATCAGTACAAGAATAGTGCTAAAGCTATTGTTTATGTTATAGACTCTGTTATAATACAGAAGGAAATAAGGGATGTTGCTGAGTAAGTGTAATAAATGCATCTTCTTTTGTACTTTGATAAATACAGCAAAAACAATTAACTAATTAACAATTTTTTATCTCAACATGTGCAGGTAAAACATTTTTAAATGTGTGTAAATTGTAGATGTATATAATGTAAATTGTGGATATTAAAGTGATTCCAATACTACATTAGAAATTTAGAGTTTTGAACTATGTATGTTACTAATTATGTTATTTTTTTTTAATGGGTCAAAAGTGAATTGTAATCCTACCCACATCATCTGTATATGTTGATTGGGCACTAGAGAGATGACAGGAGAAAAATGAAAGTAGGTCAATCGGCCCATCGTTACAAATTCTACAAAAATTAAACATGATGGTTTCCAGCTGGAAACTGCATGTGGTAAACCTGATACGCATATATATATATATATATATGCGTATGTTTGCTGTCGTCGTTCGTAATGTCACGTATGGGCACCACAGAATATCAGCGCTGTAGCAATTAAATTGCTGCAGCACATGGAAACTTGCATGTAAATGGTAATTCATAATGTATGTAACTTTTTGTTGTTGTCAATAAATGTTTTCTTTCTTCTTTCTTTCATTCTGATAGGGTTATATTGCTAGCAATGGAGCTGTTAAATTCAATTACTAACAATTCCTTTCCCCTTATTATTCACCTTTACTTATTAGTTACAATTTTATTTTCAGATATTTGTACACAATTTTATCAGATCCTGTGATCCAAAGTAACAATCCTCCAATTTTAATCTTATGCAATAAGCAAGATCAACCATTGGCTAAAGGTAGCCAAGTCATAAAGAATCTTCTTGAAAAAGAAATGTAAGTAAATTTTATTTAATACTTGAGTTTTTATAATATACATAATGTGATATAATTACAAACATTTAATCAATTTCACTTTAAATATCTGACCATCTATATGTCTGTAAAATTGCTAATAACATTAATGTTTTATTTATATGACAGGCATAAAGACATAAAACATCTATTTATCTAGTTAAGAATACTGTTTCCATCTCTTATTGCATGCACAATGCCTATTGGGGTAATTAATGCTCCTTTCCACTCAGGGTTTGCTGGAAGAGAACTTTTACAGGGTTAAGCTTGCCTGTTGTACATTGTTATTTAATATAAATTCTTCTTCTTTTCATTTAAAAGTTTCCTCTTGTCGGTACAACTAATTCATGCATCTTCTTCCAGCCAGTTCTATCCCATGCCATATCCTTGACCTTCCTGTATGACATGACACTTAGTTTTTTTTTTTATCTGTCCCCTGTAGTTATTCCTTGGTCTTCCTCTATATAAAAATAAATTATATGATTGTAATTTTTTGTGTTCAATAAAATATAAATAAATAAGAGATGTAAAAACTAAAAGTGTAGGTCATTGGACTAAATTATTTGCCTGTAGACAAATATTAAAAATTTAAATATTTGAGACTTATCCCTGTTACTTACTTATTTTCATTATTGTGATATTTAAGAAGATAACTAATTATAATTATGTATACTTTTCTTCATAGTAATCTTGTACGCGTCACGAAGTCCAGTCAGCTGCAATCTGTAGACCCGTCACAATCAAACAAATCGACATATATAGGCAAATTGGGAAAAGATTTCGAGTTCTCTCATCTTGGATGCCGTGTAGATGTATCTGAGTGTTCAGCTAATACTGGCGACGACGATGCACCTGCCGACATTAAGACCTTGCAAGATTGGATCTCAAAGTTATAAATATTTAACAAGAAATACTCAACAATAAAGAATTTGTCATAAATGAGTTCCTATTTCAAATTCTTTGCTTTCAAACTGCATTTCAATTGTGGTGCTATAATATGATTTTAGAGCGTTAATAGGCTGTTCTTTTCAACAAATGTACTAATGAATGATTCTAAACTATTTCTGTATCAATTAATGCAAGATTTCTCAAATATTATATGTACACTTGTAGAAGTTAAAGTAATTTATTAGTCGTTTAGACTATGTGGTAACAGCTCTAAGGTTTATAATTTCACTTATTATAATATTAAGTTTAATTTTCTATATTATTATAGCTTTAATCATTTTTAAAAGTTATAAAAATGATTAAAGCTTGTCACAGAGCAATTATGATTTTCTTTAAATAATTTACATTATATTTTTGTGTATATGGAATGCTCCCATTAGTATTTAGTAATAACTAAAGTATATATTGTACATTTATGGATTTCGTGAGTATAATTCCCTCGTATAATAATGTTGTATTTTTCCGCTAGGATTTTTTTTTAATGTAAAATGCATGAATTTGTCATAAAGTCCCTTTTAATTTAGTAACAAATTTTATAACCTGGTTATTCGTAGTTATCGTTCCAGCCCCTATAGACAAGTGACAAACTATTGTAGTTTACGTTGTCGCTATTGTGCCTGATATAGAACTATGTAAGACGTCGTATTTGTTTTTTATACGAGAGCTAACGAAAAAGTATGTCAAGAACCATAGATTCGATCGTCATTTGTATAAGGGCTGAGCATATCTCTTTGTGACTTGAATAAATGTTATTGTATGAAGTGTGATATAAGTGTGAAAAAGTTTATTGTAAGGAATAATTGATACATTTTTGTATAAATTTTACGAGTATAAGTTTACGAATAAAACATTCTTTCATACTTAACTTCTATATTTACTTATTTTATACCTTATTATCTTTGTTACAAATACGTAAATTTATAAAGTAAAAATAAAATTGCTTCGCTCAAATATTCACTAGCTTCTAAAACTGTTAAGTCCTATTATCTTTTCTTTTAGTACTATTTTCCTGCGTTCTTTCTTCATTTTCCTCCGTCATTCTCTCCTGTTGTATGTGTGCTATTAAATACTCTTTTTCTCAAAGTCGTATACCCGAAGCTTGTCTGGAAGCGTTTTCTTAGCAATAGGGCGCCTTTTTTTACAATACAGGGGACAAACGAGCATGCGACTTAAGTGAGTCGCTATGGTAAGTGACTACCGCCGCCCATGATCACCCACAACTCCAACGGCATTGCAGGTGTGCTACCGGCCTTTTAAAAAGAAATATGCTCTTTTCTTGAAGGTTATGATGTCGTATCAGTTCGAAAATACTGCTACTGGAAGTTGGTTCCAAAGAGTGGTTATGCATGGAAGAAACTCCCTTTAAAAACGCACGGTAGAAGACCTCCACTCATCCAGATGGTTGAAACTTTAGTTTATGACAGGTTGTACGGTGATAAAAGTCAGCAGCTGAATATCATACCGAAAAATTTCTCAGAGCACTTCCCATGATAAATTTGGTAGAAGATACACAGAGATGCAACATCTCTACGCAGTTTCAGTGGGTCAAGTAGGATCTTATCCTTTTCCTCCAGATAACCGCAAAATTGGACGCCTCAAAATATATCAACGCCAAGGACCCCTAGAATCGAGAGAAGTGCCCTAAAAATGAGGAGATACGACAAACGGTGTCTTTTTTGCGGTGAACGCGCAGAGTTGTATCTTCTTAGCGTTAAATTGGACAAGATTGCGTTCTCCCCAGTTTGAAACTTGATCGAGTGAAGTTTCGGTTTCAGACACAAGTCTGTCCCGGCACGAATCTCCTGTAATCTGCATAGCAATGAATATTACTGATCTGTAACATATCATTGAAATGTAGAAGAAACAGGGTCGGAGATAGTATACAGCCTTGCGGGACACCAGCATTCATAGGTTTTAAATCAGAGCATGCTCCGTCGACTACGACCTTAATGCTACGTTCCTTGAGAAAACTGGCGACCCAACTCAAACGATGATACAAAAGAGGCAACCCAAACGAGGGTAGTCTCTTTTGTATTATTTATCATTAAAATTTACTATATTTTCTTTAAATGGTGTAATAAAGTGTAAATAAATAAATAAAATCAGATGTAGGAACATAGATACTTTATTAGTAACGAGGACTAACGGCCCTATTGCTAGCCCTGTCAGCTTGACCTCCGCGCGATCCTACCTAATATAACTAACTAACTATAGTGGTTAATTATTAATAAATTCGTTAGAATAGATCAAATAAGCTGCTTTCATCTTCATCTACCATTCGTCACTGGTACCACTGGTAGCAGAATATAACGCAAGGAGGCCACCATTTCATTATTATCCATTAAGTGTACCAGTTCTTCGATTAAGTAGTCACCGGTACACCAGGTGCTACTAATCTCTATAGAATCCAACCCTAAAATATAGGAATGCACTAAGAAAGAAACTGTCATAGAAATAATAATACATTTTTTATCTATGGTATAACGCAAGTCTGAGAGAACAAAATGATTTCTAATCTAATGATCATACGATGACTCGGCCCATATCTGAGATCAATGCCAATATATTGGGGCGATAGATGTATCGATTATCCTAATTGTTGATTTTGCATATTCATATTTTATCATTAAGATAGTTATTGGATGGAACCCAAAGGATCAAACATTTGTTCTTCAATAGTTACGGAAGGGTTGAATATAATCGATAAAAATTTACCTTACATTTCACATAATGTCTTTTTTTTGCATATTCATGATTACGTAATAAATTATCAAAAGAAGTTACACTATAGGAAATAAGTCAATGAATTTTGCTATTATTCATCCTAAATTTAATTCGGTTATTTTTATTTAGTTAACCATAGAATTCAAGTGAGCAAAGTAAATTAATACTAAATCATTGTGGCAACAGTTAAAGATTATTATTATATATTATTTTTTTTTTATATTTTTTTTTATACAACTTAGAATGGCAAACAAGCTGACGGCCCACCTGATGGAAAGTGGTAACCGTCGCCTATAGACATGAGCAGTGCCATGGACATAACAGTATACTGTTTCGCCCATGATACCCCCCCCCCCCGTGCGTTGCCATTCCTAGGACTCAGATGTTATTCCTCTGTATCCATAAATTCACGCCATATTACCCTTCAAACCGAAACACAGCCATGCAAACACAACTGCTTCACGGTTGAAACACGTTATCGACTTTTAGTCTCCCTCTGGTATTATTAGACATGCATTGCTATTCATAGATGTATATTATTATTATAGATCATGTAGTGTGTTATATTTTAGAAGGATACTTATAATATTTTTGATTGAACCGATTTGGTGATGATTTATTAATAATAATATCTCAGATTCATATGTAGTTTATCTATGTTCATGTACTGAAAATTAGATAATGAAAACGCTGCTTTAGTTCGATCTCCATGTCTTCATATATTTGTAAAAGGGCCACTGTCATCGTTGACTGGTCTCATTAATGCCAGAGAAGTATTTCAAACTTGCTGAAAAAGCCGAAATTGTTGATCAAAGTGACCGCCGCGCAAGTTTGCCGATTGCCGCCTATAAGTAAGACAACGATTCCTTGTCCCCGGTCTTCCTTAAATGGAACCCGTATTAAACTGTAATTTCGATTCATTACTATGTTCGAAATTCTCTTTTAGGTGATAAACAAGCATACAGCCCGCTTGATGATGTATAGTAAAATTTAGAAAATTCTAATCGGATGATATCCAATTTTTCCCTTACAATCTCCAATTATTTGTACCTAGCCTATTGTATCACAACATAAGATTAGACGCACAGGAACTAACATGCAATAAGTAATGTACCTACTCCGTGAAGTTTTATAATGGCTAATCCATCATATAGAAATGGTTGTAATTTTACAACTTTGTAACAGATTCTGTATTCATCATCTATAAAGGGTGAGGACTTTCTTTTAAATTTGACGTTAAATATAATGTTAACATTAAAATAATATAGCATTTCGTTGGCTTTGTGCTATAGGTAACCTAATTCTTTGGCATGGGGGGAAGGGATTATTAGTAATGCGAACTACCAGTCTCATTGCTAGCAATATACACAGTCAGATCGACCTCTACATGTTCCCTCTGGAAGCCATGGTGTTGAATTACAGGTATATTCATCACGATAAGCTAACTGACCTGTCTTTTTGTTCTCACCTATCATCTTTAACTGTTACAATTCTTTGGCATATATGGTAAGGAAAGGAAAGCAGATAGTCCGTGATAACTCCACATTGAGGGGGAAAGGGATTGTTAACAATGGATTTGACAGCCCCATTGCTAGCAATATGCCTTATTAGGTCGAACTCCACGTGGTTCGAACAATTCTTGTTGAATTCGTCACGATGGACTAACTGACCTACTTCATCCTCACCTATCATCCTTCACTGGTGCTCCTCCGGTGTATACCGATAGAGGTGGGGCTACAATTCCAATATCATCCATTAAAAAAACCCCAGAATGAGCTAGAAATATTTCTCAGTTTTTGAAGATCGATATTGATGTTTGTGTAAGACAGAGTCGAGCTAAATACATGCTTGGCTTTTATTAAAATATAAATTATAAAGTATCTACTATCTCATGTATATTTAAAATAAGGAATATAACATATTTTTAAGTAATGTAATTGACATATAAAATTAATTTTTTTAACAATTTTTATTTAAAATACAAATTATAGAATACAGTCAGGTATTAGGTAATGCAACAGAGTAGAACTAATCTAGTCCAACCTATAAATCAGAAAAAGAAAAATTTTCTTTCATGAACATGACGTTTTGCCTACGAAATCGTTACGCTATCGAGCGCTATTTTCTGCATAATATCCATTAACAAGATTACTGAATGAGAACTAAATGTTTTTATGTTAAAATGTATTTTAACTGTCTTTGAAATACGAATTACTATTATACGAATTTAATTACTTAAATTATAATTAAATTGAAATACAAATAACAAATATGTATTTGTATTTCAATTACGTATTTTAATTAAAAATTATTAAAATAGGTACTGTCGAGCCCTAGTGTAGGTTAAGTTTGGAGTTAACATACGACAAAGATATCCAGAGGTATATTTATTATCCGCCTATGTAACAGCATTATCAATAATTAAATTTGTGTAACTACTTTATACCACTGAGTTGACAAACAAGCATACGGCCCATCAGATGATAAACGGTTACCGTAGCCTATGAACGTCTGCAATACTATATTTTTAGTAAGTATAAATAATAATCTAGTCACACGAGGCTATTGTTTTAGCTCCAATCGATAGTTTTAATTTAAAAAATATTATTGTAAAAGTGCTCGTTTTTTTTAATAAACACAATTGAGACTTAACGCGATGAAAAAGCTTTTTCAAGTAAATAGTACCTACATACCTGTTTCTTTAATACCGACTTTTTGATCGCTTTTGTTTTAAAAGAGATAAGTACATTCTGTATATCGGTTGGCATATTCCCCTTAAAATGAATCGTGGGACAATCTGATCAACAATGTCTACGTACCGGCGTAGGTCAAATATGAATAAGAACACACATTTATTATTGCAAAATTATTATTACATTTTGGATTATCGTTCCCAATACATTAATTACCCGTATACTTGCGAACGTTTAAAATGTAATTTTAGTAGTTTTAATCTTTATCAGTGCATCTTAAGCGATGGTTAATTTAATTCAGTCTGCAACTGAGCTTGCGCACTGCAAATGGTTATGATCTGGAATACGCGCACTTTATGCAATGCAATAATGATTTTTCATCGATTCTATTGCGCCGATGCCGGTTTCGTTATTATTTATACAAGATAGTAAGTTTAGTGATGTGATG